ACACCGTTTATAATTCTTCCAACAACCACCAACTCTAATTTCACTCTTGTCGTACAAATTCATTGTTTGATAAACGATTTAACTTGACAAATTAATATATCCTCAAAAAACCATGAATTTCGTTTATCCGATACTGTGCATTTCAATGGCTTACAAATATTTAAACTGTTCCATATTTAACCATATTAAATTTTGTAACGTAGAATAAAAAAATTAGTGATCAATATGTCGTCATTGTCCAAAGAGTTTTTCTACAATTAATTTATGTAGCTGTGAATTCCGATGAAGAAGTTAAATGGCATGTGGGTTTAAATTTATCGTTATTCGACCGAGTGAATTTATTTTCAATCAAAAATCGATTATCTTTTCACTGGTCTGATGTGACAGGAAAAATGATTATTATTATACAAGACAAATCGAGGTTGTCAGAAAGTTTTTGAGGTGCATTTTACAGCTGGCACCCAGCAAAAACGTTTTGATAAACGCGGGTCGCTAAACTTCTTGTCTTCGAAATAGCCTTTGTCAGATTCAGCATGAATCACATGTCTCGTTACTCGTACTTTAGCGTGAAACATTATATCGAATATTCGATGATAATTTGCATCGATGCACGACACTTTATAAAAATTACTATTATTCGCCCCAGTGAGCGATCAATAATAATGTTCATAATTGCGAGAAATTTTCATCAGTTCATTAATGCTAAAACCACCTTTTCTGGCCATTTTAAGCCACTAGAATATGCCTGAAAATTATGCGATAACGCGTTAAACACACACACCGTCTATAGTAGCGGGAGGTCAATAATATTTAAAATTCTCACGGTTGTAAGACGGATTCAACAGTTCATTAAAACTGAATCCGACGCTTTTTGATAATTTTGAACGATTAATAACGTCAAAGGTTCTCGCGAAGAGAACATTCACAAACTGCGGTTTCCGCTACGTCATAATAGGCTGCACAAAATAATTAAAATGAAGCACCCAATATTTTGAAAGCGCTACACGGAATATAGCCAATTCCAAGCCATTTAAAATAGTGAACATTATGACAGATTATGCATAACGTTTAGCTCATGTTTAATAGTATGGAATAACATTCAAAATATTCATTGGTTCAATTAATTCTCATCATTTCGTCAGGTGATTCTGTAATTGTATTAGCGAACAAACATTAAACTCGCGGTTCTTTCACGTTTGATCTTTCATTCATTATCCGTAATTAGTCAGAAACCGGATCCTGTAACACTTTTGTAATATATCTCATTATTCGGTTATAATGTTATGAAAGTGTCTATCGGAATAATGAATCACTTTGATCGGATATTAATATCTATCACTTATACAGGTAACTGCAAGTAACGATACATCAAAATTATTTCGATATTAATTATTTCCCTACTTAATCGAACGCAACTTTATCTCACGTTGAATTTGCATAAATCCTCTCTGTAATAATACCACGTATCGTTTCTGGTGATACTGCATTCAAAACTGAGGTTATCCGGCGTTATATTTGGAACAGTTTATTTGCATAAAAAATCACCTCGACACGTTACCATAGAAGTATATTAAAAAAATTTTGTTATAGTTCTTAACTTGCACAGCTGGCTCTGGATGTATATATATATATATATATATATATATATATATATATATTTTCATGACCCTCGAAGGGTTAAATCCGTAGCTCCTAACCGCTAGACCTTCGTTCTAAAAAAAAAAAACGGAGCAGCAGTGCTAGCAGCTCCTGTTCTCGGTTGCGAACAAATAGTTCTCGGATAATACCGTAAGCTACGATCGCAGTGGCTCTGATATTTCATACGCTTCCGTATCCGTCGAGCGTGAGTCGCACCCTATAGACGTAAACACTGTCATTCGTCAGAGTGCGACGTCTCGCCTATTAATCAACGGAGTCTCGCGCAAGAAACAGGTAACGGGTAACATTCTTAAGTTCGATCGTCCCGTTCCACGGGCATGGAAACGGCAGAATTATTTACGAGCGGTTGGAAACCGCCAAACGAAATCGAAACGCGGTTCCCCTTTTCCGGAGGTGCAGTCGCTGGGAATTGCCGTCATCAATAGAACCGCGACACTCGCCACAAAAGTCTGACGAAGAAAAGCGGGAAGAAATTGGGTCTCCCCGATTACACCCCGAGGAGCTGTAAATAAAACACGTCAACCGTGGTCGTAACCAGATGCGATCTGGTCTGATTGCTGATAATAGATTCGCCGTTCAAGCAACCGGAATAAGCTCTTATCTGAAGCTTCTCGCCACGCGGCGATTTAAACGCTCGCTGCGTTCGTTAAACAATCGCTGTGACGGGAATATCTCTGTTCCATCGTGTGCAGAGGTAAAACCGACGGGCTAGGATGCCGCGTGTATTTGAGCGTGTTACCCAACCCTGTTGTTATCAACCGATGCGATGGAAGTTGGCGATTCGCCTCTCTCTGTTCATCGGCAATTAAATTCCGCGACATGCGTCGGTTATCAATTTGTTCATCGACGGTTTTGTCACTTCCGGGAAACGCTCCGCTGGAGGCGGTGCTAACTTAATCATTCCTGTTCAGTTCATGGTGTGCGAAACAAAAAGGAACAGCCATTTGACGGCTGTGTATAACGACGTATTCTTTTTTTTTTTTTTTTTTTACTATTTTCTCTTGTAAGTTGCAAGAGATAGATGTTGTAAGTTGTCTGTGGTGTTAAAGATAGTTAAAAGTTGAACACACTCGATCATTTCTCGCTTTGGCAAGTGCATCGATATGACTGGGCACTATTCCAGATATTTATCACGAAATTAATACCAAATGCTTTCCAATCCTACGTAGATACCGTCTATATTTGTTCTTGAATTGATTCCAATGGATCGCGAATACTAAAATAGCCCAATGTTGTTCGCAAGAAAACTTACCTTCTGGACTTTCGAATCAGAAATTTGATTTGCAACGTCTAGACCATCAATGAAAAACTATCGACGCGAGGAATAATTCCATAGCTGATTCCGTGATAAAATTAAACGGCGTGACTTTAATAATTTCATCTAAAATTGTCTTGAACTAAAGCTGTATGCTCTGTGAAAACTGCCTCGGGAATTACGATACTATATTTGTGAATGTACTGTGGTAAACACGCGATAAAAAAGTAAACAATTCTGACGCATTGGTCGTGACACTCGGAAAAACTAGTACGATATGTTCGAACAAAGTGCAAATAAAAAATTGTTTGACAAAACACTTTGAAATATATGCGACTATTAATCAACACTCGATATACAGTGTAATTCTAGTAACTGTATTGGATTATCTCTGGCTTTGTTAAACGTACAGATCGAAAAAAAAAACGTAGAGGAAAATTTTGTATGGTTTAACGACGTCTGTAATTTTGTAATATATTTTCACCGAATGCGTCGACTCACTATCGAATTGTAATCGCATTACTAAGTTATACGTAAAATTCGATAAACTTACGAAACAGTCGGTCGAAACACGCGAATACGGAAAAAGAGAACGATACAAATTATTATCACGTTTTCTCGAGACGTACAAAAGTAATTCAAAAGCGCCGACCATTTTGTAATTACAGCAGTATTAATTATCCCGCAGCTTCGTATAATCTCATAAAAGAAACTCGATGTAAAACCGCCAACGGTATCCATTTTTCTTTCGCGAAGAATTGCAAGTTATTCCGAAAGGCAACGTCTATTTAATTATCACGACGTTGCCGTTCTCTCAACCTAAACAATTCAGCGAGCATTATCGCAGTCGACCATTCACGACGAACAGGGAGGGAAAAAAAAGAGATCTATATAGATCCATCTTTACACTCTGTTAAACCTAGAGGACTCCGGTGGGCAATGACAGATCCCAGACAACAAATATTGCTTTATCACTAGTAAACGCGTAGCACCTGATGCACGAGCTTTTGTATACATTTTGAGTGACATCGCTACGTTTGTGTTAACGAACTGTCAATTCCTTCGGCAACGGAGCCGGGTAAAATATTATATCAAACAGTTGAGAGCTTACTTTATTTTACGAATAAAGAAATCTATCTATTATGATTGAGACGTAAATAAAATATAAAAAAACGCGAGAAAAGAAAGATCTCTAACACTGTTCTCGTACTAACAATTCGTTTTATTTTTGTCTCAAGAGCAACCAATCCGTCATTTCGGTGAGCTAGACTATCTTGCTATTAATATCGTAAATAGAATCAATGAAATGTAACAAATTAAGAAAACAAGCAATTCTAACGAGCCGATCAACCCCTAGACGCATTCCCGTCAGAAAAAAACGGAAAGTAGGCTAGTGCAGCAAGAGGGGGTAGGTCGCGGGGGCACGGTCATAGAGGCTCCACGAGGCGAGCATTTCGCCAGCGCAACAGTGACAAGGTCAGGGACAAAGGTGTCTCCGAGATCCTGCGTCGTGACGCGCAGTTTAAGGTCGCCCTCCGACCGGGATTCCGTGGCCCCTCTATAGACGAGCTACTCGACCTCGTCTATGACCTCCGGAATACCCTCGAAAATTTCGAATTCACCGAACGGAACGGAAACGGGAAATAAAGGTATTCTTCGCGCAACACAATCCTAAAAGGCCAGACCAAGATGGAAGAAGACTCCGATCTCGGTCGCGCATCGAGGATCCAGAGTATCTCTAGCGTATCGCGGTTTTCTACCGTCCCTTCGTTGCCCATTGTGATCGATCACCCAGCAACCACCGTGGAAACCCAATTTCGTCGCAATTCACTAGTACACCTGGATGCCGCGCGCGCGACAGGCTGCCTCCAGTGGCGAAACTCTCAACAACAATCCCGGAGGCGACGCGTGCCAGCACGCCCAGCGACGCCGCGCGTTACTATATCGAGGCGTCGCGACGCTTGCGCGGGTTCCTGCAACGATCAGCTGTCTGGAAGGTACGCGATGACGGAAGGGGAGGCCAGAGAGAGAGAGACACGTAGAGAGAACCAACCGTGCATCGAAGAGAGATGCAAACAGAAGAAGGAAAACGGAGTACAGTTGGTGGAAGCGTGTAATCGCCGCGCGCAGCTATCGGGACTATCAGTAGCGACGTCATGGATAGCCTCGTAGAGAGCTACACACGTTTTTGGCAGCGGTGTTCCGTGCCCTTAGCCGTGGCAATGGTGTCCGTCGTCGTCGTCGCCGTCGTCGGCATAGCCAGCGAACCCGTGGGCAGCGCGTCGGTGATTTAAGTCGCGCAGTGCCGCCGTGACGGTCGATCGAAGCGTTGGTGTACCTGGGAATGCACCTCCACGATGCCCCGGTCTCGATGTTACCTCGTCCCGACAGTGTCTAAGTCGTTCTGTGGATCCAGAAGACTCGTACATCGCCCAGCGGCTGTATAAACACCCGAGAGTCTCACCTGCTCCGAACCTGAACCGAAGATTCGTCGCGTCGCTCCGAATCGACGCGACTGCCATCGTTGGACTGCTCCAATTGCAATTCGTTAAGGAACGTCCTCCTGTGAGAGATATCGTCGTCGGAATATCATAAATGGCTGATTCTGAATAAAAGTGAACAAAAGTCTGGTGGGTCGATCGTTCCCCAGGTGCGTTCAATGCCTCTAGTGACAGACGCTCCTAGATTTGATCTAAACTCTGTAGATTGTACAGGTATCGTGAGATTCTCTTAAATTCGTTACGGCACGAGGATTCGTGCAGTTACAAATCCTTCCACGCGCAGGGTCAGAAGAAACGAAAGCGAAGCACATGAGAGCGTGATCCTCTTGGAAAGTGGTGCAAGTGTGTTGGGTGAAGCAAGTGGTTATCGATGTCGACCCCTAAAGTGGACATTTTCTAGCTGCGCAAAGCATTCATGAAATACCTTTGTTTGTTTGTTCGTGTAAACAAGATCTCTGGGCACCAGAGGTCCAGACCAAGACCTCAGGGGCTCAGCGGTGCTTGATTCTGTTGCATCTGCGTACAAAGAGGATTCGCTAGTCGATAACCGTCCGATAAACGCGGGCCACGCTCCAAGCGACCTCAGTGAAGGCTAGGTGAGTACCAAAACAAATGTCATCGAGCGAGTCTACTATCGCGAATTACGTTGCCCGCGCGTAGGTGTTCGCTACTCCGTGGAGGGTTCGTCGACACTGTCGGTCCAGGTGCTGACCGAAAAAGGCCAGCGAGATACGGATATAGAACGCCGGCGGCGACAGTTGGAAAAAGATCGAAGAGAACCAGTCGACGGGAGGTTGGCCGTGCAAGCAGGGATTCCTGGCATGTACGAGAATCGATAGCTGGGAATACGAGAGCGGTTGAAGCAAAGAAACGTCACCGTTATCGACAGGCTGAAACCGGAGGGTGCAGAAAGTTTTAGTTCCTATCGCAAGTTTTAGTTCCACGCTACAGTTGTCCAGTGTCCGTAGGCGTTCAGCTCGAACGATACGAGCAGGAGGATCGTTCCGACACGCGAAGCAATAAGTGACACCCTTGATAATTGAAGCTCGAACCCCTCGGAAGTTATCGCTCAAACCCCTTGAAACTTGGAGCTCCGGCTTCGATGAACGCTTGCTCGGCGCTGAAATCGACGGCTAGCCCCTTTATCGAGAATAATCCCGAAACGATCGTCTTCCAGCGAGGTGTGACTCCTTGAGCCTCCGTTAAGCAATAAAGGCGTCGTCTAATTAACTCCACTCGAGACTACGCCTCGTGTGAATCTAAGAACAATCGCGGAGCCAGAGCTAGGAGACGTAGGGTGCCTCGAAGCACCCCTAGTGGGCGTAAACAGCGGGAGCCACGAACCCTGCAGGTTCCTCGTGGCTGGGCATCCCCTTCTGATGGTAGAGCGAGTGACTCAGAGTCGGTGGACGAGCGCTGGCGACCATCGCCAGCAGCGTCCATGCCGTCGTCAACGCGCAACGTCAACATGGCTCCACGTGCAGTCCCCTCGATGATCCTCCTCACCCTGCTCGCCCTCTGCTGGCCCAAATGCAGCCAAGCAGGATTGGCGAGATTCTACGACGCTGTCCCCGAGCATATGCAGCCAGAGAAACGCATACCCATCGACGATTATGCGATGCACGGCCCGATAGTCGACGAACACGAGTTTCCCCGTGACCTGAGGGAACCCTATCCAGGAAAGAGTTTTGGTCCAATGGGGCCCGTTGATGGGTCTCTGCCAGACGACCGCGACGTGTCTTTTCGAAGCTTGTCGGCTGGGAAAGACGACACCAACCACCCCATTGAGTCCCATCTAGCTTCCCACTCGTCCGAAGAAGGAGCGAAGACACCTCTTCATCCTAAACCAGAATACAAAATCGTCTCGGTGGAGTTCCATCGCGTGGAGACGCCGTTCGTGATCGGCATATGGATCTTCTTCGCTAGCATCGCAAAAATAGGTAGGGAACGCTAGGAATTCGGCTGGAACGCGTCGACTTGACCTCGATAACCGTTTAGATCATGATTTCGTTGGTATTCGGTGTGGTTGGCTGTCTCAATCCGTGAGAATGCAAGTTGCAGCTTCGCGTATGGAGACTAGCTTAGCTTTTGAAGGACACGAAAACGATGGAAAGGATTGTACATATATTTGATTTTATTTGTTATTACTTTTTTAGAGTATAGAAAGTCGCAGAAATATCAAGTGTTTATAATAAAATATAGAATTATTCATATCGCAAAGTGGTCAACAAGGTTGGGAGATATCAAGAGGTTATCGAGTATCGTATGTAAATAGTTTGCTACAATCACTTATGCATAAACAAGATTGTAACTTGGAAAGAAAGATGAATATAGTAGACATTTGTACAACCCCTTTTCCATTGTTTTCTATGCCCCTCCATTCGTCTCGTTACGGCTCTGATACAAGCTAGCCGAAGTGTTTCAACGTATAGCTATAAGTCGAAAGTGTAGAATGAAATTTCCTCGCGTGTGGCTTCGTTTTCGAGAAAATCGTGTTTCGAAATTCGTTGAGTACACATGCACCGCGTCGAGCTGAGATGTTTACCTCCGAGGAGTACACTTGGCGGCACAAAGCATGTCCACACTACTACAGACGTGCGTATGGCGTTTCAATTGATGGAGTACACGTCATCAACCCATTCTACCATTGGGAAGTCACAACAGATGGTGATAGAAGCATAACAGAGCTAATGTTTGTAAACACAAACGTAACCAGACGTAATCTACGATGAAATTCGTTAGGTAGAAACGTAATTAATTATTGTAGAGAGACATTTGGAATCGTATTTAGTCCAAAGTTTCTTGACAGTTTGTGCGAGACTTGTGACTAAGCAAAAATGAACTCAACACCTTTGATATTAATAATATCTCTCTCTCTCTCTCTCTCGCTCTCTCTTTCTACAATACATGTAAACACATTTTTGGTCTAGATTCTCTCGGAAACAAAGTCTCGTATGAGCAGAGTTTATTCCACATTTTGAATTTATCTTTATGCTAAGGAACTCTGCCACTTGCACCACGTGTCTCGATACATGTACATTCAGGTCAAACTGGATTGAATACTCAAGGCCAGTGACCCTGCTGTTAAACACGCCGGGCACTTTAACTTCGCACTGTGTTGCTTCCCTATCTGAAAGACTTGGAATGCTTGAGAGAATTGGAATGGTGTTGGTAACTAAAGAGAATAGTAGGGATGGCGACTCCGTAGCCTTGAGCGTCTAATGAAGTTTGATCTGTCTACAAACGGAATCACACTGTTCCTGGAGTAATTAACTGTTCATCGAAACGTCCCGTTCTTTTCGGGAGGTCTCAAGGAACAGTTTCTCGACGGAACAGCGTGAATCAACCTCCGTGATGTTTGTCGCACGGTTTTCAGCCAACAGATCCCGCGTTCCACGGTCACGCGTGCTCTTCCGGTGTTTGTTTTCCTTCCTACTGTAAACGGAGAGGGTTAAGGTACAATTGTACGTGCAGGCTTCCACATGACGCCAAGGCTCAGCAAGATCTTTCCCGAGTCCTGTTTGCTGATCGTCGTGGGCGTCGTCGTCGGTGTCTTACTGTTCCAGGCGAGCAGCGTCCACGTGTCGCCGCTCACTCCGGACACGTTCTTCCTGTACATGCTGCCCCCCATAATCCTGGACGCTGGCTACTTCATGCCTAACCGTCTGTTCTTCGACCACCTGGGGACTATACTCCTCTTCGCCGTTGTCGGGACTATATTCAACACCATGTCGATAGGTCAGTAATAAAACGGATAAAAACGAAACGGTGTCGGTGGTACGACGACATGCGACCTGACGTTCCCTCCCTCTCTTTTATTTTCTTTCTTTCTTTTTTTTCGTTTTTTAATCCGTTTTGTTTCCTGGAATAACACCGTCCGCGCTGGCCCGTTTTCTGCTGTTTACACCTTTTTCATGTTTTTTCTTCCTTTCTTTTGTTTGCTCGGTGCTTGACGTGCGCGCGAGTTATATACGGTACGCGAGGTATACGGGGCGATTCTAAACCGGATGTGCAAACTTTAACTTGTTAACGCGGGTCCAGAAACGTTTCCCCTCCAGGTGTAAACGCTTCCGTTTTGTCACCGGGGTAAATTTCATTTTGAATTAAAATAAGAAGCAAGGTTGGATCCGGAGGCATTTCGCCCCCGCGATGGTGGCATTTCGAGATGCGTGGAATATTGATTTAGCAGCTAACAATATCATCCCAAGCACTCTATTCCTCCGTAGTAGAGTACGAAGCTTGAACATAAGGTTTTCCGATCCTTCTCGGGAAAACGAAAATATTTAATTTTGTGATCTATTTAAAATGATCGTTAATACCCGTGCATATTTGTAATCCTTTTTACAACTATCATCTAAATATTATTATTTCGTTGGCGACCGTTAAACGTAAACGTTCTAACAAACTTGAATTAAAGCCCCGAGTAGAAGAAGGGAAATTTTGATTTCACTGTCACGGGCACTACGTTACGATTTTCAAAATTACATCTTCTCTCGCTGTCAATTTGCCAACAGTTCGAAATTCTCTGCGCGTTTTAAAATACACACGGCGCCAAGCCGAATGTACATTTTCTACTGTTACACTTTGGTGCCAACACAGGCAAATCAACGACAGCGTTAGGAAGTATTAGCGTTTATATCACGGAAACGGAGGTAGGAAACATTTTATATTTTTATGTTTGTATTTGCTATTTACTCGATTGTCCAAATTTGTTTTCGTTTTTTTCGGGGTGTATAATATATTTTGTTAATGCACTTAATTTTGTAATAAAAGCCTCAAAATAGAAGTTGACGTAACCGTTTCATAATCATGAGCAGAAACGCGTTCTAAATTCATCAAAAATGGAAACGTCGAGTGACCCACGCAGTTTCTGTTCAAGAAACGCTCGTTCTGATTACGACACCGACAATTTCGTCAAAACCGATGATGTCTGCGATAATTAAAGACCGCACTACGAGATTCGGAGAACCGACAACCTGCTTTCGTTATTATTAACGATGAATGTTCGTCGGTGAAAATTTGCAACGGCAGGCGATTTAAAAATTGCCGACCTCGTTTCTCGAGGTCGTCGTCGAAGAATTGCTATCGTCGTGCTAATGATTTTTTTACGAGGAAAATTATCCGTTGCCATTATTACAGTATTTTTATAATAAGGAAAGCTATGTTATTTTTATTTATCGATAAATATATTTTTTTAATACTGCTGAAGAGGGCCCAGTCGAATGAAACAAAATATATTTTGACACTCATCGAGACATCGAGACTTCATTGAAACTAGTTAAGATAATTTTCTAAACATATGGAAAGTATCAACTACGATATTTCGTTTATTTTATTATCTGTCTTTGAGCTTTGAAAACCAGACATTCTAATTTAGTCTCGACAGTTTTCACATAGATATGCTTATCGTCCCAATGTCGAACTGTTTTAGATCTATTTTTATACAGAAACTATATAATGTGTTATTAGATAACAGTAATCGGTTGAAAACGTCAAATAAAAACATATGCCCTGCAAAAGTGTCATTGAAAAATTGAATGTATATCATTAGGATAAATTTTGTCTCGTTATGCTTTGAATTGAAGAAAAATAATAAAGAATCCTCAATTTCTCAAACACAAAATACCAAGACTTGCCCTTTGATTCTTCATTGTTCAACTCCTATCTACTCTAATTATATGATTGTGGCGATGTAGAAAATTTGCAATCAAGAAAATCGATATTTTTCATTACCGCGGATTGTTGCCAGGCGCATCTCTATGGGTGTTGGGTAAAAGCGGTTTGTTCGGCTGCGAAACACCGATACTGGACATGTTCCTCTTCTCCGCGTTGATCAGCGCCGTCGATCCCGTCGCCGTGTTAGCCGTCTTCGAGGAAATCCACGTAAACGAGATCCTGTACATCGTGGTATTCGGAGAGAGTCTTCTAAACGACGCAGTCACCGTCGTAAGTACCATTTCTCCACAACACAAGGAACTTAATTAGAGTAAACATCCTTTCGCGAGAATCCATAATTTCAATGCGTTCCATTTAATACTCGTAGCTGAAAGGATCGATTCTGAAAGGAGTGCAGGTTCCGTTGGTCCGAATGTTGACACTGCTTTTGTAACGATCGAATGAAAACCTACAAGTCTTTTTTGTTGGTCTACATTTGCATACCAATAACAAAATAAAACACTGCTTTGAAATGCGATCTCGTCACGTTGCAAATATAAAAGGATTACACGAACGTAGCAAAGTGCTGTTAATATAGCCTTGGCAGTTCTTCGCGTTCCGCTTATGGCTGGATATATCTTCAGCCGTTTCACCATTCATGACGTTCGTTCAAATTGGCTGATTAAATGGCAAGTGGCTGTTCTTTAATGATACGCAGGTGCTGTACCACATGTTCGAGGCTTATACGGAAATGGGACCTTCGAGGATCATTTATACGGATGTACTGTCAGGACTGGCGTCGTTCTTCGTCGTGGCTATAGGTGGTACAATAATAGGCGTCATATGGGGCTTCGCGACTGGTTTCGTCACGAGGTTTACCCACCAGGTCCGCGTCATCGAGCCCATCTTCATATTCGTCATGGCGTACCTGGCCTACCTGAATGCTGAGATCTTTCACATGTCGAGTATACTGGCGTAAGTAGATCCCCTCTGGTTCGTTTACCAATCGAGTAATCATTGATGCATTAATGATCCTCGAGGCTCTTCCAACGAGTAAAGAGTCCTCCGTACGGGGAGCACAAGTGGAAATGAAGTCGCTTAATCCATTGACTCCCGTATCAACAAAGGAACTTGCGAGAGTAAACGCAAGGATCAATGTTTGTCTGTTTCGAAACAATTCATCGAGTCGAAATGGTAGTTACGATTGCTCGAAGGAGAGCAAATACATACTCGGAGAGTAGGAAAATATACCACCAATATAATTTTAGATATACCAAGTTGCTCGCGTAAAGTAGTACGGTCTGCTTTCCTCAAAAGCGAAACCACGATACAGTAGGTGAATTTTTGTTTAATTGAGAATTTAGGAAAGCTCCGGAGGTCCTTTCGGGGTTTATAGATCACGACGAAAGAAGCAAACGAGTCTCGTTGAATGTGTTCTAAAATTAATATATGTTTAGCGAACTTGCTTAGAAACTTGCTGGTGCATACTCTCCAGCTGATAAAACTTATTGTTAGAATTTTCCACTATCTAAATGAATCAGTATGATCATACATTTTCGTTAGAAAGTTTGAAACTGCGTGTTCTCTCGTGATCTTAAATAAAACTATCTTCTATGTGCGACAAAACGATTCATTGTTGAGTTGTGTACATAGAGTATCTCGAGGTGAGGTATAAAATAGTTTCTGAACAATCAGAGGTACGAGGAAACACGGAAAACTTCATCGCTGTTTATTTAACATCTAGTAGTAACAAAGAGAACGCTCGTTTCTTGTAATTTTAGTTCAAAGTCACATTATACTTCTTTAATGGATTGATCGAAACTGTTTGGACACCGTTGAATTGAAGAAACAAATTCAAAACTTTGTATACCGTGGCACGTAGAGTGTTCTTCGAATATTCCTTGTCGGAAAGGTCTGATTAATGTAGATGTCGATATTTGACCAGAGAAACGTCACGTGGCTGGAGTCACGTGTTGCGTACACACCACTGTTAGACGAAGATCGAACATGCAAAATAATTTTTCAGTTTTCCCGGAAATACCGGTCCTAAAGTTAAGGAAAGTAATGTGTGTAATCAAGAATAGTTTATTTATGACTGAATAATCTGCGGAAGAATTTGCACGAGCTCGAGGTAGATGAACATATATATATATATATATATATATATATTCTGTTATCAAGAACAGTAATATTTTGGTTCGCGCAATCTCGTGTCACGTGGCGTTTTATACAAGAATAGCTGAATTACCGGTACCTCGTACGGGATTATAATTTGTAACCCGTCGCAGAAGAATATTGCTAAACAGAAACTTCCCTCTTAAAGTTTAACTAAGGGAAAATAATCGATAAGAATTCTTGCAAAATTGAAATTGTCAGCGTTCCGATCTCTAATGAATTTTTAAGTTAATTCACTGCTCGTGAAAATTTCTGGAATGTTTAATATCAAACTGATGTATATTTGATGCGTTATGTTGCATTTTATCAAGAATTCGGGAAAGAGACGATCGCTTTAATTAAAAAATTGGAGCATAAGTATTTGTCGTTTTTCCTTTAAACAAATAACGAAATTTCGTCTTGTTTTATTTCTCTTATCGCCAAAGAAATATTCGTTCTTCTCGCCGAGAGTCGGATAACATTTTTAAATGCGTGATGTTATGTGTATTACGTATGATAATAAAGCGTACAGTCCCGGGTATTGACACATCACTGGCACATTCTGACATTGATTGTCTGATCAAATCGAATTTTGTAAAATAATAATGAAAAGAAAAAAGGAGAACCAAATACCGTCAAAAAACAAAGGACATGACATTTTGGAAATGATGGTGATAATTTAATCTTCCGAATTATTTCTCACGATAAATCTGTTATTCAAATTTAACTGGTAAAACGTCAAATAATTAAGTCGCAACCCAATGCAAAAAAAGTAATATATATGCAGGCAGTTAGCTCTCTGGTGGAGGGTATTTTCTCTCATTTGCAGAAATAAAGTCGAACGCAATGCACGTGTCTATTACGTCAGCGAGGGATTTATTAAACGAGCAAGGGCACGTTCCTTGACGCCCTCAATTATATGCGGCAATAAATTCCAGGACCGAGTTTCTGCTTCTCACGCGATTTATCGCACGTATTTATCCAAAGGTGCGTGTTCTCATGCAATAGAGACCGCGACGATTGATCGACGTGCATTTTAATCACCATCTAACGTTCGCTAATTACTCGTTACCGCGATCAATTATGACTACCAAGAATGGCGAAATTTTGTATGCAGTTTTAATATTAAATCTCTCTCAGCAACGCTGGTGTCAGGTAGGTGAAAACCTCAACGACAGGCTATTTCCCTTTGTTTCTGTTCATAGTTATTAATTACTCGATAATTTGTTGCAACGACCGCGGCTAATCTCGGCTTCATCGATATAATTGAACACCTAGCTGCGGGACTCTTAACTTACAATTGCTGCGGGATTCTCGTCAAGTCTATTATTTACACGTTCTCCAACGGAGTCGTACCAACGATGATCGATCGCGAACGCCAAGTACGGTCTATGTAATAACTGTTCAAATATGCTTGCCCCGTAATCGCTCGTTCTTGGTCGATTCGGTCGATTTTTATCTATACGATTAAACAAGGGTGCACGGCCCTGTTTGGCCGACAAATAGACGGATTTCAAATGCAACTATCTCGATGCAATTGTATAACTTTGTATCAATATTTTATATTTGGACGTTGTCTTCTTCCTACCAGATGCATTATTTATAATACTCAACAAATTCGATACGCTTTGATAATTATGATTAAATAAACCTCCACGTATGTTACGAAGAGGGGAGAGAAATAAATTGTTTGAAATCTTTTAGAATCGAGACAAAAATTCTTGAAACTTTTGAATTATTTTTTTTTTTTTTTTTAAGAAAATTCTTGAATTCTTGCAAATTCTTGAAATTTTGTTGAAATAACTGCGCAACGAGTGTTCATTAGCGTCGATCGAAGAGTCTCCGATTTCACGAAATTTTTTGTCGCGAAATCCTACCGCTTCGCTATTTCAGAACTGCTTGGCGAACTTATGACAGTTCGATATCTCGGAGTTTTCCGTTATGAACTTACGACACCTCGATCCCTCAAAATTTATTCCCCGCGAAGTTATAAAAGTTGAAAATTTCCACCACTTGAACCTCCGAGTTCCTCATATTTTCATCAACTCACCTTCGAACCGCACCGGGTAGTTGTCGAACGAGAACTTTGCACGTTAAGTTCCCCGATCAGAGGCACCGCGCCTCCGCCTTATGCATAATTCATCGTTTCTTCGACAACAACGAAGTAGTAATGGACAGTGCAACACAGAGTTTCCAATATTTCGCATCTCTCGCGCGTCGAGCAAGTTTTCAAGTGGAAGAAATGAAGTCACGTTCCCTTAACACAGAAAGGTAGCGGAACTGGAGCGATCGTCGCCCGTTAAAATAACAAAGTGATTCTAATCTTGTGCGTTGTTCGTCGACGGTGAAAGTCGACGATAATAGAAATAATAATGGAAATAATAATGGAATCTTTGATTTAAAATTGAAGTTTATGACGTTCAAGCTGTTCCCCATTCGACCGTGTAAATAACTTGGTTGGTTCAGATGTTGCGAAGTTCTAAAGTTCTAATTCGTACAAAGTTCTGTTTATTTAGCTCTAACGAGTCCTGCGCCGAGTACTTGTTGTCCTTTCTTGGAGACCCTATTTGTCTCTTTAGCAACTTTTAAATTACTCTGATATCAATCTTCCAGATAAACGCGCTTTTCATTTCAAAACGTTCTCAGGACGTGGATGAAGCAAACCTTGAGATTAAAGGAGATCTTTCCACTCTTTTAATACACTTAACATATTTTAATTTACCTCCATTGGCCAAGATATTCGTAGCTTCTACACTCTAAATTGTCTGTTAACTGCGCCACGTTTTAATATCTAAAGTTATTATGGCGTAAAATTTTCAAATTAATAATCAATTTTCTTGCTCAAAATATTTCTTTAGCGCAATTAATGTAAAACTAGGTACGTGACGTACTTTATTCCATGCATTTAATTACATTTTTTCTCCAAGGATTAGATTTATAGGTTAAGAGGTGTAGATTTTGCTAGACTCTCCAAGAGGTTGAGGGGTTAGAAACCACTTACTTAGAAGCACAGTATTCACTAAACAAGGTAAAAAAAATGCTTAGTCTACATAGGGCGAAAAATGAGCTCAAAGGATAGAAACGATTTTTGCGTAAAAGCAGAAATTCTTAATCTCAATACAAAGTTCCTTTGATTTTTTTAATTTCCTCCGCGTCATGCAGGAGCATTGCAATATGAGCCTAATCTTAACGAAAATGGCCGCCGAGGCTTACCATCATTACGTATTGTACACATTGATCACGTAGATTTCGTATCGCCAATGATACTCAATGATCGGATAGGATTAAATAGGGTTGCATCCGTAGGTTATTGAGAATCAATAGAAGGAAGATACTACAAGTCCTCTGAGATAGGCACTAATAATCTATAGCTACCTAACTAGAGTCGCAGTCTTCCTGGTTCATACTCGATCAAACGAGCCAAAGTATAGAAGAGCGTAATTCTAAATCAATTGGACAAATCTCACTCGGAAAAATTTTATTCGACATTTCTAGCTTATTTTCTACGAGCCACCCTGTGTATACAACGAAAACATGCAATGAATTTATGTCTTCCTTACGCCAGAAGACACGAACGTGTTTCGAAGAAGGAACCTCGAACTAACTCGAGTAAACGTAACAACACAAAAGAGACGTACGTTTCTCGCGTGCCAGCGCAAAGAAATTTTCACCCTCGAGAACTATTCGACGAGATTCGTGTCGTAACTAGCGATGGGATAGAGCACCTCGCGAGAACACTCCATTCTGAAACTTCCTTAAAATCCTGTAAGAGACGATATTGCAATTTGCTATAATAAGCGAAACTGTACTGTAACTCCTCCTACGACTGTAACACACATTTCGTTACAGTTTAGATCTGAAAGCTACAATTTCTTTCGTGAACAGAGAAAGTCTCTTTTCCCAAATAATTCCGCATCAAATGATCAAGAATGTCTAAATACACAGTGGTTGAGACAATCATTTTTAACGAACAGTATTCGACCTCGCGAAGCTTACCAGAGTTCAGTGTCGCGAGTGACTCGCCAACGAACACTTGACGAAGTCGATCCCACCCCTAGCGGTAACCCCAAAACCACGTCACCGTCCCTACCATCGAGAACATCGATTCCGTAAACGCCGACCGTCCCGGATCGTACGTCCGAATTAATTTCGACGGCGTTTAGGAAACGAGCCTCCAGCTCGATCGATACTTGGAGTTTCCCCGACCAGCCAGCGGGATTTCCCTTATCCCCATTAGCCGTGACCTCTTTATCGCCAGGATCACCTTCTGCGGGATCACCATGAAGAATTACGTGGAGGCCAACATATCACACAAGTCCCACACTACCGTCAAGTACACGATGAAGATGCTGTCCAGCGGCTCCGAGACGATCATATTCATGTTCCTGGGGGTGGCGACGGTGAACAACGCTCACAACTGGAACACATGGTTCGTCCTCATGACCATAGTCTTCTGTTCCATCTATCGAATCCTCGGTAAGTTCAAGGTCGATCATGGAACACCGACTTTGAAAACGTCGAGTAATCGCCTCGCAAGTCGATGTATCGAGCGACTGGGTCGGTGGTCGCGCAATAACCACGTCGATTCGAACGACTCTAGAGTTGCTAATGGTATCAACGGAGATAAGAGCCTTAAGCTAAACCGATCACCGCTTATCGTGCGTCACTTACCAGTTACGAGATTTGCGCCAAGAGTATCGTTTCTTGAACGGTCTTTAGCGCCGCAAAAACGCGGTCAAGATCGTTTCGTGACTTTTGGCTCTTTTTCGAGACTTTTGACGTTTTTAGGAATACTTTCGGGTGTTTACCAAGCTTCTTTGAATTTGTTTATGCGCGAATAACTACAGCTCTCTATTCTGTACTACTCGTTTCAAGTAAAATCGTTAACTATCTTCTAAATTAACGAAGCAGGGACGCTCATAATCCTTAAAGGAATGGCGAAATCTCTCTTGTTTGTATATTCTGTTTCAAAACATCGAGACAAACGGCTGTTCGCGAGGAAAAGATGGAAGAGTACTCATAATCCCCGAAGAAGTTCGGACTTAGCGAATCCCCCGCTTAAGTTACAGAATCTTCGAAGACTCTTAACAAGATTCGTCTTCCTCCTTCTACAACCATCAGTTTACATCAGAGCTTACTGTCGCGAGCTTACGGCTTCCCGTTCCAATCGACAGTTTATCGCTAGCCAATAGTTTCGTTAATTCGCGCTTATGCGAGCCAAACACGCGTGAGCTTCAACCCTCCCGAGCATCGTAAATTTAATTAACGCTTTCGACCAAAGCTGCTAGTCCCTTATTAGAATACAATGGTTGCGCTAACCTAAGGTACACAATGCAAATCTTTGAATAGTATTAACATTCACAAAAATCAACTATGACAGACTAATTTCACAAACAATTTCTAGCAACAGATAAATTGAAGAAACTATTTACTAGAATCAAGAAACAGTGACAACCGAATATTACATTTGCAAATATTTCCCTCCAAAGCGCAAATGACTCTATTTAAGGACTAAGAATTACGATTGCAAAATTCCGATGCATATCTATACCAGTATAATTCAATTTCACCGCCATGCATGGTACAAGCTCACGCGATTCACGTATACGAGCGCATGTAACGCGAAAATAGTACGAACACGAGACAGTCGCACTTGGCATAATACACGCAATTGAATAATTCTTTTCCATTCTGGATCAAACAGTTGTTTATAATACCATTAAACCTTTAACGTTAGCATTTTATTAAGCGGCTAGCGATCAAAATTGTTTACCAACATCATCCAGTAACTATCTATTTATAAATAACTGACCAATTACATACAAACCATGAACCTTTAATTGAAGAATTGGACTCCAAAATGGAGAATCGGAACACGGTACAAGCTTAATTAATTATACGATGCTAAGAATGGCTGGACTTCACGCGAGTTTACCACTAAATTGTATCGGCAAGAACGCTTAAAAATTCATGGCGGCTGCGCAATCAGCGCACATGTCAACGCTGCGAGCACCAATCAAGGGATCGAAATGGAATTTGCAGGCGTGATCGTACTGACAGCTGTGGCGAATCAATTCCGACTACACAGGCTGGACAAAGTGGAGAAGTTCGTGATGTCTTACGGAGGCTTAAGAGGCGCGGTTGCTTTTGCTCTGGTTCTACTGATTGACCCCAGACACGTGCCATTGCAACCGATGTTCGTCACCACCACCATCGCTGTTATCTACTTCACCGTGTTCATACAGGTAAAACGATAACCAAAATATAGAAAAAGAGCGCATGTATTGTAGCATTACCCCAGCAAATAGATAGTCTCGCGTTTTACAAGAAACTGCCACTGCTGAGAGTTAAAGGGCACGCTGACACTCAAAAATCATTTCAATTTTGAAGAATTTTTAATATCAAAGGTATGTAATGCAGAATGTCTGAATTTAGATATACAAATAAACCGAAGCCGAATTTTTTTTTTGTACATCCAACTACAACCCTCAAGAGGTGACGCCAATTTCATGACAAAGTAGAGGAAGTATCCTTACGAATTTTTTACGACAATACTGTATACCCGAAGGAAATGAATTTTTTATTATGAATGAAACATATAATAAGCTTCGAAATGAAACTTTTTATGTGTGCAACAGACGTCAGCAAACAAAATGGCGTTGATCTCATTCGCGGTGTGACAGTTCATCGCATGATGAACCTATAACATTTTTAGATCTCAAAAAAACGGGACACTGTAATTAAATAATTGAAAAAGTAATAATTTTTCACTCGCGAAGCAATCCACTATTTGTTTCCATGCATGCGGACTATCTAGGAATCGTATTTTTGTTATCACTGTGAATATTTTAATGAGACTTATTCTATATTATTTTTATAAGTTTAAGTTACTGTTCTATACGAAAGAGTTTGCAACTCTGATATCTTTAAAACCGACGCAGAAGTCAGAGAATTGTGATAAATTGCTCGGTTGTTTTCCACGGCGGAAACAGGAACAAAACATATCGGGTGAATCTGCTGTCGTTCTCCATGAATTATAAATAACAAATCAATAACTATCCAAGGTTTAACTTGAAAATTGCGATTGTTGCACAATGACAAAAAAAGAACCTTGATGAAAATAATTATACAACTGATTACCCATTATCAAATGTTATAAACTGTTGATAATTCTCATGTTTCCTTTAATAAATTCTCCACGAACGTTTCACATCGCCCAATAGTTGTAAGCAAATGAAATGATTTGTTGCTTACAAAGATCACGGATATAGAATTTCAAGGCACGAATGGAAACTGAATAACCTACAAATTGAAATTGGAATATCCCTTCCGCGTGTCTGCTCTCGGATTCTGAAGGATCTTTAGAGTAGGAATGGGGTTGACACAATGGAGCAAGGTTCAGCAAATTGTTCCTTCTCGTGGTTGACATGCTAAGAAGATGCAGAAATCTCAGAGAAAGTGCCGAGAAATGGAGTTGTGTTAAAAGAAAGTATCTAAGCAGCGGCGGCGGTTACATCACGATCCTTCCTAACGAGGAATGCGAAGAGCGTTATTGAAGGAGAGCAACTTCCATCGCGGACAAGCGATTCCCTTTGGCATGGAAAAAATTCCTATGATTCAAGTTATGACTTCTTATTTCGCATCTTTTATTAGAGGAGCACTTGAGTGTTTCAGCAACCGACGAACCGCATTGGCGTCGGAATTGGAAATTTCATAGAACATACCTCTGGAGATTTTTACGATATCTTGAGGGCAGCAGCTAGAATTTCACTTTTTATGAACAATTAAGAGTTGTTATGTAAAAGTCTGTAACTTTAAAAATTGAATAGAGAAGAGTGCTGATTAAAAATCTCGAGTAAAAATTAATAACATAAAATTGAATAAAATTTAAGGGAAATTCATGTCGTAAACTGAGTATCAGTAGATCAGTGTGACTTCTGAGAAGGCTTTCATGGTGCCCTTGTCGATTCACATTTAGAAGGCTCGAGTACCATAGTGATGTAAGTAAAAATAAATAAAAAATTCACCCTCCAGTCGACACGCCGTGTGAGATATAATGCATCACAATTTTATTTTTTTTTTTTACTCACACTGCTACGATGCATACGAGACCATCGATCGCAGAATAGACTTGAAACGCCCCGCATCGCGGCACGTTTACAATAATAATACTAGACGAGGTCCCCGATGCAGCACGCCTCGAATATTTCCCGTGAAATTGTGGGTAGACAAAGGAAAGGTTGTTCGTTTTAAAGAGGGTAATATAATAGTGGGAAAAATCCCTTTTCTCTGAATCAACATACCTCCAAGTGTGGTTCTCGGGGGTCTGGGGGTTCACGGGAAGCAAACTTTCAGAAATGTTGATTTAGAACCGTGGAACCATTCAATGACCCCGACTCGAATCTATTTCCACGAAATTTCTCGGAGTTTTAAATTCTAATCGGTAAACGTCCACAAGCCCGTGAAGGTGCGAGCCCTTTGGAACTCGTTTCTAGAGATACTCAAGAGAACTGAAACCGAGGGATTTGAGAATCGCTATTCTGAAATATCGTTTTCCTGGATTCCAGGAAAGAAAATGTTTTTCGATGGTATCTACAGGGACTGACATTATCTAGAATGAAATATTCGGTACTATTCACAGACAGCCGTATCTCTAGAAATATGTAATATTTGATTAGATAGTTTTCGATTAGCTGGTATTGTTATCCAAACCTTCGGAATCGATTTTCTTCTCCTTGACGTGTGTTATTAAGCACAAACATCTGAGATATAATTTTTAGATTAGAAACTCGATTCGTGTTCTCAAATAAAACGACACGTACAAAGAGTCGATTCGAACATTTGCATTTCAACTTTATTATACTAACTGCACGGTTATAATATTGATTTGTGTATTAATTATTAAATTTCGTTACTAGATAAAAAGTATCGTTAAAGATACACTGCACGGAAAACACTCCCCGATGGATGAAAGCCGTCATTTCAGAAATTACGATGTTTCACTTCCATCAACTTCAAATTTCTCGCGAACGAAGTGTATTTTAGGAGACCTACAGATTATAAAGGGAACCAATTATTGTTAATTTCACAAATGACGGAAGAAATGGAGTATGAAGCAGACGAATCCGAGAGCAGTGCAAAGGATGGAAGCCATTTCATTTGTGGCTCCACTTCTCGCTTATTTACAGATGAAGCGAAATAAATATGGAAACGTTGAAAAAGCACCAAAATTGTATAAGGGCGTAGAAATTTATGTTGCGGTTAGGCTTTCGCTGGAAAATTAATTGAAAAATGATATACAAAGACGACAACTAATTATTGCGTTTGGTCACAAATTAATGTATATTTCAGATTGAAACTGTTGACTCGCGAGACTGAAATTCATTTCGAAATCTCTCTAATAATGCCTTCTACCTCCCTTTCATCATAGGAGTAAAATGCATAGTGATTGATACGATTTAAAATTTGCATGTCTCTCAAAATGTACTTTATCTACGAGGCATTTGAAATCGACATCTCTCGTCCATTCTTAGTAATCCTAAAATTGGCTATATGAAAAGTTATTTATTTGGTACTAAAAACTAACTTTATTCATCGATCTATTGGTCCAATATAAGAAAATAAATTAAACCTTTCATTAAATTCGAGCATTGACGGAAAAATTGCTTTCCGATGTTTTCAGATATTTTCATTAGAATCAATGAAAGGCTTCGAAAGATTCTTTATTTGCCTCTCATCCGATCATTAAATCGATTGGAAGTGAATATAATTTACGTTTGTAAACCGTAAAGAGCTAGCAGAGATGCATTCAGTGTCATCCTGGACCTCTCGACATGGTAAAAGATTCATTTCTTTTCTACTCTTCAAAAAAAAGCATCCTTCAATTTTGAGATTCACGCAATCAGGGAAAATTACGTAAGCCTTGTATTTCAGGGCTGAACAAAACATTTCCTAGAGAATGGAATCGATTCCAGAGAGTCGAATCACGTGACGTTTCGGAAAAGACTGGCCACGTCGAAAGGGGATCTCCGTAGCTCGTTATCGTCAGCTTGTATCACTGTTACGCCACATGTTACCTACGTAATACACCAACTTTTATTACCCGCCTCAGTCATTTTCCGAGACAACTGCGAATGAACTCGAACCTATCACGACGCAGCCTGTTATGACAATCTACTCACGGTCTAGTCGCTACAAATATATTTCTCCGTAATATCGCGGAACCAGTACCGTGCAAGATGCACCAACAATAATGCAACTGAAGAGACAGCGCTTCTTCGTAAAAAAAAAAAAAAAAAAAAAAAAAAAAAATTGAAAATATAGAACCTTTATACCGATTCTGTTTTTCTCTCTTTCTTGTACGTTCACGTGTTTGTCCTCGTCGTTTTTTCTTTTACTTTCGTCGTCTGTGTATACATTTGTCCTCTTTCATTGTTCTCTAACATCTTTTACTCATGTTTTCTCAATCACCCGTCTCGACGGTCACTGGTGCAGCCAGTTGAACTCTAAATCCCACAAATTTGTTAACGTTGTCGTTTCCCGTCGTCGCGTAATTCGCTTTAACTCCGTCCACCTTACTTCGAGAAGGAATTAGAACGTCTAAAGCAAGAGCTAAAGGAATGAAATACGAACGCAATTAGACCGCGAAAGGTTAAAGCATGCGGTGCAAGGGAGAAAAGGCGGAATGGAATCAGAGAAAACACCCTCCTACGTCCCGAAGGCGCGTTCTGTTTGCGATCGCGGTGGAACCGGCTCCGCGGCTCCATTAGTTCTAAAAACACCATCGACTTTGTCGCGCAATCGATCGGAAACTCGATATCGACGTTCGCGACGGACGGCCTCGCGACATCCGGTCGATCCTTGCGGCCAGGACAGTCTGTACATAAAAGGCCAACCCGACACGCGGCTTCCGTTCTCAAGGAAGACGAAATTTCTTGTCAGAGCCATGGGATTCCAGGAAAATTCTTTTAATTCCCGACTGAGATGCAATTTGCTGCGTGATCGATCGTGTGTGGACTGATTTGACCCCGATCGAAAAGTCAGAAATTCAGCTTACCGAATGCCTGAGGCAACGAACAAATTTAAACTTACACAAAGGACAATTAATTCGTTTATGCGAGATAATAACAGCGGTTATAGTGCACGATCGATTTAAACTTCCACGGAGTCTTTATTGAAAAAGTTGAGTATAGAACGTATCAGATGGTGGAGCACCGTAATCAATCAATTTCTTAAAAGATCAGAGAGCGTGTTCAATTATGTGTTTGGATTATTAAGTGTGTTGTCCTAGAGGAATTTGTTTAATTTAGTGTCTGGTAGCCCGGGGTAGTCTCAGTCTTATGTTACATCAAATGTATTCAGTCCTATGGGAAAATGGATGTATACTCAAGAGAGATCAAGGGCTGGGAACTCGATGGAATTGATTTGAGTTAGCTGTTACATATATTCCCAGAACCAAGAGGATTTCCTTGTTACATTGGCTGTACAGTGCTTCGGTATTATTTCCACAACACAGTACATTGTATAAATAATTGTGCAAAGCGCTGTACAGTGTAATCAATCCATTGTACTAATCACTGTATACTACGGAACATGATACTAATAATGAGACAAAGGACTGTATACTATAGTAGATTCTACAGTACCTTGAATTTTATAGTATGTTTTAAGAAGTTTATAAGAATGAAGTTAAGATTTCGAATTGATTACTAAATATTTATTCAAGCGACCGAGTATCACTCGGCCAACTACGTCTGTCTATTACGGGTTATTTCTACTTGTGTCAGACGTAGCAAACCGAAGGTGGCATGCCATTATCTATTTTCCGTCAGCTTTATTACCTCGCAAGCAATTTCAGCTAATTAAAAGGTCACGCTGCTGTCGATGTTCGCAAATATTAACTCAAGTAGAAATAACGAGCAAAGGACTGACATTTCAGATAAACCAATTCTGAATACCTTCTCAATTATTGACACTACAATTTTCATCACTTTGCACACACTTTCAACACATTTTATCACGGGTCAAATTCGATCGAAATAATTCGGTCCACGTTGTGTGTGTTCCGCAAATAAATGACTCTCGGTCCCTACCCCAAGGGATAGAATGATAAGAAACAATGCCCCAAACGATGCCCGTTCAGGAACACGCGAGTGACAATATTATTGCAATGATAGTGTTTGGATCGTTTTTTCGCGTGTAGGCTATCTAACGACATCTAGCTGTCAGGTAAATCTGTTTTCAGGGCATCACGATCAAGCCGCTGGTAAAGATCCTGAACGTGAAGAGGGCTGAGAAGAAGAAGCCAACTATGAACGAGAGGATTCACGAACGGGTGCGTGTACGCTTCTCGTGTCTTGTCGTTGACCGTACCCCTTTTTTAAAACAGTGTTTTATGCGACGCTGCGGCGATCGATCGGTTAATAAAAATACGAGCGAAGGAAAAATGGACGTGGGTATAAATTATAGGCAAGCCGCGCGATGCATGCAGGGACGGGCACGTTTCAATGATTTTGTAATCGAAATACGTCTGAAATGCCGAACGTATGATGTATTCGGTGCTTACTACACGTGACGAACAACCTGACGTATTGTATATTCTGCGGTGATCAAAATATCGACATTCATTTGTATTTTGTATCCATTCATGCTGTCGAATATTAAATACGCAGGCTGCTACGAAAGTGTCTGGACGTAAATTGAAACAACATTTTTTGGTAAAATAATGGAAACTGTTAAAATAATAACACGGGTTTGGTTCGATTTTTAGAGATTGATGTGTTTGGTTGAGAGGTAACCAGTAAATGTTACCGCATCAATTTTTCGACAAAGTAAAAATAGAGAAGGAAATTAGATAATTAAATTAACAGCTATTGAAGATATTCAGGAATTGAATAACCCCCTAGCAAACATACGCATAAGAATGATTGAAATATGGACTAGGCTGCAAATGAAATGTAAACCCAGTGAGATTGTCGAATATTTTTCAAACTACGTTCAGCCCATCCCTGATCGCATGCCGTCGTTAAACATCGAGAATGAATAATCGGGGCCCCGATACGGTGAAAAATCAACGATCGTCGCTGGTCGACGTTCCCTACGCGAGGAGGATCGCATTGATTTTCAACCGCGGTCGGTTCGTAAATGAACGTGTCGAAACAAGAACAATGGGCCAGTAAATTAACCGAGTCGTTTCGCGGTTGATACCCTTAACGTATATCACGTCAGATAACGGATATAATAAGCGGCAGCGACGTTCAACCTTTCCCTCTGGTGCATATTTAAAAAAAAAAAAATGAGAATGAAAAAACAGGAAATGACATTTCTATTTTCAGATAATGGATCACGTTATGGCCGGGGTCGAGGACATTTTAGGGAAGCACGGCAACTACCATGTCCGAGACAAGTAATGCATGGCTTGTTCACGTTCTAATGAAACGTCTATGCGTGGTGATAAACGCACAATACTTCGGAGAATAAATGTACACAATGAAGGGAGGAAAAAGTGCTCTGTGAACACAAGTCGTGCTTATCGTAGACTTATAGAGGATCAATGGATCGAAGCACCTCCGTGCACACGCAATATAATTTCAAATTATACTTGGCTTCTGAAGAATACTTTGCCTTGACTTGGTTTATTAAAGTTTGCAATTGATTTAAACGTCAGTTTTTACACTGGCTCCATACATATAAGACGATAGCTGTATATATAAATTGGGTTTCAAAATTTCGAACATCCAAGCTATTAAATAAGAATCCTGCTTTCGAAAATATCTACTCTTCAAAGTATTTCAGTGCAATCACCTCTCTATTATCGCGAATAAATCAATTATTATTCGCTATTCTTTCTATTTTCTAGGTTCAAACGGTTTGACAATAAATTCATTCGACCGTATTTGGTGAGGCATCACTGCGGTGCCGAGCCGAAAATTTTAGAAACGTACTCGAAACTCGCGATGAAGGACGCCATGGATTACATTAGGAGGAACGCGTCCACCATTGGCAATATCAGCGGAACGGAAAGCATGTCTGCAATATTCCGCAACTATAGCAACACGGGACAGTTCCACGGGAGGTACGATCTCTTTTCATTTTTTTTTTTTTTTTTTTTTTTTTTTTTTTTATTTCTATTTCTTTCTCTCGCTTTCAATCTGCTGCGGACGGGAAGCTGCGCCGTTCGCACTTGACCTGTTTCTTCCCCTGATAACAAACGCGCGAGGGGTTGCCTCTTTGACACAACAGGTGCACAGGCGTTCCCTCGATACACAGAGGGAGAAACATTAATTATAAGGAGAGTTTTAATTAACGGAAAGGAATTGGATCCGGTATGTTTTTGATTCGATCCTGCTAGGATTGAAGGAATGAAAATAAGGGATGAATCATCGATAACCGAGCACTGTAAAATGTTTCAAAGAACATGCTTCGATATGGTTACCGTTGATAGTCGATAATTTACTTCGGTTTAGTACGCTATGGTAAATAGAGCAAAACTTTTTCTAACAATTACAAAACTATTATGTGGAGCTATCCGAGGTTAGTACAACAGAGTGACTAATATTAGAAAGACTAATATTATATAACAGAGTCTTGAAATATACTTTGGGGTTGGTAGACTACTCGTAATCACGTCCAATGCAATAATATAGATTTTATTCAGAAGCAGATTTTATCGAACAGTCAGTTTCCGTAACGCGAACCTTAGGGTGCCATCCCCACCGATGACTCATCCTGCACACAGAAGGAGCGTAAGCGTAACGGAAGATAAGTCTGCATTGTATCTCGATTGAAGATTGAACAGCAGACCCTACTCGAGGCGCGGTATCGATCTCGAAGTGGTAGCCTGTCATAAAATGCAGTCTCACTCTTTCTCCTTCCAGTCCGAGTTGCAGCCAGCTCGAAACGGGCTGGAATATTGATCTCCAAGAGTTGGAGTACAACCCTTCCAAGAAGGACCTCACGGACGCCAGGATCCACCACTTATTGGCCGAAGAACTCTGCAAACCTTACAAGAGGGTAAGAAACCCTTCTTGCTGACTACGATTTGCATGTACATATGCAACGCGGCCCTGAGAACTTTGCTGACAAGGAATCTGTTTAAAAATGAACCGTAACGCTGCGGAATATTCAACCCTCGATACGTCTTTGACGTTATTTGTCCCCCTGGATACTAGAGAGAATGATCTCGAGTTTAAAGTTGAGGATGGAGCCGCGAATCGAATGAAAATTGAAATGGCAAATTATTCACGCACTTACAGAGGGATTGCGTGTCGTGCTATGATCTTTCATAAAACTTTCATAAACATTTGCCAATGTTCCGTAGACTCGTAAATATACAAATAACCTAGTAACACGTCACGTGATCCCCTTGTTAGGTCGACAAACGACAACGAAGAATTTTCAGGGATACCTAATATCCCCCTACGACCAGTCGAACACCATCCTTTCATTCCTAAATGTGGCCACACTTCAGGACTACCCTTAAACTTAAGACCTCACTTGAAATATAAGAAAAACTCGCGTACACCCCCGCCACCCTTTGCCCCCGGTTATAAATAAAGCTTCTCCTAAGAACCCTCCGAAGTTACAACAACGCTTCAGTAGTTCCAAAGCTCGTTTAGAAAGCACTATAGAAACACAAAAATGAAATAAAGTTCTTGCAGCATCGACGCTTGAGCTATAGCAGGCACGCGGTGAACGATCGCGATCTCTCGACTCAAGTCAATTATAAAATGCACATGAACATACGGAGGATGATGGGCGAGCACAAGCATCGTCACAAGCGCAGCAAAAAGTTGCTCAAAGTAAGCAAAACCGTCCCCACCTCCTACTCCTGTGTTCGTCGTTGTCCGTCGAGCGAATCTTCGATGGGGTAATTAAAAACTTTTGCAGGACGGCAAGCAGAATCACGTGAGTTTCCCAGAGTTCCAGCAGAACGGTTCGACGAAGCTGTTCACTCAAGGTAAATTGGCGAAAGAATATCGATAGGGGGACGGGGGCTCCAGGCGAAAAAGGGTTCTCGGTTTGAATACGTGAATTTCAATTGGTCCCCAGATTACATGAACGGGGTGCTGTACGAGCTGGAGAACGGGGATACCTCAAAGCCTTCCAGCAAAGAGGATTGGGACTCTGCGATAACTTTCACGGCCCGTACTTCCGGTGAGGATTCGATTTTTTTCAAAGTTTCCCCCCAGTCTCGTTACGAGAGGCTGGAGCTACGGAATTTTCTTCGACCGATTCGAGGTCCCTTTGAGGAATTAGTTGCTTCGATGTTCGGACTCGTTAGACTCTTCTTTCGTGAGAGCTCGTCCGAGGGAAGCTAATTCCACCTAGTCTATTCACAGGCAAATGTCTTATCCCTCGATTCCCGTAGACTCGTCGAACGTGAATGCGGAGAACCATCACGGAGCTACCACGACCACCTCGATGGACACCATCAACACGGACGACCCGGAACTGAAGCTCGGGCGAGACGGTACGTTCGTGGAATTGAGGGGGATTTCTTTTTTTTATTATGGTCGAAAGAATAATTTTCAATGAGATAGATTAGCGGAGATTAATTCCAAGAGAATCTAATGCGCATACAAAGATGGAACTTTAACTATGGGTTTAATCAAATTTTGATATGTATACATTTTTACAACTTTGCAACTTTACAAAAGTCGTTTTCTTTTTGGGATAGAGCTAAGTTTGAAATCAATTCAAGTTGAACCTAACTTTCCTAAATAAAAAAAAGCGTAATTATCGAATAACATTTACTATTTACAGAGTGCTACAGGGTAACGACGCCCACTGCCACGGAAACGATGTTACCATGGAAAAGGGAGGACGATTACGATTCCGGTCACCCTATCAAACAGAACGAATTCCCAGCCTGGTGTTCGAATAAAGAATACCTGGCGTACAGTTCTCCGTCGGCGACGTTCTTAGGTACGATTACCATAAACGGCTACCATGCTGTCGTGAATATTTCATTACATCCTAGGAGACAGATGCATCCTAGCAACTAGCATCGACACGTTACCAACACTACTGTACAGTACACTGATTTCATTGGCTGGCTATACATTTACTAAACTACACAGTCTCTACACTTCGAATACACTACACTTGTATATATTCTAAACACTACAACGGTTATAGGTCATTCCATGTCAAAGATTTTTATTGTGTTGTTCACATGGAATTAGGGGAGACTTAAGATGTTATTTTTCTCATTTTGTAACTGCTCAACGTAGTACAAACCCTTAAAGTTGGCAGTTTCTGAAAAAAAAAAAAAAAAATGATGACTTAAACCTCATCTAATTTCATGCGGACTATCACGTATCGAAATATTATTAGAATTCTAGACGTGGAATAGCCCTCACACGTTGCAGAACTATGGAACGCTAACGGTATCTGAATCTTCTTCTCGACGTTCTTGTTGCGAAAAAACTCTACCCTGAAAGTTTACTTGGATGGGGGTCGGGTAATCCCTTGCACGCGGAGAGAGGAACCGTGTTTTTTCGCAGGAATTATTCATAGCACGTTCGCTAAATTTTTAAGCATTGTTTCAGGTATACCGTACCACATTGCGGGTCTATTTTTCGATGGAAGTTCGAATCAATATTTGACAAAGATTTCAGGAAACGATAAGTCCTCGCCATCGTTCTTGAAACGAGTTTCGTTAAGAAAATATTGCGGTCGAGTCATCTATTGATTATAGCAAGTCCAGTCATAAACTACATAATTAAATTGTATTATTTAAAGCAACTATGGCGGCGGTGTCCTTAAGACTCAGACATTTAGAAATTGATGTGATTCGGTAGATAAATTTGTAAGAACAGGTACGTGAACGGTGAAAATACGCTGCTTTACAGGAGAGCCGTATTACTGAGGACAAGCGAGCTCACGAACCTCGGAGGATACTAACCTCGGATCGCAATTGCTCCCACTTCCGGTTGGAAAACATGTAAATGTCACGCATCAGATCGTTCAGAAATTTTCTGCCATTTTCTTTTTTGGCGCGAACGGAACTGTGTTTTTTCCTTCTATTTTTTGGGTTACCCAATCCCCTTTAAGCCTCACTCACACGTTCACACACGCACTCTATTGATACACGATCGATTATCCATCATACGCTGAAAGCTTCACACGCATTACGTCTAATTCGTTTAATCCTAATCATGCTCGCGCGAGTCTCAAACTCAGCCTTTGAGAACAGTCGGCTTTTCAGTTTTCCTAGTTTTCTTCGAGCACTTATCTTTCACGTTTACCCGCAAACTACGGGGTGTTTCGCTTATTTCGACGCCTGACAAAAATTTGCTACCAAAGGGATAATATCGTTGGTTTTATGGAACAACAAAGAAATTATTTTCTTCTAACTAAGAAATATATCAAAGACCTTAAGATTCGTGATAAAACTATGGTACCCTTGGACCGAAGGTAGTCCAAATTTTTCTTCGGACAATATGAAGGTTCAATACGAAGATATTCGATGTAGTCAAGACAAGCGAAACATCCTGAGGAGAAAACTTATTTTATTAGCATTTTCTCCGAATTCAAGGTGGAATCGAGCAGCCGAAGATCCAGTCTGTAATTGGCCTATTCCGTCGCGATAGCGTCTGCACTCCAGACAGCATGGATTGCGAAGAATCCCTGGACAAGCACGACGACTACACGCTGACTGAAACAGAGCAGACAGACTCACCTTCAAGAGCGTCGAGTAAGTAATCCACGAATCCTAAAAATAAGGATCTAACGTGATAATTTTTACACAGCTTTTCTCATCGTAATCTATCAGTGGGTAGATATTGAAATGCATCTCTCATCAAGAATACTTTAAATTTTGATTTACGCTTTCTAAAGTACTCTCGCCATTTATAGATTACAATGAGACGTTTTGTATATTCAAGTAAAAACGCACATACACACAAAAACAAAACACTCACACAAGATACTCCAATGTTACAGGCTCACCATGACGGATACAAACAAAAGTAGTATAGCGAAGAAGACACTCGGATAAGTAGAGTGTGATTTGATTCTTGCAGACGGGAGGCGGGGTCCCACGAGAAGGGTGTCGATGATGGAGCTGGGCTCCATGGAGAGATCACAGTCGGACAAAGTGACAGACGATGGTTCCCATTCTCTGCCAGAATGCTGGAATACTCCTCAGAAGTACCGTATGGGTTCGTTCTCCTATTCAGCCCAGGTACCCAGCCTCTCCACCGCCCTCATAACGTCCTCCTCGGAATCGTCGGAGGACATCGACGAGGAGGAGGAGAACGCTTGACCCTTGGGGATCGTCGAGGAGCAGACGCCCTACGCTGACGTCGAGCGTCGGCTGCGTCGCCCGTGGCGACGACCACCTCGACGCTCGTTGCTTTCGTCGCTCTTACGACGACCCAGCGCACCTGTCTGAAGGGAAAGTAACACCTCTGGCCACGCGACTATGGCGTATCCACCCTAAACAGTCGCGTGTGCGTTACACAAGGAGAAGGAAGAGCAGCTCGTTTTTTTATCCACCTCCCGCAGCAGGACCACGATGACGGAAAGTATCTATATATATTGACCGAGGTCTGAGCACGTGGAGGAATCGACGTGGGGAGAGAGGGCGCATTTGCCCTGAAGAGAATTCTTATCTTGCTGCCACAGCCAAGCAACTCCATGGTCTTACGAAGGGATGTAGACGTTGTTATACTTGAAATGCAAGGGAGAGCGTCGCTCAAGTGAAGCCAAACATAGCGTCGAAAGAAGTTCATCGAGTTCGAATTTGTATTTCTGCTGTAAAATTGTATCTTTTATTGTCGAGTTAGGTAGACCTCAATGTGTTTCTAATCTTGAACTTTGCCACTACCACCTGCAACAATATGGGAACTTAATCTTTAAACTGTCTAATTAAACCTAACGTTAGAACGTACATTTTTATTTCTCTGCGCGCCATGTTGGCTTCGACTCAGCGACGTATCTCGAGCGCAGCATACAAACCATAGGCTGCTCTGATACTCAAGCTACCACACAACTCGAAGTAGCGACAGACTGAGAATTCAAAACCGAGGAAAGTCAATTTGAGGGTAGGATACCTCTTTCCTAAACCCTTTACACCTAGTCGATTCTCTCACCTGTCTCCACCGACGCATTAGCTCGCACGCAGAAACGAGTTCATCATGGCATAGGTAGTTCTCCATCGTCACGAGCGAAAGGAACAGAGAAATTTTTCTTTCCGCTTAAACTCTTCATGCACAGGGAGGATTCACATTCCCCCCCCCCCCCCGTTTTGAGGGGTTCACACATTTTGGAATTTTCAAGAGGAACCAGTGGTTGACGAGAACAACCACGGAAACGCACCGTAGCAAGATGCCGCTCAACGCGTCCGGTATTTTCTAGCAAAGAGTTACCGCACCAGACGCACCGCGATCGCACGGATGCCATTTTTGATACACTCAGACCGCTGCGCGAATACTTTTTGCACATTCGACGAGTGGTACGTGGAAGAAAGAAGAAGACAGAGGGTGGGAAACCTGAGAAAGCTATTTTTTTAACCGATACCTTTTCCTCCACGCACGACTGACGGTCACATAGGATCGAGGCGGAGGTACCTGGGGGATGTTTTTCCTGTTGTTCGTTTTGATGCTTCCTCCGCGAACCACGCGGATCGTCCACGGGGATTTCTTAATCTCGAACGAACAGAAAAAACGATTTTGTCGTTGTTTCCTGTTCTAATATTTTTCTGCGTGTCGAGAAAAATCGACAACCGAAGGGCCGCGCGCCGTTTCCTAGAGCTCGGATTCTTCTTCGAACCGAATCCTGTGCGAATTGACTTGCGAAGATCGCTGATTACTTGGTATCGTGGCCTTAAGATTCCTAGATGTATCCTAACGATCGGAACTTTCTGTATGGAGATGACAGAGGGAAGGGGATGAGTCTTTTCCCTGGACGCCTTTGGACGCAACCTACGTAGCGTCAAGAACTCGTAGATACGCGCGCTTAGGTGATTCTGTGACGCGCTATAGTTTTTGTTTTTTAGGGGAATACAGAAAATCTCTGACGCAAAATGACTTGACAAGCTGGGGTCACATGTGCAATTTGCTTTTGAATTTTTAGATGTGAATCTAGAAATAGACACACCCGCTGGGGCGCAGAGTTCAGGGCATTGTATTAGTTATTCGTTATGAAAGCGGGGTACGTTCATTTATTGGTTCGTTTAAATTCTTCGTATTGCACAAACAAGTAGACCCTTGTTTTAAATGAATGAACTTATCGCAGTTTCATAATGAACGGCTGATATATATATATATCAAGGAACCGTTTATACACGCGTACAAGATGGAAAGGGGCTGACTAAATATCCCTGTTACCTTCGAGGGAGCTAAAATCATGTCAATTGTATAGTTTGGGTAACCACTTCTCTAGAAAATATTTGTTCGGATAGAATATAATTCGGATAGATAGAAACAGTATTGTGTTTATCAGACATTACATGCATTGTTTTATAATTGAGAAAAACTTATAATCTTTTGGCATACCTGATATATCAAACTATGCAACCTGTCGATGACAAGACTCTTGCATCCTCAACCACAGTGATTTTGATGTTCCCTTTCAGACAACCCATCTTGATGTCACATTATTAAGTTTCTGCAGGGACTCTTGCAAACTTTTCAATATTTACACCATTCTGGGTACACCAAAAATGTAATATTGTCAAAGACAACATAGGTTCTTACTTTTTGGTCATTTTCGAAACAAACGATAAATTTGTATTCAGGCTCCAATCGAAGAAAACGAATGTTTGAATTTTGACGAATTAGAAATCTGCGAAAATTCCTGCAGAGAACCAGTAATTCCATGCAACAAGCGTACTCGTGAATGGTCACGTTTCGACGACTCACCAGAAAGATCTCTGAAAAGAAAATAGAGATAATAATACAACAAAATGCTTCGTTCATCGCATGCATTTATGTATATGGCGCATTCGTGGAAATGAAATTCACTTGAGACGTGGATTCAACGTAAAAACTTAGTAAGCTTTCGTTACAGGTTAATAACTTAGACAAAGGCAATGTACATTCCGAATGTTACATATTCTTTAGAAAGCTAAAAATGCTTTGGAGTAGCATCTTCTTCTGATTAATAGTTACAACTTGGAAGCAGAGCAAAAGTGATCCCGTATTTACTAAACATTTTCCATTATTTTTATATGATGAATTCATCCCTGAAGTGTGAAATGCATTTATACGAATGGATCCTGTACAATAAACTGGCATCTTGCCTGGGATCGTCCAAGTCCTTAGAGGCGACAGACATACGGAAATTGTCCAAGCGCTCCTCTCCTTAAGTATGGCCTTAAAAGACAAAATAATAATAATATTGAGAACGAGTAAATAAATAAACGAATAAGAGTCTCAAGTAGAAAAACCAGCCGCGAACAAAATAAGTCGTAGGTCAGTTACCTAACGCGATGATAATACCGTAATGTACATAAAGGAAACTTTTCTTAGCGAATATCGTAGCAAGTTATTACGACGACTATTATTACCACCATTTATTGGACACGAATTGTGGAACGTCAGTGTGTCGAAGTGTGCAACTAGCGAGGAGGTGTCGAGGGAAACTCGAGAATTCGGATTTTTTTATGAGAATTGAAACGCGAGTACTCGTGAAATGGAACGAAGCGACGACCATTAGTTAACTGATTGTTTTACATGTCGAACGTCGAATATTGCAACATGCCAAGTTTGAAAATATTTCTTGCAAAAAATTCTAGAAAAAATCACTCGAAAAAAATTAGTGATCAACTTTAGCCTCGAGATAGGGCTATCTTTCAAAGAATTACAACTTTCAAGTTTTAAACGATTTATCGCAAGCAGTTGAGGGAGAAATATTTCAAAAAATCTTCACAGCAAAACTTTTTCTAGTGTTGCTGCAATTGGCACAAACCAGCTCCAGTTAACTAAGAGAACCTCCATTGGGACTTTCTTAAAGATATATTTTCTTCACGCACACTTCGCTTAAAACACGCGCTTTTATCGAAAACGATTCGATTCTTGTAAAAATCGCGAACAAACTCGAAATTTCCCCTCGCGTGGAATATTCCTGGTGGCCTCTAGTTACCTAGGTCAGACTAAACGTCAGACTAGTCTCTAGACGCTAGTCTTTACGCTGTTGATTTGTTAAAATAAATGTTTATTTCGTAAAAAAAAAAAAGAACAACAGACTTGTCTACCTTCATCTTCGACTACTGCGAGAAACCATCGAAATCAAATGTGTAATGTACGAGATTTGTTTTTATAATAATAGGCAAGCGTATAATGCTAATCAAAATAATATACAGGTAAGTAAATATACTAATATTCTTAACATTCCTTTTCTTTTTTAAATTCACCTTTCCATCAAGCAACCGAAAATTAAAAATTAAAAATATATCTAATATAGTATAATTCAAAATCACGTAAAATAATCGGTCTACAGCCTTTCATTAAACAAATAAGAAGAAGTAAATTACCGTAGAACAATCGTAGAAGATAAACGAGCCTCGACTGATTCATCATCGACGTCACGCTAATTAAGAGCAAAGCAACAAAGCAATTAGCGAGATGCTAATGAAATCGATGCTTCGACTATCCGCTCGAGATTGATCTACACCTAGAAATTGTTCAGGCTAACAACAATGCCGGGCGGTGTCGTGTTCTTGGTTTGCATACCCACATCGAGCTTCGAGCACGAGCTCATTTTTGGCGTTCCCTTGAAGAAGCCCAGAAACGAGAAGGATGGAAACCTAGCGCCTGCACCAAGGGTGGACCTACGTATCAGGGAGACAAGAACGAGAACACAACTATTGAAACTCGACGATGATGATTCTGTGGAAGATATCGAAGACATTAACGATGACATAGACGGCAGAAGGCATCCACGACCTCGGGGTCTCGGTCAACGTAACAGAGACCCCGTTTTCGTGTCGATGGAAACGGTATACTAACTTTGCACTCTTGGTTTTTATGTAATCGTTTGAAATATAACAGCTTACTATTTAATTCAATTTAATATGGACATTGTATAAATAAGCTCGCGTGATAAAGCTTTTAGATTTATTTTAGGTCCTTGAAATATTAATATATTAAATGTTCTATACTTAGACTTAACATAATTACCCTCCGAGGTATAGATATGTGACTTGCAACTTTTGTTTCGTTTCTTTTCTGTTATCAATTTGCAAAGGTGTTACACGAACTGTTGAAGAAGCTCAAAGTGGAACATGTGGTGTGGTGCAAGGACAATGGAAACATGTACTACGAGGTAAGAAGCCAATACCGTGTGCATCGTTCCTATTCGACGTTAATCTTTGATTTTTTTTGTTGGGAAGGTGATATTTCCGGTACCTGCGGGAGAACCATGCGAGAATTGCTTGCATTGCCTGACGGAAATGGGAATCGGAGTAAAGATGAACTCCATAGTAAGGTGACTTATCTCAACGATGCAGAATTCTGCGCGAGACATTATCCCAAAATGTCCTCATTTGTTTTTGAACATTTCTCAGCGTGATTCCGACCCAGTGCACGTACAGCGGATTGGGCAGCGCCGGTTCCGCCGCTATTAAGGACGACTTGGCACGAAGGTCTGTCTGATGGGAAATCGTTAAAATTATTCGATACGAATAATCACGGTGGGTCCTATAAAGTAGTAATTACCATTTACAGACGAAAGGAATCAGAAGAGAGGAAAAACGCCTGGAAGGCCTTCGTGGAATCGATACGCTCAAAACTGACCGTGAAACAGGTCGTGGATGGTGTTCGAAGCGGCGGCGATCTTACGTTCGATTACGTTCTGCTCGTACTCACGGCAGAGTAAAAATTATAATTCTTATTCGTTAAGATCTCGATTTGACTAAGAGTTCAGTCTGGTCTATATGCTAAAAGCTCGATTTAGTCTTCATATATGCTTATCGAATTATTCGGTGTTTATATACCGAGACACTCTGGTAATTCAAATATGTGAGAAAGTATCTTTACAATTGTTCGCAGCTGTTTGGCTGCATTGGGTCTCATTGAGAACAGCGCAACCAACGTCGTTGCGGCTATGCTAGTGTCGCCTTTAATGGTAAGACTTAATCACACTTAAGGTCAGTTAACGTTAAGGTCGTCTCAAAATATTCATTTGTTTTATACAATCCTAAGGGACCCGTAATGTCGTTAACCTTTGGCACTATCATAGCTGACAGAAACCTCCAGTTTGTCGGCTTGAAGAGCTTGTTGCTTGGCATATTCGTCTCCATATTGTTTGGTTTCATTTTTGGTCTCATTCTGGGCACAACAGAAATGCCTTGGGGTTACAATGATTGGCCAACCGATGAAATGAAAGGCAGGTACGTTTCTTCGAACAATATATAAAGATAATGTTTACTTATTCACATTTTTAAGATAAAATATTTTCCTTTCCAACTGATCGTAACGATTCTATAACAAAAATTTGCAGATAAAAGTGGTACGCGTTAAAATAATATTGAAGTTATTATAAAAAATTGTTAAAATAAGCATGCTCTTTCCAGAGGCAACTACAGGTCCCTATGGATGGGTGTGTTGTGGGCTCTTCCTTCTGGCACTGGTGTTGCCGTGGCTTTGCTGCAGGGAAGTAGTGGACCCCTAATCGGAGTCGCCATCTCAGCCTCTTTGCTACCACCAGTGGTAAATTGTGTAAGTAACAAATTTATTACAGAAATAGTAAAAAATGAAAACCCACTACACTGTACCTAATGATTAAATCCAACTTCCTCCAATTTTAATAAAAATTGAAATAAATTTCTATAGTAACAATAGAGATTCTTTTCAAGTGTATCACTAAATTAATTTCAAATAAATTGACTTAAAGGGTCTGTTTTGGGCGCTCGGATGCATATGGCTGATCTATCGTCCGATCAAGATGCCACACATAAAAGGCGAATCCTACACAAACTACAACACCTCGTACGTGTACGTTTACACCGACTATCTGCCAGTCGAGTTCTTCTGCAACGGTATAATCAGCGCGTGCTTGACCTTCATCAACGTCATGTGTATCTTTATCACGGCGATAATAGTCTTGAAGGTAAGGGAAGTCGCAATAACTAGCCGCTAATGAATTCGAGACAGTGACGCACCCAGGAAGGGAGTCCAAGGGAGCATTACTCTCCTGAAAAAATGTTCATTCTTCAGCCATTATAACAGATTTTATACATCTGTATAAACGTAAAAGAGAACTATTTTATAACTATTGAAATTGTTCAATTCAAAAGTATAGTGACGCGTTTCTGGCTGTAAATCTGTAGTAATGCTCTCTTGCTAAATTTCCGACTACATCACTGACTCGAGGTACCAAAATGGCACGCTATCGTGCTGTGTAATTTTCACGATAATAATCGAGTACCCGTAATACCAGAGTAAAAATACCTAATCTCTGTAGTGCTCTTTGCCATTTCATCCTTTGTAAACTGAATAATGCGCAACATCTTTTACGAGATTGCTGATCGTACGGTTTCCTTATAGATTAAAGAAGTGGCAGCGCCATACACGTCCACGCCGGAATTACGTCGCTTCTGGGAGCACGATATCCGACTAGTTCGCGATAAGAATATTTCGCGCGATAACAGCTCCCTGGACTCGAGGTAACTAAAATATAAAGCATAATTTCATGGTTGCTTTGATTTAATAGATTATTATTAGCATTAACATGGAAAAAATAAACGTAATTTTCATCGATGCATTTATATCATCAATAATAATAAATTAAATTTATCAGTTACTATGATGGATTGAGCAAAACGAAACAGCGAGCGTTGGAACAAACCTTGAACGAAGCTGTGCGCGAAGCCATAAACGACGAAACCTTCCGCAAGGTTCAAAGGCTTAGTTACGGTCCACATGGCCCTGAACAGGTATTTAAAATACTCTTTATCCCTTGAAGTCAATCACGACTTTATTTGAAAGCTAACTCATCGATATTCAGAATGTCTTAGAAGTGGGCATATCTCACATACTATGTAATTAATAATTATATTGTTGCGACGGTATGCACTACGGTTCCGAGTTACATCGTCGCGACGGTATAAAGATGTTGCAACGATGTGAAGTTGCATAAACGAGTTCCCGCGCTTCCGGTTGCCAGGAAGCGGCAAATTTTTAAAATAGTAGAGAGCGATTCTAGAACTCAAAGAGAGAAGACGTTTCGTTACAAGTCTCCAAGATTATCGTTATATTATCGTTAAATTGTTTAAAAGTTATAGTTTGTTAGTAAACTTTATATTTAATTCAAATGAATTCTCGTGCTTCAACTCCCCGGCGCAACAATATTATATTTTGCTATGAACAAATCAAATATGAATATTTAACACACGCACATTGTGCAGTTCACGCAGAAACTGGGTCTCCGCACTATTGACGATGCGAGCAACGTTGCAAATATTGGACTCGCTAAAGAGGCTGCATCCGACAACTTCCGTCCACCCGAGGGACTAGGAAACGCTGTTAGCACGAGCGAAGATTTAGCAGCTCTTGATAGACTGATTACATATCTTTTGGGACAACCGAGCGGAGCTAGTACCGGGAACTTGGATTCTTGGCGTCGTTCCCATCGAGCAAGTGCGCGAGGCTACATACAATTGCCCAACGCGGGTGCTAGCGCTGAGAGAGGCGAGGGCGGTACTAACGTTAACACGACACCATTTTAAATAAAAATTAAACAAATTACGATAATTATGCGAAATTAAGAACAAGTATCTTTGGTAAAACCTTCAGTATTTTTCAGTAATTGTCAGACTGGTTTGCACATGGATGGACATAGGTAATTGGACAGTATGAATATTACACATGTTCACGAGTGTAACATAAATTCTATTAAAGATATAAGAGACGACTGTATTTGAATTGGAATAACAGATTAAATAATTATGTAAATTTGAGACTGAAATCTTCTTCGCTTACGTCAGTTCTCAATCGTAGATGGTTCGGTTCCGAAGTATCGATCTCCGAAGTTACCGATGCCTGGTAACACGTAGAACTTCTCGTTTATCACAGGATCTAAGGCGGACGTCACAATTTTCACACGTGGAAACGCGTAAGCGATAGAGTGTACACCAGACTCAGCCATGAGTAAAGATACGAGTAGCACGTTCTCCTCGGCAACGTCATGGTCCAGTAAAACTCTGATAGCCATGATGGCAGCTGCACCTGTTGCTACTGTCGCATCCATCAGTATCACTTTATAGTCTCTAATGTCCTTTGGTAATCGAAGGTAGTAAAGCTATAATAAAATTCAGTAACTGACATTGGGATCCTAATGAAAAGAAAAGACTGTAAATGAATTGTAAATACCTCTGGTTCTCCAGTCTGTTGGTTCGTTTGTATAAGAATCTTTCCTATTCTTATATCCTTGCACACATCCCTAACAGCTTGTTCCATGGTTTCGCCAGCACGCAAAATAGAAACACCACATATTTTATCTGTAGCACCACGCTTTCCTTGATAAAACACACCTTGAGGCGTTTCTACAGTCACGTCCTTTAAACACCCCAAGATAAATGTAAATAATAATATGAAGAAAAATCTCTAACATGGTTTGTACTTCATACAGTCGATACAATGTTTTATAGTACTCACTTCAAAAGGTAAAAGAGATAACGCATATTCGATAACTAAACGTATTAAACGTTTGGAGTAGAATATAAATTCGTCTCTGTACGTTTCTTTATTCCTTATAAATGTGTGTAGACCCTTAACTTGTGGCGTATCTGGAAGCAGGTAGAGAGAAGATGGCAATGGCTGACCAATATACGAATGAGCTAATTTTTCTCTTAGTTTGAAACCCCTCTAAAATAGGAAGCGATAATGAAAAAACGCGTCGTGTAAGACAGAGTTTTGAAAAACAGTCTATCTTACCAACTGCAGTTGTGTATGTACATGCTGTACAATAAGCTCAATCGCAACTTCATTTTCTCCACCACGTGGCACAATAATGTCCGCGTGAACCATTAATGGCGCTATATAATAGTAAAAAGCGGGTTGCACCATGGTACTGTACTGCTTTAAAACACCTTCCAAGTCCCTCCCTCTTTGAGATATATCTCTACGTAATCGACGCGCAAGCCTCACATCAGCGTCAGTGTCGACAAATACCTTCATGTCGCACATCTTGGCCAATCGAAGAAAGCAGATCAGTGGTAATTTGTTTTTTGCTTTCGTACCTTATTGTGTTTATCAATCCGCTGATCCTGCTTTACTGATACTAGATCGGCTTACCTTTAAAACGTCGACATTGTAGAAAGTCAATATTCCCTCAAATATAATGACATTGGCACCATACATTGTTTTCTTTGAAAGGAGAAAAAATATGATGTACACTTTCAGTGCTTACTAAACACACCTTTCTTCAAATCAACTTACGGTTCTACTTTCTCTGCTATGCGTTACAAAATTATAAATAGGAACTTCCACCATTCTGCCCTCTTTCAAACGTTGTAGTGTACTTTTAAGAAGCTCAAAGTCAAAAGCGTCGGGATGATCAAAGTTGTATTCGTTATAAGCAGCCATTTCGTGTTGTTTTTCGTTCAGCACCTACACCAGAAATTATTTATATCGCCGTTCGCCTATTTTTAACACTAATCAATACATATAACTAGAGATGATAACTTTTCGTACTTTGTAAAATGAATCCATACTTAGAAGCGTTACCCATGGTACATCTAAGGATTCTATAATTTTTGTCGCGACTGTGGTTTTGCCAGATGCACTGCCTCCACAAATACCTGAAATAAAACTAATAATAACACCAAGTACATATAATTATACTGTTTGAAATTAACGTTACTAAATATGTGTCTTAGATAGATATTACCAACCTATTATAAAAGGTTCTACTTGCTGTCCTGCCGAATTATACCATGGTGGTCTACCAGCCGTGTATATCGTTCTAGTTTTACTTCTAAGGATGGATTCTGAAGCAGTCTTTTTATTAGACTGTGACAAACTGGTAGTACGTTGTCTTCGCGATCTTGGTGATCTCTGAGAACCTGTTAAAGAATTATAGACTTTGTAAACAGAAAACATATATATCTAATAAAGGGAAGGAAAGAAACAAAATTTTGAAGAATTCTAAGGCACATCATTGTTATATGTAACAGAAACAGAAACAGAAACAGAAACAGAAACATTAAGGAATGATAGAGGTAACTAGGAATGATACTTTTGAAATTCTTGGTCATCTTCTGTAAATTATGCAATTTTTCTATATTGGTAAACCAAGTGCATCCTGTCTGCCAAATACAAGTACTCCTAATCATTGAGTCTGTAAATAATTAGCAGACAATCTAACTTTTACCAAAATATATGACAAACACCAATGCTTGCAAAAACAAGATGCCGTACGAATATTTAAGAAAAATCAACATTAGAAATAGTTGATATTAACTGAGACTTCCTGGTATAAGCCACATCCTATAGATAAGGTACTCCGAGCATTGCAGCTAATTTCTTTAGAGTTGACACATAAATGATACACTGATTAAATTGATATATGAACTACTGATATGTATACTAAACATTTGACCCCTGAAGAAGCTGGGTACACCGCTGGTGAAACAGCATATTTTACCCAAACGACACAGCTTATGCCAGAAAGCCTTGATTAGAATCAATCATGAAGAACCAGACCATGAATGGCTCAAATAACATTAGAAGATCACTTCGAGTATTAATAAGGATAAATGAAACAATTATTTTACCCGTGGAAGGTGGCCGAGGAGATTGCGGAGTAGGTGTCCCTATGTCTGAACGTCTGATGTGTTCAGCATCTTCACACATCTCGTCGAGAAAGATTTCTCGGTCGTCAAAGCAAACTTCCCCGTCATCGCTGAATTAGACAAAAAAATCGATTTGTTTTTACCGAGGAAACCTATCAACAACGAAACGTTGCTTACCTCTCGGAACTCGCTGAACTCGGTGGATCGAAATGATTCATCTTAGCTGCCATATTCCTGATCACGTGCAAGGAATTTTAACGTGATTCCACGCGATTACACCTTTTGCGTTGCGATACCGCTTCGACGAGTTCTGTACTCTCATGCATCCAATGAAGATTTCTGTTTTTCAAATGATTTACTGATTTGACAGAAATTACAACTGCGAAGACAAGTGACGACAGTCGACCAAGTGCACGGGAACACTTCGCCACCTAACGCTGATGTTCTTAAACCATAGTAGTTTCGAATACTTGTTAGAACGTCTGCAATATCTAATGTTCATAACAGATCTACATATAAGTCTCTATTGAATAACAAATACTCTAAGAATTACTTTGAAACATTTGGTATTTAAAATCCATTATCTTCTTCTTTATTCTAGGCAAAGGTTAAAATCAGTCATCAATTGGACGTATAATCAATATTTTAAAGCGAGACATAGAACCAATCAAATACAGGAATCATTAATTTAATTCTGAATCGTGTAAAGATCGTGTAAATTCTAGATCGTGTAAAGTTTCACCTATAAAAATTTGAGTTCATACAGTACATTTAGCCTAAGCATGGAGTCTTCATGTAAATCGGCTTTGACAAATTTTGGCGGTACACCATCACTTACATGGTTAATATTTACCGACAGTAAATTACCGTTACGCGTGGATTATGCATCTGTAAAAGTATGAAAGAAGATGTTTATCGGTGTTCATTTGTAACTTTCCCTAATATTACGAGTGCGATTTAAATGTAAGAATTCATAATTTGTAAAAGACAAATTTTACAACAAAAATTCGGTGAAAATAAGCTTCATTTAACATGATGCCGGCTATCATAACAAATAGTGAAAATTATGAGGCAGAGAAGCAAGCACAGACAGATGATATAGAAAGACATCAAATGTCTTTGAATGGGGATGTTATGAAGGAGAACAAAAACACAGGTAAAATATTTGAACACAATAACGTGGAAACAAATACAGAGAACAATTCAAATGATAAAGAGATTAAATTTATTTCTAATTCATCAGTCATTGAAGCTACGATACTTCAAGAATCAAATAAAGGTAGAAAAAAACTTCGCAATGGAAAATATATTAACACAGAAGTTATAAAAAATTTGCACAAAGTTAATAAAAATGCTAATAAAACTAGATCATTAAACCAAAACACTCAATCAAAGAAACCCACTAAAAGGAAAAGCGATATAGCTGAAGAATTGGAATCAAAGGCTCCTATGTTGACAAAAACTGAAGAAAACATAACACATAATGTTAAATCTGAAACTGAATTGATTCAAGAGCAACAAGAACTAAATGATGAGACTGAAAACAATACCCTTAAAAGGACTAAAACAGAAAATTATAATACTAACATAGAAGAATCAAAAACATTATTTCAGAAACCTGTTAATATTCATCAAAAATGTGAATATTGTCGTCAAAAGTTAACAAGTGCTGATATAAAGATATATCCAGGTCATCCCAATGGAGCAGAAGAAGAACTTATTGCATTAACAGATCCAAAGTTATCTTTATTTACAGGAGAAGAAACTATGGTTCATGAAGGCGATGAAAGACCCCAAAATAAAATAACTGACTTTTGGTAAGTTATTCTGCCATGAATATACAAATTGCAAATGCAGATTTTTTAAGATATAAAAATTAATTTCATGTTGTTCTTCCTTTTTGTAGTGTATATGATAAAAATGGGCATTTGTGTTCTTTTGACACTGGTCTGATTGAAAAAAATGTGGTTCTTTACTTTTCTGGCTATATGAAACCTATATATGAAGAAAATGCCTGTCCAGAAGGAGGTGTGCCTACAAAAGATATGGGACCAATAAATGAGTGGTGGGTGTCTGGTTTTGATGGTGGTGAATTAGCACTTGTAGGATTCACTACAGCATTTGCAGAATATATATTAATGGAACCTGCTGAAGCATATGCACCATTTATGGATTCTGTAAAAGAAAAAATTTATATGAGCAAGATAGTTATAGAATTTTTATTAGATGAAATTAATCCTACTTATGAAGATTTACTAAATAAGTTACAGGTAACATTTTGTTATGGAAAACTAAATACCTAAAATAGTATAAAATACTGTAATTTTTACCTACACACATGTGTACATTTTTTTAGACTATAGTTCCACCCAAAGGATTATCTAGATTTACAGAAGATTCCTTATTACGATATGCTCAGTTTATTTGTGATCGAGTTATTTCTTTTGATGCATCTGCAAGACCAGAAGATCCTCTACTAATTACAAGTTCCTGCATGCGAGCACTAGTAACACTTGCAGGTGTAACACTTAACAAAAGAATTGCATTGCGAAGAACACAATCTAAAGATCAAAAAAATAAGAAAATTTCTTGGACAAAAGCTACGACTACAAAATTAGTTAATAATATGTTTGAAACGTTTTTCTCTGATCAACTAGCTACAAATAATGAGAAAGATGTATCGGTATGTAATCCATATTTTTTTAAGATTTATAAAATTTGTATGTTATACATTTCATTATTACATACTACATTTTTAATAGATACCTAAAAGGCATAGATGTGGAGTATGTGAAACTTGTCAACAACCTGATTGTGGAGCTTGTTCTGCTTGTAAAGATATGACTAAGTTTGGTGGGTCTGGTAAGAGTAAACAAGCTTGCAATAAAAGAAGATGTCCAAATATGGCTATACAAGTAACACATTTTAATGAAAGAATAGTTTTTCAATAACTGAGACAAATTAATATTTACCAAATATGTATTTCATTTTTATAAATTTAGGAAGCTGATGATTCAGATCAGGAAGATGAGTTTAATGAAACTTTAATGGAAGACATAAAAATTACACAGAAAATGATTTTGAAGGAATTTAAACATGTAGAGAAGGAAATTACATGGGTTGGAAAACCAATTATAGACGATGGTCGAAGAACATTCTATAAGTCAGTAATTGTAGTTGATGAAGAAATAAAAACAAATGATTATGTATTGATCGAATCAAATGATCCCACTGTACCATTGCAAATAGCTAAAGTTATGTATATGTGGGAAGATAAGAATGGTGCAAGATGGTGTCACGCAAATTGGTTTAGGAGGGGTAGTGATACTGTTCTTGGAGAAACATCAGATCCTTCAGAATTGTTCTTACTTGACGAATGTGACAATGTACCATTTACTTCAGTTAAATCCAAAGCCACGGTTATTTATAAAAATAGTCCAGAAAACTGGAGTCAATTAGGTAAAATTATGCTATCCATAATTTATGTAATATAATGTGCATTTATATTTAATTATATAATTACATTTCAGGTAATGCAGACATATTACCAGAAGATAACATACAGAATATTGATGGAAAAACATTCTTTTATCAAAAACTGTACACACCAGAAACAGCTCGTTTTGAAGATCCTCCTCTAGATGCTGTATGCCAACGAAAAGAAATCAGTCATCGATTTTGTCCTGCTTGTGTGCGCTTTACTGCATTACAGTGCTTTTATACACCAAAGGTTTGAAAAATGGAATTTTAAATGTCTCTTTAACTATACTCTTGACTTTAAATTTGGATAAAAAACGAAATGTTCGTTTATTTTAGGTTTTTGGCAAAGAAGAAGAGAAAAGTAATAAAGAAGTAACATACAATATGGTAAAATACAAAGATGAGGAATTTAAAGTTGGATCAGCCGTATTTTTATCGCCAGGAGCTATAAAATATAAATATACATCAACATATCATACTGCTTCCAAAATAAAAAAGGGGAAAGTGGATGAAGATATGTATCCTGAATATTACCGAAAGTCTTCAGATCACGTTAAAGGTTCAAATTATGATACACCTGAACCATTTCATATTGGTTACATTAAAGCAATATACGCAACGACCAATAATAAACTAGTTGCTTCGTCAGATATATGGATTAAAATAAATAAAATGTATCGACCAGAAAACACACACAAAGGACTGACGTTAATGCAACAAGTTGACCTTAATATGGTATACTGGAGCGACGAAGGTAGAAATGTTAAATATATGTAATAGTTCTTAAATTATATAAATCAACTGAATGAGTTTCATTAATTTTGTCAACTTTTCTTTTTCAGTTTGTGATGTTAAGTTTTCAGAGGTAGTAGGAAAATGTTATCTAGCATATTCAGATAACTTGGACCAATCTGTGGAAGAATGGACGGCTGGTGGTCCGAATCGATTTTACTTTTCTCAAGCTTATAACGTTTCAGAAAAAACATTTGGTGATCCACCAAATCGTGCTATGAATATTGGAAAACCTGGCAAAGGAAAAGGAAAAGCAAAGTGTAAAAACAAACAATTGGAGACCTGCGATACTAAGAAAACAATTGAAAAACCAGTAGATTATTTTGTTGTGTCAAAGAAGTTAAAAACGTTAGACGTTTTTGCTGGTTGTGGTGGTTAGTATAAACCTTAAATTTCACTACATTTGTATGAAATTGGATAACTGAGACTTTTCTAATTTAAAATTTATATTATAGGATTATCTGAAGGATTACGACAAGCTGGTATTACAAACAATCGATGGGCAATTGAAAAAGATGAACCCGCTGCATGTGCTTATCGACTCAATAATCCTGATACAACGGTATTCTGTGAAGATTGCAATGTTCTTCTACGAAAAGTTATGAATGTATGTACAATTGAGAATATAAATTTTGGAAAATTGTATAGATTACATGCAAGTCTGAAATATATTTTTATGTATCTGTAGGGTGAACATTGTAACAATATTGGACAACGTTTACCTCAAAAAGGCGAAGTAGAATTATTATGCGGTGGACCGCCTTGTCAAGGCTTCAGTGGCATGAACCGTTTTAATTCACGGCAATATTCGTTATTTAAGAATTCTCTAGTAGTATCGTGTTTGTCTTATTGTGATTATTATAGACCCAAATTTTTTGTTATGGAAAACGTTAGAAACTTCGTTTCTTTTAAAAGAAGTATGGTACTCAAATTGACATTAAGATGCCTTGTACGAATGGGTTACCAATGTACATTTGGTATTCTGCAAGCTGGAAATTACGGTATACCACAAACAAGAAGAAGGTACGTAAAACTCAAATTGTATCAATAAATTAATGTAAATAATCCTTGTTTGTGTACTTTGTTATTTTATTTGTCATTTATATATTTTAGACTTATAATATTAGCTGCTGCACCTGGAGAGATACTTCCAAAATATCCAGAACCAACCCATGTATTTAGCAAACGGGCATGTCAATTAAGCGTTATTGTAGATAATAGAAAAGTAAGATATAACCAAATTGACATAAGAATTCTGAAATTTATCCGTATGAATACAATAATTTCTCTTTTTCTTTGCAGTATTCATCAAATTGTGACTGGATGGAGTCGGCGCCGTATAGAACTATCAGTGTTCGCGATGCAATGTCTGATTTACCTAATATTCGTAATGGTTGGAACAAAGAAGAAATGGCGTACGAAGATGAACCGATATCCCATTTTCAAAGAAAAGTAAAGTCCAAATTATTATTTATTAATCAAATAATATTGCTCACAAATTTTTTTAAATAATATCCCACACTTCTCGTGCATAGGTGAGACCTAAACAGCTTGATACTATATTAAGAGACCACATTTGCAAAGATATGGCACCACTAGTCGAAGCTCGAATAGCACACATTCCAACTGCAAGCGGATCTGATTGGCGAGACTTGCCAAACATTGCAATACGTCTAAGCGATGGAACATACTCAAAAAAATTGTAAGTATAATTAATTCATAGTTTTCTATACATAAAATAAATAGTTATTCTGCATAGTAAATTTTTTATGCATCTGTATTGTAGAGAATATACTCATCATGATAAGAAGGCCGGTAAAAGTTCAACTGGGGCATTTCGTGGAGTATGCAGCTGTTGTGAACGCAAACCGTGTGATCCTATAGATAGACAATATGGAACTTTGATTCCATGGTGTTTACCTCACACTGGAAACCGTCATAACCACTGGGCGGGATTATATGGTAGATTAGAATGGGATGGATTCTTCGGCACTACTATTACTAATCCAGAACCAATGGGTAAACAGGTCAATATTATTTTCTTTAATCAAAATCTGTATTCTTTACATCTATATCGAAAAATATTACTTTATCATTTATTTACAGGGCCGCGTTTTACATCCTGAACAAACCCGAGTTGTAAGTGTAAGAGAATGTGCTAGATCGCAAGGTTTTCCGGATTCTTTCAGATTTTATGGAAACATACTTGATAAACATCGCCAAATCGGTAATGCTGTTCCACCACCATTAGGTGCAGCTCTCGGTTTTGAGATTAGAAAATGTTTAAAATACGAAAGCATTCAACAACTAGAAGATAAAAGTTAGACAGTTTTAATAACTGAAAATAATATTAGGACTATTTATAGCAAATTTTTAAGATATTGCATTCAATCTTAATGGTAGCATAATGTTATGAATATCTTTTTCCATCTACATAAATTTACCAATATGTTTTCGGTAAACATACGTAGATACTTCGTTCCTTTTACGATTTACGTGACCAAAAGTATTATGTGATGTATACTTTTGTTTGAAAAATTTTGTCGTACAACGAATACCTTACGAGTTTTTTGAGGTCGTCACGTTATAAGACTCACCCTGTATAATATGCAAATATAAGTATACATATATATATATATATATGTATGTATACAAAAGAACGACTAAGCGCGTACATGCATCGATCACCTACAAAGGGTAAAGGGTGCAACATTTAATTCGATACAAAGTTCTTCAGGGTAAAAATCAGTATTTTATGTTAATATTATTAAAATAGTTTTCAATTTTTGTTTTTCTACAAAAATTTGATTTTACCATTATTATATCATGTGTATATATTGTAACTTTCTACAATTATATGTTAATGATAGGATCGTTTATCGGTATAATTTTAAAAGAGACATAATGTCGAATAAAATGATAAAATAACAAGGAATATTTATTATGAAATAAAGACTTTAGAATGAAATCATATATCTGTAATTACTCAATTCCTCTTACTTTTTGTTTTTTTAGTTTCATCTAGTTTATAAATGTTCTTTTATTATTTTTATGAACGTAAAAATATTTGTAACTAGAAAATATATAATAGAAATTAATTTTGTACCCATTCACAGTTATTCAAGACTTTGTATCTCTTCGTATCACTTATCAGATACGGCATTGGATTCAGTTGGATTTTCCAACGCGATAATACACAGACTACATGTCTAAATAATTGAAGCTTTATCTAATAAATTTTTTCTATTAATATGTGGGCAGACACTATCTTAATTGTATTTATTAGTGTCTGTACAGCTTTATTAGGAGAAGGTACCAATTTTTCATATATCACTTAGTTTCAGTTAGAGGTTATATGGTTATTTTTGTGTTGTTTTTTTTTTTATGTAACACAATTTTATTTATAGGTTTGACATGGTTAATGGTTTATAGGACGGAAAAATATCAAAAATTGAAAGCTGAAGTAGAGAAACAAAGTAAAAAACGTAAGTTTCCAAATAATAATGACTACTTAAAAATTTAAATAAGTCCATTCCATAATTAAACAAAACTGATTTTAGTGGAAAAGAGAAAGGAAGCACATGGGGATTCATTGGATAAGCAACAGAAGAAAAAAATTGAACGAGAGGAAGAACGATTAAAAAATAACAATAGGGATTTGTCTCTCGTGAAGATGAAATCAATGTTTGCAATTGGATTTGCATTTACTGCTCTTCTTAGCATGTTTAATAGTATATTTGATGGAAGAGTTGTAGCAAGGTTGCCTTTCATTCCAATCAGTTGGATACAGGGTTTATCACACAGAAATCTTCCAGGCGATGATTATACAGAATGTTCATTTATCTTTCTGTATATACTTTGCACTATGAGTATTAGACAGGTATATAAATATATACCTTGAATGTTATATTCATTTTCATAAGAAATAGTTATATTAACTAAAAGCTGCATTTATTATTTACAGAATATTCAAAAAATGCTTGGATTTGCTCCATCTAGAACTGCAAGTAAACAAAGTGGAAGTATTTTTGGACCTCCACCTCAACAATTTAAATAAATTTAGAAAAATAGTGAATACATTATTAAATAATGCATGATGATTATGTAATTATAATGTAAATTTTGATCAATTTTTCTACAATGCCTACTTCTTTAGTTGACAAGTGACTAACACTAAAAGATATTGTTTAATATATATTAAAGTGAAAATACAAAATTTAATGTATTCTCAATGTGAATATTATACATGACAAAATTATTTACTTCACATACAACAAATATATATTTAATACGAGATAGTATATGAGATACTATGAACAATTTGTTGAATGTTATTCGTTTCTGTTTCTAATTATATTTTATTTTTGATGACATTTATATTTTTTATAAGATAGACTGGAGAAAGTGCAATGTTTCTGGTTCACCTTCTTTAAATTTGGCGGTACTCTGCATATGCATATAAAAACGAAGTTGGTAGGAAACGCCGCGAACATAGTTTCAACCTTCGACCATATGTACTCATAGACACGGCCTGTAAGTATACACGAATCAAAGTGAAGCAAAGATAACGGGAAAATATTTCCTAGAGACTATTTTATTTTGTAACTAATAATTATAAATAAATAACATTACTCTTGACATCTATGTATTGTTTTTACTATTTTTTAAACTAAAACAAGTTTATTGTTCAATATTCAGTGATAGGACTGCGAAACAAAGATGTCTGAATTTAAGGTTATCCAATATAACGTATGTATTGTGCATATGTTTGTCTTGTTACAGATTGTTATATGAATATTAATCAATCTATCCATGTGTATAATTATTCAAAATAAAATACAAATGAAACAAATTGAGTAATATTAAGTCAATATGTTCAGCAATAAAAAGAGTAATTTGCCACCAAGACCTCACATTCCTGATCCTGAACACATACTAGAGGATCTCAATAATGCTGCTATTGATGATATAGCATTTAAAATAATAAATAAAGGTTGGAGTATCTTCTGTATCATTATTAAAAATGTTGAAACCAGGGTTAAAAGAATGTTGTATATATTTTAAATTATCACAACTATATGCAAAATTTTGCATATCTTTAATATTTTATTTCCAGATGAAAATGCTGAGGAAAGTTCATTAAGTACAGATACTTCTGATACATATCAGAAGGTTAAAACATATCTAAATATAAAACAGCAATTAAAACATTTGGAAACAACTCTTGAAAGAAAAGAACAACATTTGAAGGCAGACACTAAGGAAATAAGTAAACTAGCAGATGACATTAAGAAACAAGCACACGCTGCTTTGATAACATGAATCATTTTTAAAATTATATTTAAGTTGTGTAGATATTACTTCTTGTAAAGACAAATTTAATGTACAGTATCAATTCTTAATTTAATTCTAACTATCTTAATTATTAATATTATACAATGTAAATTAGCTGCTTGTACAAAATAGTTTTGCTAATAGTCGCATATAAAAATGTTAATACTTATGTATGACTATGACATAATAATATAATGTTTGTACATGAAATATTTTTATCACTGTAAGATACATAGAATTAGCATTGTATAAAAATAAATGTCACATAATAGTAATTCTTTTACATTGTGTACATATATATACTAAACAGAATGCTACCAACAATAATCACTGTTTCAATACCTAGAACTTGTATACTATATAAATGTGATGAATGATTTCATCATTACATAGTGACCTAAATATAAATCTTATAATTCATAATATTAAAAAAGATCATAGAATTAATAGGTGATATATATTCAAAGGCACTATATTGCAACAAGAAATATAATGTATTTTATGGTATACATACTTTGTAGATATTAAAATATATACTTTAGTTTAAACATATTTATATAGTGATATAAAGTTTCACGATATAGAAAACTACATATATATCGTGTGAATTTTTAGTTGCTCAAATGTACTGGTTCATTAATCACATATTTTCGTTCCATATGGATTTCAAAAGTATTTTTTTATAAGATATAAATTTTGTTGTATTTAAAGTTCAAAAGTATTAAAAATCATTTTAGTAAATATGATAATGTTATTAATATGTTTATTTCTTTGAAAATGCTTTAAAAAATACTGTTGTGCATCATTAAAATTGTTAATTAGGAATGCCTGATGTAACATCATACCTAACTAGTGGATCATTAAGATAAGCACACCATGTAAAGCCAGGTGGATATCCTGAAAAAATCATGCAAATATTCTAAATTAGCAATTTCAATCAAATAATATAAAGGACTATGTGATTATAACGATTAGAAGTTTTATAAAAGAAAATATCTAATTGTGTTATATACATTTGTAAGACATACACACACACACACACACACACACACAAATAAATTTAATCTACAAAAGTATGGACCTACTTTACATGGATTGTGTTTGTTTAAATATGCATGACAAAGATTCAAATTGCACAATACTTACACGATACTATTTACTGAATGATTTTCATGTACTGACAAAATGTGGTCGAGATAAAATATCAAAGTTTATCGCCTTTTGTCCAGCTGCATGCAAGTAATCCCTGAATTAGTCAGTGGTTAGTAACAAATACCTATATTTTAGAAAATATAACGTAAAGTACACTCGGTAACTACGATTGAGTAATAAGTTTTGTATGCAGTAGTTATTTTACTTTAATGAAAAGGCTTCTTACAAAAATACAGTTATACCCTCACCAAACAAAATATATATTATATACTTATCTTTATTTGTAACATTTTTAACAATTATATAAAAGTGCTTTACATTCGTTTTTTTTTTTTTATATATATATATAAAAGTAGAACAGTCCTGTTCATTTACAGATGTTAAGTATTTTCAAACGGAATACAAAAGTATACAATATATTAATTATATTCTTATATAATGTATCAATATATTCAATTAGGACGGAATTAAGAGATATGTAAGTTCAATGTTGTATACTCTTTACAACATATTGAATGATTACTTATTCGCAATAATTACAAAATACTTAAAAATTGCTTAGTATCAAGTTTTTACTTGTAATAATATAAATTGCTTTAAACGTCGGTAATATAACAATTATGCTTCCTTTAAAATAAAAATAACGACTCAAATCAATGAAGTAAAATTGTTTCCAAATCGTATGTAATTTTTCAGTATTAATTTTGAAATATTATATATTATTACACATATGTGTAATATCATCAACTTCGTTATAATTCTTGCAACATATATTAAAAAACATGTTGCAAAAATTATAACAACTCAATTTATAAAAAATAATGGTAATAATGGAATGAATATTCATCTTTCTTACTTAGACTAATAACATGTATAATCTATACTTTCTATTATTTCTTACATTGAACATAATGTGCCATTGTGCCTTGTAAAATGGAGAATGTTAACTTGTATTAGTTAATAGCGAAGTACAACAGTGTGAATGAACTCCAGAAATTTGTCATATGCAAAATATGCGGATTCAGTCAAATATTACATATATACATAATATAAATACGTCAAGGTACTTTTCCATGTTTCCACAAAAAAATACTTTACCCGTGAAAAATTGAAAAATAGATATTAGGAACATGTAACTAATCAAGTGTTTAAAATTGTAATTCAGTTTGTGGCCTTAGTTATTTACCACTAAAATTCGGCATTAAGAAAAATGTACGAAATATTAACTTGCCTCTAGGCTTGTATTTGAGATGGTCCTCAATAAATTGACAAGGACAACGGGCGGAGACACAATGTCGTGGTGGAACCGATAGACCCGCGATGTCTCTATTACGTTCTTGCGAGTCTATAACCAGATCAAGTCTGCGGCGCACAAAGTGATGTGCCCATCGAGATGCATACCTCAGCAGCAGCAACTCCGCCCGTTCCTGTCAACACATACCATCATCATTCAATACCTAGGATCAAAGTAACGAAAAAAATATAAAATCCATGTCTCTTGCACCGAAAATAAGGTGCATGGTTAAAAAATCTGTTGCATTTAAACGCTATATATTGCTGTATGTAAATACATAACTACATACTATTTCTTAAAAATTGTAAGTACTTTAATTCTTTAAGTACTTTTTGAAGTAAAGTTTCTTAAGAAACTGTATATCATTCACCATTTTACAAAAATATTTGCTACATACATATTCTATTAAATTCATAGTCCTAAGTTATCAACATCTGAATACTATATACAGTACACCATTAGTAATGATACAAAATACTAAAGAAAAACTTGCAACATATACATGCGTGTCATTTATACAATCTTTATACAAATTTTTAATTGTATATTAAATCTTCAGTGTTGTAGTGGTCAACAAATTAATCTAGTAAAACAAATTTTATTTGAAAGAACATAGAATATATGTATCTGTGTTCAATGTTGATAATCCAATTCACTAACAAAGAGTATGTAACGATTTTAAAAAAAGTACTGAGTACATGAAGTACTGTACAGTTAAATAAAAAATGATTAATAACGTAAAGTAACTTTAATATCTCATATGGCTTATCTCTACTAATGTAAATTTTGATTATTCACCCATTTTTAATAGTACTATTTACGATATCTATAATTATAGAATTATGAAACTGTCAGAGGTTTTTAATAGATTTTTCAGTTTTAACGCTATATATTTCTTTATGCAATGTAGAGTATCTAATTTCCATAACATTTTTACTATAAAAATAATATTAAAACGTCATCAGTAAAATAATGTCAGCTTTTTTAAAACTTTTCAAAATTATCAGGAACAATACTGATTTTCACTTTTAAGCTGCTCTTACACCTAAGTGACGTGACGACGGTACGATTGAAAAAATCGCTTGATAATCGACTCTAAATTACATTCGTACTATGTCTACCAATTTAAGTAAACGTTCGACTTCTTAATGTGTTGTATATTGCAGTCTCGTCATTTAAGTGAGAAAATAGCTTTATATCCATATTAAACAATTTTATTTTAAATGCCCCTATCTTTAAGAAAATTACTCCAGCTAGGACAGAAATCTCTGCCTCGGACATGCGGTTTATTGCGAAGCCATTCTTCTATATATTGACATGGACATAAAGCTGATGCTAAGTGGCGAGGTGAAGAAGGATTTCCACCTTCTTCGTCAACTGTCCAGTCCAAACGTCGACGTAAATAATCCTTTGCCCAACGTTGTACATAACGGCAGAATACTTGTTCACTTTTACCCTGATAGGTTTCAATTCATTTTAGGAAAAAAATACTATTATAAAAATTTACAATTAAGACAGTGGAAGCAATTCATTTTTATAAAACATATAGAAAAAAGAATCATTGCATTGAATATATATATTCATAAACGTAAACTTAATAAAAATAGTATAATTACCTGATGCAAAGGTGCCTACCTGTTTACGAGAAATTCTGGTGGTCGTATTGCCTTGTATCACAATGTCGCTATCATCGATATCCATTCGCTGTTGTAATTCCCTTTTTCGACGCATCTCAGAATTTCCATCTTCGCCAATTACTCTTCCTTCGCGTTCTTCTCGTTCTATTACTTCTTGTAGCTTTTTCTATCATGAAATAAATTATATCAAATATATATTTCATCAATTTAACTATACAAATATAGTGCTTGTAATACTGAGTAGTATATTTGTACATCAACGATAAATAAAAAAAGAAACTATTACAAAACATATTAAGCCCTGATTATTTAAATTAAATGCATAACACAAAAATATCTAATTACACTTACGATGCAATCTGTAGTATCAAAGTATATGAAACAGAGATTGACTTTATGACACGAAATCTTCCCTCTATCATCCAATCCAAGCAATATTTTATGTCGAAGTAAGTGCTTGTTGACTTGAGCCATACATTTCTCAAGATTATGGTTTAATTTTATCTTGACGAACATGCAAAAGAATATCGCTGCAGCATTGAGGACTAACCACATGACACCAAGGCCAAACAAAGTAAGACCAGTCACTCCAGAAAACAATAAGCCAAGCAGTACAATAAATGCAGTAAATATCCAAAGGACAAGTATTCTTTTATAGCATACATTGTACATATTAAAACGTACATCATTTACAAGCAATTCCATTATGTGTACGTAGTCTTCTACAGTAAGCTGCAATAAACATATGACAACAATTTTCATTTAATTATATATAAGAATGTGAATTTTGTATAAGAAGAAAAGATTTTATAGACACAAGGATAAATAACTTTATGGACTGTTATAAAATAAAATACCTATTAAGAAGTCAAATTGAATAAAATATTTACCGTTAAGCCCTGAGCCATTAATTCCTCAGGTACTAATTCTGGTCTAAATTTAGCTGGTGTAATCCATGGCCATCTGGTATTAACTGGCAAAAGAGTAACTATAGTATCTCCATTGGCAAAACCTTGTCTAATATTTCCAATAGGTGTACTTATAACATTACTTGCAGCACTTCTACCATTAGATACATCTCTGAGATCAATAGTTTTTAGAGATGCACTTTTAGGATCAGAAACTCTTACTTCGGATGGCAAATTAAGATCTGGACTTTCAGATGTAATGGAACGATTTAAACCTGACCTATCTAAATTAATCTGGACGGATTCAGTTGATATCACAGCACCCCTATATTCATTGTTTTTGATTCGTTGATTATCTAACTTGTCAACAGTTTTTCCAATCTTTTCAACATTTACTGTAACCGACTCTGGTTTTATTACAGCTGGTGCATTTGTTTTAGTTTTCTCTTCCGTGCCACTGTTATCTTTAACAGGTGTTTCATCCTCAAATTGGACCCAATTTTTTGGTCTTGATGATATGTTAGGTGAATTAACTTCTGGTACATTGTCAGTTGTTTCTTGAGAACTCATTTTTACTGAAGAGCAAATTAAATATATGAAAAGAAATTTAATCAGGGTCAATGAAAAACATAAATAATTTGCCTGTTTATTATTGCTGAGTTTATACACAGCAAATGTAACATTTTCTTGATCCACATAGTAATAAATCATATATTTCTTTTTCAAACATACTTTCATTTAAGTAGTTCATATAAAATGCATTAATTTAATCAGATACGTGATTAGAATATACTTTAAATATGTTGACAAGTGTTTTCAAGTAATGGTTTAAAAAAACAGGGAGTGTCCTGAACATACAATTTACAGTATAAACATGTATGTGTCAAAATATATAATAGTTTCCTAAAATGCCAAAACAACAAATCATTGAATCGAGTCATTTTTCGATCGTAGGATACCGTATTATAAATTTATTATAAATCGTTCGATCTTCGTGAATAGTAAGTGCATAGGAACCGCAAAATATGCGAGAAGACCAAACTTATCCTCGATATTTGTATACAATTCGTATACAAATTACGTATTAGGGGAAGGGTAACGATAAAATTACGCGGAACAATATAAATGTTATATTCGCTGCGTTATCGACGTCAAGAGTGCATGATTAAAATTTCGTTACCTGTTGTGTGATATGACCTATCTCATATCCGTGAGGTGAAAAGGTGCGTAATGTACGAAATCAAGGTGTGCAGCATTGGGATGGGAAAACGAAGAGTGGGGCGAGAGGCACTATATACTATATGATATGAGACTGTATGAGTTAGTATATCTACCTGTATAATCATTTGTCACGAATGTATTACTCCAATCTCTTTTCGCATACGTATGATTATGTACATATTAACGTTTTTCTGAAATAATTGATAATACTTAATTATATGATTAATGCACCGATAAGCGAAAATATGTATACATCTTTAAATTTCTACTAAAATTGCATATGCATGCATCGTTTTGTAAATCCAGGCATGCGAGCCTATCTATCTACACAATATACTGTATATGCGTACTTGTATATTACATGTATGTACTAAATAGGTAAGGTAAACTAGAAGCTACTGATTGTATGCACTTATCTACACAGAAGTTCATTAATTCGTTCTTTTTGAGGACTCAGGGTTAGAGGAGTACCAGGAAGAACGGTATGTCCGACAGGCTAATTGTAAGCCCTTTTAAATCTAAATTACAAAGAATTTACCATATTTTTATTCATTGGAATTCACTCTACTCCACTAGGTGGTATAGTCAATTAATCGTAATTCATATTTCTAGGAGCTTAGCCTGGACCAACCTGGACACCTGGTGACTCCTTTTCGTGAAACTCTAATTGCAGCGAGGAATATAGGATATAAAACTAAATTACAATTTACAGGGTGTCCCAAAAATGTTGTAACACCTTGAAAGGGGTGGTTCGGGAGGTGATTTGAAACAACTTTTTCCTTAGCGAAAATGTCGAGTCGCTTGTTCGCGTACAAGCGCGGCCGCTTAGCACATAGCCTTCGCTACCGCACCCGCTCCAACGGTATCCGCGCGCTCTGATTGGTCAGTGTTTTCCGTTAATATCTCCTCAACGAAGCCTCGGACAACATTTTCGCTAAGGAAAAAGTTGTTTCAAATCACCCCCCGAACCACCTCTTTCAAGGTGTTACAACATTTTTGGGACACCCTGTATTCCAATAAGTTCAAGTGCAATAAGTATCGAGCCTTTAGTTAGTAGTGCCATCGGTGGGAAAACGTCCAAGTTTGTAGTAAAAATAGTTCTCATTGTTGCTGCTAGGTGGTGCCACTAACTAAAGGGTCGATAAAAAAAATAGCAAACAAAAGTAAAATGTAATGTATTGAAATAATATATTGTATATAGTGTTATAAACAGTTATAAAGCAAAGAATCGTATTAATTATGGATTTATGAAAAATAAAGGTAATTGATTAAAATGTCGTCGATGGTGCCACTGCATTACCATACTATATACATATAGCGAGTGAAAGATTTGTCACGTGGTGCGACGTCATAACATTACTGAAGTTCTGAATGTATGTAAACAACATATATATTATTACATGGGAAGGTTAATTACGACGTGATAATCAGTGATAATTATTAGTATTATTGTACAATAAACAAAAAAAAAAATACATGTCGAATTGAGTAACCTCCTCCTTTTCGAAGTCAGTTAAAAATTACGTATAATGTATTATCGGAAAATAATTGGAAATACATTTAAGTATCTACAAATACTTACAAAATCTAATTATATTCTAAATACTAGTGTATTGAAATTAAAGAAAAATACATTCGTAATGGTTGGGCCACAAATGTCTAAAATAAAACGGCATTATGGCAAAACGTTTCAAGAGCAAAAGGATATATCACGAACAATACTTTTTGTCCTTTCGGGTAGTTTTTTGTTTAATTTATTCGATTCTGAAGAAACAAAAGATGATGTTGCAGAACTAGAAATGACAATTAAACGATCGATTTTATTAATTCAGGTTAAGTATAACATACATAATTTTATAATTTAATTTTCACTAGAATTATTGACAATGTAAACGCAACAAGAACTATTTAATTATGACAAATGTTTTATTTTAATATAATTTCAGCGGTACTTTTTTTCCCTTTTTAGAGGGGAGAATTTCCAAAAGCAGAACAAATGTTACATGTTGCTTTGCGACAAGCTCAAACTTTACAACATTATGATGGTATAACTTATGTATATGATGTAATGGCAAATCTTGCATATAGTATGAATGATTTTAAGAAAGCAGAAAAATTGTTTGTATCAGTTTTACAAAGATTAATATCTAAAGGAGTTTCACAAGATGATCTAGCTGTCATTCATATTAGTCTTAAAATTGCTACCATGTATAACAAAATGGGAGACACAGAGTAAGCAGTTCTCCAAAAAATATTAATATTTCATGTTATGTTTTCTTCATAGTTTATAATGTATACTATTTCATTAACATAGAAAAGCAGAGAATGGTTACAAGTTCTGTTTAAAAAATTTACAAAATCATATGGTTACTGACAGCGAGAATAGAGATGTTCTACAGTTGCTAGGTTTAACTCTAGAATCTTATGCAGCTATGCTCTTGTTACAATCACATTATACAGATGCTATGAATTATTTAACTCAAGCTTATGATATATCCGTAAAAATAAATGGTGAAGAACATGAGCAAACTGTTGTTCTTTTGAATGATTTAGGAACTGTTAATTGTATGGTAAAAGAGTATGATCAAGCAATTAAATATTTATCTGAAGCCACAGAAATAGGTAATAACAACACAAAAATAAATAATTTTATTCTTTATTGCAGAGTATTAAAAGTGAATTACAATATTTATAGGGAAAAAATTACCTGAAATGAGTGATATAGGTACTATTCAGGTCAACTTGGGAAATGCATTTATTATGAAAGGATTATATGAACAAGCAAAAAAAAATTGTATTGAAGGAAAGCGTTTAGGAAAAGCCAATAATCATAAAGAGTCTGTAATAGAAGCTGAAGAATGCCTAGAAAAGATAGAGAAACTAACATCTTTAGTATAAATATAAATGTAAACAAATCTTATGAAGTAATTTATTCCAAATAACGTATTATAGCTTAAAATGTATATTGTGAAAAAATGATAAACATTACATGTGATCATCTTTATTTTTATCCTTAAGTCAATAGAATTTTACTGTATTATATGATATCAGCTAGTATAATCCTAATAAAATTGATAACAATTGAAAGAAATTAAAAGCATAATTCTTCTTATAGTACAAAATAAACTGTGTACTTTATCTATATAAAAACATACAATTTTCTTCTTAATTTACAGTAAGTAACTTTCATGTAGAAAACATATAAATTTTTAAAACAAATGTTATATAGAACATTATAAGTGTTTTAATAGAAAGTAACTTTTACCAATGAAAATTGATATTTATATACAATATCAACGTTCAGATTAGGCAAATGTACAATTAACTTTTAAAAGACTAGTTAATTATTTTTTACACTATTTTTTATGAAATAAATTATTTTTATACTTTTAGCGGCATGTTTTTTTAGAGCCTTATATGATAGTAATATGAATTCTGGTTATTTTTTTCATAATTTCAAGTAGATGTGAATAATTACCAACAAATGCATTGTAATAAGTATATGAGATAACACTGTTTTCACTGGTATTCACCTTGCACGATGTATTAAAATTACTACTAATATCAACAATTACAAAACACAATTAAAATCTTGTAAAAATCCAAGTTCTAATTTTAATTTTTTGTAATAATAGCAATTAAGATAAATTCTTATTAAATCATCACAATGTATTGACAACAAAAGACATAGTATGATTCTATTCATATTCTGCTATAAGCACCATCATATATACACCAACGAGAAGCGCAATGATTTCATTCAAAGACTGTACAAATTTAGTATCGGTTAAAAGCTCTGGTATTACAGAAACTGTTGCTATATAGATAAATCCTCCAGCCGTGAATGGAAGAATCCACATAGTTGCGAGATCACCTGTAAATTCAAATTAAAATTCAGGTTAAATATTACATAAACATGTTAAACATATCTTTGATTGTAATACTATAATTTATTCTCACCCATGCCCTCTGCTAGTAATGATACACAGGTTCCTAGTAGAGCACCTATTGCAGTAGTCAGTTGAAGCATCATGGCCTACAATCAAAATCATGTTACAAAGTGGTATTAAAAGCAATAATTTATTGTATTACTCGTTTTTCTTGTATCTTACTTTTCTTTTACTATAACCACTTTGTATTAAAATAGCAAAGTCCCCTATTTCATGAGGTACTTCGTGTAACAAAATTGTGAAAGTAGTAATATAACCGATATTATTGCCAGCTAAATAACTAGCTCCAATAGCAAGACCATCTGTAAAATTATGTAAAAAGTCTGCAACTAGATTTAAATAGCCTGCAATATTAATCTCATTCTGAGGATCCACAGATTTATCTGAATTTTTTTCTAATTTTTTGTCCTTTTTATCTTCCTTAGACACATTTTCTGTGACACTGTGTACATGTGAGTGATTATGATCAGTTTTTATGATCCTCACTGCTTTCTCGACAACTAGAAACATGATTATGCCTAAGAGTACACATAAACCAACAGACATATTGTGCGTATGATTATGTTCTTCGTCGCCATGGCTATGGGAATGTTCTGGCATATGCACTTCCTTGGAAGGTTCATGTGAATGAGGAACTAGAGCATGAGGAATTAAATGCAAAAATGCATCTCCCAATAAGCCACCAGATGCAAAACTTAACAGTATCTTTAGTAGTGGCTCACATTCCTTTGTGTTGTCTAAAGGAACGAAAAATAAAATAAGAAATGGTGCTGCTGATATAAGTACAGTTGATGTAATAGCTTTAAAAAACACTTCATTATGTGTTTTGTCGGATGGAATTGATTTCTCCTGATGACTGTGATCATTATACTCATGTGTATGCTGATGCTGATTGTGTGCAGTATGTTGATTTTGTAGATATGCTTCGTTAATTTCCTTGGAATATTTCAAACTTGGAGATTCATCATGTTCATGATGTTCATGTGCTTGACAAAGAGTCGGTAAGTTCAAAAGCATAAGCAATAAAAACATGCCAAGTAAAATTTTCGAAATCCATTTGTTGGTATGATTCTGTTCGTTATCATCTGCCGTTACGATCATTTCTACAACTTTGCAAATACTGAATAAAATATAACTGGTTCACGTATTGTTGCCGATATAGTGTTAACATCCGTGCATGAAAATTTAAGAATTTTTATGCAACTGTTATGGTAGTAAATGAGATAAAAAAAATACAGCCACGTTAAACAATTTGTTATCAAAGTTAGGTTATGTCAGTCTGGTTCAATCTTTAAAAATGATATACAATTAATGTTGGCTATCTTGGTTTACAGACATTGGCTATCCTGAAAGTTTATAATTTGAAATTTTGAAAACAATAGTGATTTTGATACCAAATCTTAATTAAAAATTGTGCACAATGATTAGTTTCTTATAAACTTATCATTAGTATAGATATAGTAAGAAGTTAAACGTTGTACTATTTTATAAAAGTTCGTTTCATTCGTACAAATAGTTCGTACAAGAAAATTCGTTATTCGTTGTATAAAATGAGACAATTGTGATTGGCTGAAGTACGCACTACGCGTACACACTCGTACGTATCGGTTGGTATCTGTCAAAGGCGGGCTTCGATGAGGTTAGTTAAGGAAAACAAAATTTTCACTGCGTAAATGTCTTCCACTTAAGAAATCTACGTGTTTCACTAATATGTCACACAATATCCTAAAATCTATGGGGCATGGATTTTGCGATGCCATCTTTTCCAGTTCACCTATTAATTTTGATAAGGAAAATACAAATTCTCTTAACAAAACGTAAGTTTACTTAAGTTTACGTAAGTAATAAATATTTATTCATATCTTACGAGTTATTAATTTTCTGTTTTCATTTTTCAGAGAAAAGATATGTTCTGGGGTATTTAACACACCTCAAAAAGGGACTGAAAATTCAAATGGAAACAAATGTTTAAAACGCGATAAACGTAAAATACTGCTTGATACTGAAGCAGTTAAAAATTCGAAGTTGACAAGTACACCTTCTAATGCAAATCTTGTTTGCTCCAAGTCTACAAATGCACTTCAGGGGAAACCAATTTTGTTTCCTGAAAATGCAGTACCTAATGAAAAATATAAAACTTCTAAAGTAGTGTCTACTACTTCATTAAATGATAAGACAGCTACTCTACATTTTTGCACACCTAAGCAATATAAATTACGTACTGTTGTAAATAATACAAAAATGAATGTTTTACCTTTAAGTAGAACACCTGTAAAACATTATTTTATCGACAATGCTTTGTCTGAAGCTACTCCTGATTGTTTTAATACAGTACAAGTAGAAACACCATGTGCTAAAACACATGAAATTTGTATAGAAGATCAAACAGTGTGCGATGGTGAAAGTAGTAATTTAATTGTGGGAATACGTGTTAGACCTTTAAATGCAAAGTAAGTTTTAATTAAATTAAATTAAATTAAATTTTTTGAATGCTGTATTCTAATCATTATTTTATTTCCATTACATTAGAGAATTAAATGACTCAAAGATTACATCAGTTGTACAAGTAAATGGTCAGAATGTTATTGTTAACTGTGATACTATTCAACATACTTTCATGTATGATCATTGCTTTATGTCACATGTTGATGCAACTAAATCTGACCATGCCAATCAAGAAACTGTATTTAAAAGCATGGTTTTACCATTAGTACAGAATGCATTTGAAGGCTACAATGTTTGTTTGTTTGCTTATGGACAAACAGGTTCTGGTAAAAGTTACAGTATGATGGGTCAAGAATCACTACAGATGAATTTAACACAGTTTGACGAAGCAACCGGTATTATTCCAAGATTTTGTCAAGAACTATTTACCAGAATACACGGAAATGTAAACACTAAAACAACAGTAGAAATTAGTTACTTTGAAATTTATAATGAGAAAATACATGATCTATTAACGAATGTTAACAATGGGGTAAAGAGAGCTCCTCTAAAAGTGAGAGAACATCCTGTTTTTGGTCCTTACATTGTTGATTTAAGTCAACATTGTGTACAGAATTATAAAGACTTACAGGTATGCCCATAACTATATGTAAGAAGATATTTCTTTAGTTGCAGGAATAACTATAATTATTGATATATAATGCTGTAAACACATTTATTTTAGACTTGGCTGAAAGTAGGTAATTCACAACGAGTTACTGCAGCAACTGGAATGAATGAAAAGAGTTCAAGATCTCATAGCATATTTAGTATAATATTAACACAAGCACAACAAAGTATTCAGGTAAATGAAGAACCAACAGATGCTAGTCGTCGTAGTAAAATTAATTTAGTAGATTTGGCGGGTAGCGAGAGACTAAGTCAAACTTGTGCCAGTGGAGATAGACTAAAGGTTTGTTTCACTCCATTTCAATATTTAATTATATTGAAATAATAATTGTTTCGGTACATACGTTTAATTATGTTCAACAGGAGGGTGTATCCATTAATAAATCATTGCTCACATTAGGAAAAGTAATTGCGTCTCTTGCTGAAAATATGAATAATCGGAAACGAGGTTTTGTTCCATATCGTGAGTCGGTGCTTACATGGCTGTTGAAGGTAAGTAACTTTAAAACAAATATATTCTCCATCCTTTAGCTATACTAATGTTAGAATTATACAAAAATACTATTTATTCAAATAATTTTGTTTATTGCTGTTTCATGGATAAAGTAGTTTTTGTAGCAATTTGAAAATATTGTGAAATTAATACTATTTTAACGTACAAACACTTATTGAAGATTAGTTATTGATCACTACTTGCATAAATTATACTTGTATCTTCTAATATAGTGTGACTTAATAACTATGTTAAGTACTATTTATTTTATATAGTTCATTTAATATAGTTTTGTATGCAAATTCAGTCTTAGAGATTACTCAATTCTCCATTGAATACAATTCACTTAATTCTAATTTTTCATAATGGTTGAAGAATGTACAGTAACACAAGATAAAGTTGCTATATTTTGAATTCTTTCAAATTATTTTAAATTTTCTGAAGTTTTACTTTTATTTGCATGCACGTAATATCCGAGACAACATTTTATCCTAAACGAGTTCTTAGTACAGCATGAACCATACTCTGCTACTGTTTTGTCAGTGTTCATCTATGTATGTAAGTTTGTATCTGCATACATATCTATATACTAATAGAATATAATAGTAAGAATTTGTGCATTCTTCGTTCAAAATTATTTTTGAAAAATTTCAGTGTACAAAAATAAATTATTCTCATATCTTTATAATTACAGTAACTATAAATTTTAATCGGATCTCTCGTTAAATATTTATAGGCACTGTAACTTTAAATATGTTTTATAGATTTAGTGTCCAATTTAATGGTGTTATTGATTCGAGTCCTTGATTTTCTTTTTTATTCATTCGAAACTTTTAAAGTTTTATTTTCGACTTTCGACGGCCGTTCGTCGATTTTCACTTTTTGGTCCCTATTGTTCGCAGTATCTTGTTCCTCTTCTTCTTCGTGAATTTCTTCACAGGAACTTCGCCGCGATTTGCCTTTTATGTAAGCTGCTAAACTTCTTCTTTTGCTTTCTCGGCACAAGTGACAGTTGTCTTTAGACAGCAGCTTTTGTTCGTGATGTTGTTGCAACACACGTTGGCAATGACTCTGCGTTGATCTTCCTAAAAAACAATCAATTTTTCTATTGCAAATTATTGCTCTGTAAGAAAATGTATCGGATGGTGTTTTGCCAGTCGCTAATTTATGTTGTTAAAAAACAGTTACATTTGTTAAAACTGTTAGCTCAACAATCTGTAGAATGTTGTACGAGTTCGGTATTTTTATATAAATATTATTAAATATCAAATATTTCTATGAACTCTAAAATTTCGTTTAGAAATGTAATAGCTAATTATTTAGGCTAATGTATTTTTAAAACAACAACTTATATCGACAGGTCTAATTTTCTCTCTCTCTCTCTCTCTCCTCCTCTATATATATAAAAATGTTAAGTAGATCTTTCTCAAAGGTAACGTGCTTTGCTGCACGTAAACGTTTTAGCGATCCCCCCACTTGTGCTTTCAAGTCCTCGCTCCCCAAGTTACAATCGTTTTTTACTGAATGGAGCAACGTGATCTGCTGCATGTACTCCTTTGCTCACTTTGTCCCACGTGAGCATATCTCCTGTGCAGCTTTTTAAAATCTGAGGTACATCTTGTTATCAGATTACAGCAGGATAAGAAGAAGCGATCATCGTGCAAGATCAAAAGTGTCAAAGATAAAGATGAAAGCTTTACGAAGTCGCTATTAACGATATCAATGAAATACATTTGCTAGATAAGAATATAATCGAGAACTACATCTCTTATTTTCTGTTTTCTTTCTTTTTTTGTTTTAAACCTTGTGCAAGGCGCTCGATTGAATTTGATTATTTCATAACGATATTCGTTTCAGTCGCATCAGAAGATCTGTGCGAGACTCAGGTCGACAATCGCGACGCATCATTTATAAACTGACTAACTAGAAATAGACGCACGCACGGTCGGCAGAAATACACGAATCATCGAATCGTAGCTCGAGCTTTAAGACGAGACTTATACAGATCCAGGAATACCGATTCTCGTTAACCGTTAATCTCTTTTAAATGCGTAGCATGTAGATAATTTGTTTTTTCGCGAAGAGATGATTTCATTTCGTGCATCGTATTCATTATCGTGGGATATTTTAAACCTTACTCATATTTGTTGCGTGTACCGGTTACGAAGAGTATTTTTAGATCCGTATATACTTCCGCCCGTTCATATGTAAATATAATGACGCGTACATAGTATCACAGTAAAATGTAAACAACGACACGAGATATACACAATAATAGCCCCTCTATTGTGAATGATAATCTCGATCGTTTGCATTTTGTATTACACTCCTGACAATCGCAATCGTAAACATGTTTTTAACGTCCAGAATCAAACATGGTTTGATGCTGTGTTTATGTAATCAGTGATATTCTCTGAAACATAACTTTCACAATATTATTTTCATGTACGCGATTTTACATGCAGGCATGATAAGAGATAGTGCATTTTATTAATGAAAGTAATGTTAGTAATGTAGATTACGTTATTATAATTTATCGCTAAAACGCTAAAAATTAGGCAATGAGTAACGTATTAACCTTTTGTAAAATGTGAAAGTTTATCTTGTCGCGAAACAGGCTAACCTATTTATTTTAATAATTTTCGAAAAAAGTTGACGATAATGTGGTCTAACGTTTTCTCGTGCACAGTATGATTACGGTTGTAATTTATGAACACGTTGATATCTTTGAACCGTGATAATGCAATTTTATTTCGAAATGCAATGTATGATAAATAATGCAGAGAACTGCCTTCGAGCAACCAGTTCCCCAGCGATAACGCAAAGGGAGGGGTCAACTGCGTCGCGTAGAAATACCTGAGAGTCGTTTGCCGCGTACGATTCACGAGTACATCAATTGAAAATATGGAAATTATTTGCATTTATGACGTACAATAATATAAAAAACATACATAAAATGTACACAATGCTTATTTAATATATTCTATAATTAACATATGTAATATTATCGTTATTTCATTTTGCATAAGTGCGCATACATTTGTTTACGTTTAACATATGTTTATTATATTATTTTACGTAAAAAATGCATAAAATCCGCGTCTAGTCGTTTACCTTGTAGATAAACGTGTTGTAATCAATCTTGCACGGTGACGATCTTGTAGTACAGTTAGCGCAAACAAATTGTAGCATTCCTTCACATGTTCTTAACGATAACGAAAAACAAATGGCAGAAGTGTTTGTAAGCATTGACAGTTTTTATTAACAGTCCTCAGTGCGTTTACGAGATAACGGCTACAGGTATTAATTTCTTTGATGTACTGGAACCTTGCGAAAAATTAACACGTGTTTCCACACCCAGTTCTTTTTATCGATAGCATAGATATCCTTAGTTGGTACATTTACACGCAAAAAATAATACGATACATCGTTTAATTCCAATTACTGCTTAAGGCCCCCCTAGACCCAAAAAAAAAATCGATATTGCGATTCCAATCACGCGAGACTTCGATTGTCTGTTACAACGAATCGAGAACTTCGCAGCTTTTCTTTATCGTACCGGAACAAGCAACAGGTATTTGTTTACTATTGTCTCGGAACGTACCATTATGGAAGTAGTCTTTGTTCCAGGGCTGTTCATAGTCTCTGTACTGTTGATTTCTGAAGAAACCGTAGGTGAGGACCTCGGGGACGTAAACTAGATCCATCTTCGCTCGATATTCGTTTCTATCTAATTTTAGCTGCTTCTTATCATGGAAGTCTAATCACATCTTCCCACGTGGACCGTCGTTGATCACGTTGTACCTTCGTTTCGAAGCAGGTCTCGTCCTAGACCACACTGAATATTTTTTTTCCGTACTTCTTCTACTGTTTGTAAATGTGATCGTAGCGAACGGGAGATTACTTAGTCGTTCTAGAATCGTAGCGAAAACCTTTTCAGTCGGCAACGTAGAAGGTCGTTTCGTAGGTAACTTTCTTCTTTCCCTGATCGAGGACAACTCACTGGTAAACGAACAGTGCCCACCTCGAATGTTATGAAATTCTATGGAGAAAAGCGATAGCCAAAAGTCAAGATCACGTCGTGCTCGAATTGCTACGATGTTTTGCTTTGAACTAAAGAAGTACGAACGCTGAGAGCGCATAATGTTTATCCACCGATGTTTCCCTCTCCATCGGTGCTCTCGACTCTCCGCTCCTCTCAGCCGTTATACCGCACGCCCTTCGACTGCGCATTGTCCCCTCCATTTCCTCCGATCACCTTCATGAATTGCTTGCGGATTTCACGTATCCCAAACTGCGTCTTTCACGTTTACCGTCACGTCTTTCCTTTTTTTTTCGACCTACAAGACACGGACGTTTATTGTAATATACAATCTTGAATTGGAATCTGAAACGAGCCGATTTAAAGTAATTCGCCAGTTGCTAGACCAAGGATAGAGCATCTTCTTTCCTTTGCTCCATCTCCTATCAAATGCTATGGTTGTCCCAAAAATATTGTAACACATTGAAAGGGGTGGTTCGGGAGGTGATTTGAAAGAACTTTTTCCTTAGCGAAAATGTTGTCCGAGGCTTCGCTGAGGAGATATTAAAGGAGAACACTGACCAATCAGAGCGCGCCGGTATACCGGTTTAGCGTAGGCTAAGCGATAGGCGGCCGCGCTCATACGCTACCGCGGCCGCTCCAACAGTATCCGCGTGCTCTGATTGGTCAGTGTTTTGCGTTAATATCTCCTCAACGAAGCCTCAGACAACATTTTTGCTAAGGAAAAAGTTGTTTCAAATCACCTCCCGAATCACCCATTTCAAGGAACTACAACATTTTTGGGACTCCCTGTATTATGGAAAAAAAATATTTATATTATATATTTACTTATTTATAATTTATATTATATAAATTCAGGGAAAATTAGGTTAACATGCATAGAAAAGTAATGTCTTGGATTTATTAATTTCACTGCAATCTTTGCAATGACCTCAATATAAATTTTTTTCATCGTTCGAAGGAAACTTGACTCTTGATCGAGTGGCTTTTATGTCAATCGTTACAATTTTTAACGTATTCTTACTTAATTACTTCTTATCGCGTCACAGTGCTCGTAGCTATCTTGAAAAAATTACAAAGGACAATATAGATTACACGTATAGATTTCAAGGCTATTCTTAGTAACTATCGTTAGTGCAACATGAAATCTTCGCAAAATGTGCGACATAAATTGTTGACATAATTTGTTTGCTTGACAATTCCACGTCTATGTCGCAAATGGATATCTCGAAGATCTTCGTAAATCAAAAATGTCCTCTTCCGATAGCCGTGACTTAACGGTGTGCATATCTTTGTAATAATAAGTACAGTTTCAGTGATAATTGTTTATCAAGCTCTGTATGCGTCATTAAGTCGAGCAAGGTTATATTTTATGGCCAATTTTTTTGTTCACGCACACTATCTCGTCGGTTCGTCACAACCTTCGACATTACATTTAAAAAATTCTCGAAATGTCCGATACAATAGCCACGAATGTACATGCCTTACTTTATGTTGGAAAGTGTTACATAATCGATTAGGGTAAATGTATCCTCGTGTTTCACTCCGTGTAGAGCAATCGTCATAAAAATTGTTTCTTCCAATTCTAACAAAAAGGAAGTATGAATAAGTACGGTCTTATTACTGATAACATCACAAAGGATTATAAACTCTAACATGAGATAAGCGTGAACGGTGCCGTACAAAGAATTTTTTACATCGAAACGATCACTCATAATATGATTCAAATGATCATCCATCTTTTCGATCAAATACATAAATGAGCATTTCTCCTCAATCGTAAACCACCATCAGCTACAGCCTGAGTGCCCAATTCGATAGCATATCTGATAAACAGAGTATTTCTCGAGGAGATTGTTAAAAACATTCAATTGGTATTCAAGTACTTGAAATTTCTGATTTATTACATCGTAAGTTTTGTCAGGCGTGAATCGATAGGATCGCATTCTTCTTTAATATCTGAACTCTGATTTCTCTCGGTGATTGTTCGCGATATTATTGCACTTGGTGCAATAAATTAATGTTTACATTGTAGTGTGAGAATTCAATGATTCTCTTTGGCGGTTGATAGGGTTCCCTCGATTAATAATACCGCGTGCGAAACGCGCTTAAGCAAACATCGAAACGATAACAGATAGTAGCAAATATAAAGATGGAAGGCATTTTTTTTTCCATTGCTGAATGTAAGCTTAACAATACAGTTGAAACACCTTTGTGTGCATACTCGTGTAAGGAATTTTATGTCCATCTGTGTTCTTATCGTTTCATTAGTAACGTCAGGATAACGTTTGAAAAGAAACGTCAAGGTATGATCGTTTAGTACTTAGCCGAGACAGATTAAAGTCCAATCATTCTTTCAAAAGCTCGTTTCTGAAATGTTTACGATAATAATTATTCGTGGATATAGGTGAAACAAGATTAAATTAAACAAAGTGCTTTAGACCATAATATACAGAATTATTTTTCTGTCATCTTAGCATTCTCTCAATTGATAAAGGAGACGAATGATCGATTATGGAGCAATCGTAATCATTAGTTTAATTACACTTTTTCCCAATTCTCGCTAAAAAATGTCCTGTCATGCACTAGAGCGTAATGGAATTATTTGTATTCGCGAGTCAACGAAACGGAAACATTATCAAGTATATCGACGACCTTGATACAGTTTTAACATTCGAAAGTACTTTTTTTCACTCGAGCGCATTAGTTAAAAATTCGTATCTTATCATTGTTTGATTTTCTTATTTTTATGGAACACGGATCTATTTTATAACGTAAAATTCCATTTAAATCGAACAGGAAAGCCTTGGAGGAAATTCCAGAACAGCGATGCTTGGAACCGTGTCACCGGCTAACATACACGTGGAGGAAACGCTTTCGACCCTTCGATACGCTTGTCAAGTCCGAGCAATCGTTAATCGTATTCGAATCAACGAAGATCCACATGAAAAGTTAATTCGGTACATACATATACGCTTAAGCGCCATTCATTATTTTTTATTGAAGAAAGTATGCAACAGTTTAATTTGCAATTGTACACACGCTTTTATTATCACTTTGGTATGATGTGCAAATTTTTCTGGAAAAATTTTGTACAAGTGTTTCTCAATGGTTGCGCTATAAAACTCTGTAAAAAAAAAATCATTTTTTTTTGCCCGAAAAAAAAGCAGTTATACATAGATATAATATAGACCTAAAATCGTTAAAATTATTTAAATTTCTATAACGTGTTTTTACTATACGGGTAAACGATTTTTTGAATATTCACAACTAAATGAAAACGCTTGAAACGGCAAAACAAAGGAGTATCCCTGCATGCTGCCGAGATACGTATATTTCATTACACTGACAAGTCTAACCTAAGGGTTTTATTAACCTTTGCGATTATGATTTTTTTTAACAGCGAGTTGAAAGCCGAAGTATCGCGATTACGCGGTGTTCGCGAAGGGTACGAAAAACAAATCGGCGGTTTTCCTCGTCGTCTTCTGGATTCCATAGAACCGATCACTGAAAATAATGATGAAATGAAACAAAAACAACGAGAAATCGATAAACTGAAGAATCAACTGAAGAAAACCGAGGAACAACTTGCAACCACCCAGATGTAAGTGAATTCGAACAAGATACTTTTATGTATTTACATATTCTTTGTAGGTTTCACTTTTTCATTGGCAATGTAAAAGTACGTTGCATTTCATATTATTGTATCGATACTATTTTTATCGTTTTTTAAATATCCTACTTGTGTCACGTAATAAATTATCATACTTTGCAATTTGCAGTCGACTTTGTATGGGCATCGATAAAGGAAATACCGCTCAAAATAATTAGATATTCACGAACCCAGATAATTTCGCTCGTTTGAGTATTAACACTTTACCGTCTACAGGTAGCTTATTAATCGCCTTTTTGCCATGGCAAGCGATACTTTTTTTTTATCGATTATACGATTCAAATGTTATGCAAATAAAAACTACAATTATTAAATTTAATTATACGACCAAACGCTTCAAAAGTCGGTGAATATTGTAAAGTGTTAAATATTCAACGGAGTCGTATTTTTACAGGATATTCAACTGGATATTATCACGTCAAAGTTCTTAGTCAACAATAAAATCGATCGAGCACGCGATCTTCTAATTATTTAAAGCGCCCTATCTTTTACCTTGAAAATAGTTGTTTTGGATCAAAGTTAGGTTCAATTAGCAGTTGCACGTAATTACAGGACTTGGCTAAAAAAATTACGGGAAACCGAGGAGAGGAAAAATTCCGAGTTAATGTACTTGCGTCGCTGCGGGATCGCCATTGAGATTGATATTCACGAGATTGACGATCAACCTTGTCTTATAAATCTCGCGGCCGATCCTATATTGTCTGGTACACTTTTGTATCTGATACCTCCGGGATTGGTCCGCATCGGCAAAAATTCTAGGACGGAAAGTTCTTCCGAATCTTTGGATATCATGTTGGATGGACCACTGGTTAGGCCTCTACACTGGTTAGTCATGGGTTGTTTGCAGTCCGGTGGTTTAAAGCGAATGGAGGGATTGAACTTGTTTGCCTTATCCACTTGTGCTCGTTTTTGCATCTTCATCTTCCAGTGCTTCCTGCACACCTTCTAACATTCGTCTTTTTGTGATTTGCCATACAGGAATAGTGCTACTGTATCCTTCATTTAATTCCTCTATTATGTATCTTTTGCCAATGCATGTTCTTTCTTGCCTTACATGATTTAATTAATAATTTTAATATAATCTATCACTGCATTTAATATACGATGGTCTTGAAGAAGTTGCACGATGGTTTCTGCTGTAATATAACATCTACACGTTTTTTTCCAATGAGCTCTTGTGTGATGGAATATTTCTGAACTCGATCGTAAAAATTCATGTTTTAGGTCTCGAATTAAAAATCTTTAGAATAATACGGACGTGGTTGATGTTCTTTTCTTTCATATATTCTATACTGTAACATTGTGTTACTTTAATTATTTGGTTATGGTTTCTTTAATCATGTTTTGTGTATTTCACAGTACCATTGAGAATAGTAGCGGAAAACTTGTATTGTCACCGGAAATGGATGGGGATACGTATGTCAATGGACAGGTATAATATGCTGTTATACTTCATCTCATGTCTCATATCTTGTTAATTCTGATTATATATTGTTTTTTCAAAATATCTATTCTATTGCAGATTGTAACTGGTAAAGTTATTCTCAAGCATGGCGATCGTCTCGTGATCGGTGGAAATCACTACTTCAAAGTTTCGAATCCGCGCAACGAACACAGCAATGTACAAATTTCTGCACAAGCTGTGGATTACGAATTTGCTCACCAAGAAATTCTTAAAGTACAAGAGGAAAAGTAGGGATTTTTTACAAATGATTTTCTTTAAGTCAAGTATAACTGATGAAAAATCTTCAACACTATTTTATGCTTTCTTTAATACAGACTAAGAGCCGAGTTAGAAGAAAGTAAACAGAAGGCGATAAAAGAATTGGAAAACGCAAAGCGAGAAGTTGAAGTACAATTGGGATCTCAAAAGTTGACATACGAACGTAAGATTGAAGTTCTTGGTTCTACAGTTGAAGAGCAAAAGTTTGCGTTAGAACAAATCAATCAAAAAAGGAAAGAATTGGAACTAGAAAAAGAATTACTTGCAAACGAAGTTAAAATTAACAATAGGTTAAAACAGATACATTCGGAACAAAAAAAAGTTACTGTCTCGCCGTATAAATCGAACTTTTTACAAGAATTGGAAAGTATTTTAACTGAAGAAACAGCTGATGCGGAATTCGCTCTTAAGATGAAAGCCAGTACAGATGCGATAAATGATGGTGGTATTACTTTACATGAAATGCAATTATTGGTGAGAGAAGCTACTGAGCGTTGCCGAGAAGTTGGTATCAATTATGTACGTATTCATTAGATGAATAACGTTTTAGAGTACACTTTCTTTCTATTAAATATATATAATTAATTTTTATACCATAGGAATTTGATCAACAGCAAGTAATTGTGAATAAAAGTTTGAGGCCAGTGATTCGTATACGTAACAAAGATTCCATGAAAGAAACGCTTTTGCAGCCAATGCGGTTTTTAAGTTGGGTTCATCGTTTACGAGATTATGATATAGAAGATTCCATAAAAGAACTGTGTACAGCGTCTGACACAACTTGGGAAGCTTACGAAAATACGGAAACTTTTGAGGATTCCTTAAATAGTAGTCGAATTTCAATAAATATGACACCAGTAAAAAAGTACTTAAACGAGAGTTTGCAACAGCTGTCTCTAGACGCGTCTATACTCGGAAGTACATTCGTCGATCAAACATTCGACAATTCTAAAAAACAAGAAACTATAAGCAGCTGCCTTGAACAAATGGAGTTCACTGCACGAAATTTACGCAAATTATGTGATAAAAGTGGCGGAAATGCAGTTACGGAATGTCTTAATGACGTGCAAAATAGTATCGATAGACTGCGCGAAACTTTAGAAATACAAGGCTTATGTAAATGCACAAATGAAAGTGCAAATTATGAAAAAAATTGTGATAGTATTATACTTGAAAAATCTAGTAGCATTGATTTAACTTTTCCAGAAGATAATAGTACAAAACCTGTTTCTTCACCTGTAAAGTCTACTTTACGTAATAATATTAAAAGTCTTGACAAAATCACTCAGAAGAGCGTGAGATTTACTGATAAAAAGAAGTGACTTAGGCCTAGATCGGAATGTAAATTTGTTTTTAGTGCTCTGAAAGTCACATAACTTAAGACGTTAAATGATGCTAAGGATATACATTTAACATTGTTAAGACTTAATTGTTTCACTTTATTTCTTGTCACTTGTAATTTAGGTCTTTTAAGTCCTCTATTTATATTGCAATAATGTCTTACCAGTAAAGTAGATTTACTTCTTGACAGGGTATTTGTGATTAAAAACTGACAGATACCTCGTTAATGTGATTAACTACTTTATTCTAATATAGTTTCATGTACACTTTGTATATTCTATAACAGGTAATAAAAGCAAAATGAAAATTTACAACTAATCAAAATAATCCTCAATGTCGATGTCAGGATTCAGTAAATCTTCTCCATAAATACTTAAGTCCAACTGATTAAGTATTAAATTTTCACACATCTCTTCCAAGTCGGTATCTCCAATCAGTACTGCTCCTTGCATTTTACCATTTTCTAGTACAAGTTTTATATATTCGTGTCCTTTAGTCATTCGTAGTAGAATTTCATACTTATCATTCAACTTTTGTCCATTATATAGACCAAGTAAAACTACTTTGTAACCGAAGAATTTAGTTACATGACTAAACAATTCAAAGCAGAAATCTTGCAAAAATTCCTCATTTTTTAATTTAGAAGTCATCGATTTTGCTGCATAAATTCCCATTTGATGAGCTTGTGTCCATAATCTCATCTGAAACCACTGTTTTGCTAATTCCCATCCGGCGCTACATACATCTCCTGCAGCATATATATCTTGTTCTGAAGTTTCTAGTTTCCAATCTACTAATAGTCCCCCATCTTTTCCTTTCTTAAGATCTTCTAAACCCATTATGTTGGAATTTGGTATTACACCTGTTGCTGATACAATAAAATCGCAACCAATAATATTCCCATTTGTCAATTCTGCATATATAGACCATTGCTCTGTGGGATCAAATTGTTTTTGTTCAGATGGACTAAGAATTTTCACAATTTCACATTCATATTCCACTTGTACTTTTGTCGATTTAAAGGAAGTACTTGTTATATCAAAATTATTGTGCCAGTCTGGACCTAAAGCTGGTCCACCTTTTACAACTGCTGTGTTAGATACTGTATATCTCATTCTTTTAGTTGGAGCATTTTTATTGTCATTTGTAGATTGATCAGATTTATATACTCTATCCATGAAAAATTCTGCAGCACCAGGATCAACAAATGTTGCAGAAATATGTTTGTCTTTAATTACCCATATCATTTCAATGCCATTTACTTCATGTACAATTTCAGTAGCAATACCTCCATTTCCAACTACTATAATTCTTTTCGAATTTTGAATTTTTTTAGAAAACTGAACAACCGATTCAGTATCTCGAATTCCTAAGATAAATTCATTATGTTCTGCTATCAGTTTTGGTCTAGCACCATTACAGAGGCATAGCATTTTATAATTTATAACTTTTCCACTTTTTGTCAATACTTGTTTATTTGGAACATTTATTTTAATTACAAAATCATGAATAATTTTTAATGAATCATTTGTCTTTGACAAGGTTGTTATGTCCTTCTCTTCCACACTGAACTGCATTAATGTTTTACCAAGTGGGACTATATTTGTAACTGCTTTTATCAAAGGACTTGCTGTAATTAAAATGGTATCTACTTGTGGGGCAAGAAAACCAATACTTTCAGCACAGGATACTCCAGAAATACCACCTCCTACAACTACAAATGTGCAATTTGTTTCTTTCTCATCCATTCTTACCTTGTTTAAATAATGCAAGTCTTTAAACAAGATTCAGTTTAAGAAGTCTTCCACTCTGAATAATCATAGTATCTAAGTGGAACATCAAATGTAAGCAAACCGTATTCCTTTGCTTTTAATATTGCAATAAGCAAGTTATTGTGAGCTCTCTGACAAAGACCAGTTTTTCTATGAATACAACAGAGAATAAATAACAAGTAAAAAAATATTTTAGATTTGTTCAGCATTTAGAAAAATTAAACTTACTTATAGCTTAAGATTTCTCCAGAATGCTCTGAAATAAATTGTTTCAATAAATCAACGTTACGGTAATCAAGCACTAGATATTCGTCCCTACATATTGGACATGGACTACCAGTACTGATCACTTCAGCTCTCTATAAAATTTATAAAACTAGTAAAGTAATTGTCAATAGGCAATAATCATTTTGTTTTAAAAACCACTTACGATACAAGTTCTTCGTGTTTTTGGTGGTGGGTTAGGCCCTTTGTGATTTCGTCTATATATTTTCCAGACAGGATCTTTTCCATAAGTTAATTTATAAGCTGAAATAAAATTTTATATGTAAGTTTAATACAAATCGATAAAGTTCATTTTACTTACTCACCATTACTTGCCATGTATCTTATACTAGTCTCCACAGGAATAACTTTACTTCTATCCTTTGAAATCGGTACTCTCTCAATTGTATTTGTTTTTTCTTCTTCTTCTGTGTCTTGTACACCGAATTTTGTAAACGAAGTATGTAAAAATTTCACAGGTATAACCTAAAAACAATTTGTACCTAAAAGGTTATGAATTTCGATATAAACATTTTGTTGATTCTTACTTTTGGAGTTAGGTTAGTTCGTAAAATTAATCCAGCTAATTGAAATCCGTTTAATATTAATGACATTATTTCTTTTATAATATAATTCTTTTTTGTAAAAGTATATTAAGAGTTAAATCAAGTTAAATAGCACTCGTACGATGTACTCGAGAACCGCGAGTACACACATATGAACATACATTACATTACACTGAAATGAAATATATTTTATTTGTTGCTTTAATATTTAAATTAATCTTCATGATATTACAACACTTCTACTTTCATATTTTTATGTTTCCTTCTTTTTAATATGCGTAATAATACTTAGTTTCATAATATTTAAAAACGTTCACTTTGACATCATTGAGTACTAATCAGGAAGGTTATTTTCATGTAATGATCGAAATTCTTTTAGAAATATACTAAATATTTTTTATTTTTACAAATGATTTAAATTACATGTAATACATAACGTTGTATCATAAAATCTTTTTTCATGAAAGTTACTAATTTGACTAAGAAATACATATGTGTCGTGTCGGAAGTTACTAAAAATTCGTATATTTACTTATTTATATTTAAGTATAGTTTCCGCATTAATTAAGTAATCATAATTAAATTCAGTATTTTAAATATGTTAATATTAAATCCATAACCAATAATTCATAGTAGTAATATGATCTAGACAGTAAAATAAACGGACATTTGATTTACTTGTAGGAAATATGACGTTTCCGGTTTGGACGTAACAGCAGCTTCTACGTAGTTAGGTGAGAATAATTTTCCTCGAGTTAAAAAGTATATTTTGAAATTGTTCAACAAGATATCACAAGAAAAGCAACGTTAAGGTAATAAAAATAAAATTTAAACAATGTTTGATTGCAGATGGCAGATCGTCAGGAAGATATTTGCGGATTTTGGACGATCTCGTAGCATTTGCCGAATGCGTAGTCTATTTTCAACGAAGCATAGGCCCACATCGCTTTTGTCTATAAGAAATGTTAAAATTTCTTATACACCGCTGTGAACATTTATTTTCCATAAAAAGGATTTAATTGTTAATCAAATGTGAGTGGCTTTCCTGTCGTTCAAAAAGCCGAAGCCTATATCTTTTTTTTTTCGATATCGTTTAATTTTCAATCTATTAATTAGAGGGCAGTACGGTTTTATTACTCAGCACGTTACATACCACAAAGTTTTAAGTATATTTCGTAATAGATATAATAAAAATTGAAAAAAAATGATGAGCAAGCATTTGAAGCCTAAACAAGGTGGAGTAACGAATGTATTAGTGATATAACTTCATGGACATATTTGTCGGAGCTGCCGGGTTTTCGTAATAGAAACGTCATGCATGATATGCGTTACATTTGAAAATTTGCACAAGTGGTAATCGAATATTTTTAGAGATCGTTATTGAAAGTGTTAGTGATTTGAATACACCTACGAAATTCATAAAATCGGTCAAAATCGTAATGTAGCACAAATGGACGATCATTGCGTGCTATAAATAGAAGTTGCTCGGTGATGATGTCAGTGATAGGGTGGGGTCGCGACAATTATTGGCCAACCGTAGGAGGGATGCGAAACGTGATTGGTCGGTTGTGTAACCATTCTGGGTGGGATATGCGCGGAAGTATTGCGCAGGAAGAAATCCGCCAGTTGACCATCGAGTGAGCACCGTTGTCTGGAAGAGCTTGTACCTTATACCGATAGTTTCACTATTTCTAGCTTTTCGTTGCTTAATTTCAGTATTTCAAGTTCTTTATTGTTAGGGAATGAACAATAACGAAAGCATAATTCAAGTAGAAAAGATTTGGTACAAAGATCCTTTCGATTGGCGTTTCTTATTTGTGAGGTAGATGACTCCGTATTGCACGATGAAAGGACAATTAGGATAGGAAAGCATTTCAAGAATTTAGTATTCGCGAACAATTATTGGGGAAAATACGTTTAGGCTTAGGTAAATAATCTTTGCCAATGTAATTTATTCGTAGGACTCGAGATCTTTTACCTGTTTCTTTTATGTTCGTAAGAATATTCTACAATATGGCGTTATAACGATTACGCCTGTCCTTCGAGAACTAGGTTGACATTTTTCCCACAAAAAACCCGAATATCTTTGTGTTTTATTACAGATTTACGTCATGATCCTATGTTTGTACTTCGATATGCGCTAAATCGTCAAGAATAACATCAAAATGGTAAGTCAAATTTATTAAAATCAATTACTTTCCCCCTTACTTCGCAAGTTTTTTGAGAGAGGGCGCCATATACTTAAAATTGCGACAGATGTAATGGAAGGGGAAAGCGCTAGGATCAATAACCTTCACTTGTGTGACCTCGTATCCTATTTATGGTACCGCCAACTTCAATGGTTGTATTAAACAAGATTTGGTAGTGCAATGCTGGTTTATCTAAAATTAATGTAGTATGTATTTATAGTACTCGTCTCGAGTATCAAAATGGGGAAGGTAAATGATCCTTGTGCTTTTCTTCTGTTAAGTATGCATTACTGAAGTTGTTTTTTTTTTTTTTTTTTTTTTTTAGCGATTAAAATTTAGTTTTTCTGTATTCATCTGATTCATGTAACACTTTTACGTAATACATTATTTATAGAAAAAGTTATAAAGATATGTTAATTTAAAATTTGTATAAAACAGTAAACTTCTTTTTTAGTAGAGGTTACATAGATTATCTTTTTCGTAAAATAGACTTAGTACATAGACTTAATTGAGCTGAAATCTCAAAGTTTTCTTATTAATTTAGAAAAATCTATGAGTAAATTCTACAAAGCCATTAAATTAGATATAATTTGTTATTTGCTCTATTCTATATAGCCTTTTGAAATTTTAAGGTGTTTGATGTTGTGCATATGCTCTTTCAGCCACGCATAGATCCATTATCATTATTGAAGTGTCTTAGTGTTTTGTTGGGGCCAAGTGGAGGTATTAAGAGTAAAGAAGAAGTTCATCGGTTAGCTAATTTAATGACAAAGTTTTCGAAGAAACTTGTATCAAAATGCATTTACATACAAATATTAAAAACTACAAACACCGATTTACTTAGTCAGTGAGTATATGCTTTTTTATCTTATTAGTACATGTTATCAATAAGCCAGGTACTACTTGTTTCAAAATTAAATTATTGAACAAATGATGTGTGTAAAATACACTTCTGTGTATTGCATGTTGAGACACACGAACATGCACAATTTGTATAGTCGTGTGAATTGTTAAATGCATGCTAGATTAAAACATTTGAAACTCAGAACCATTGGACGGTTTGACATGTAAACCGTACTCACTGATGCGAGTTCTACAAAATTTATTTGGCAATTATTTTATTATAGAAATAATGAGTATTATTCCTTATTACGTACTATTAAATTTAACAATGCAAGACAAATTTAGAATTTGGACAATTTTTTATTTTTCTCAGATTTATGGGTGCCGGGGGATGGAATCTCATTCACATGTGGCTCACTGATGGTATCCTTGCAAAAAATTGGGCTCTCATTCAGGAACTTCTGGAACTTTTGTTGTTATGTCCAGTAGACATTGAAAGATTAAAAAGCAACAATTGTCCTAAATTAATAAAGGGTCTATCGAAAGAAGGCAGTCATCAAGGTGTTAGAGTGTTGGCCAGTCGATTAGTCGAACAATGGCTGAAAATAGTGAAAGGAGAAGCTGCACCAAATTCTGTACCAGCGCAGATCATGACTATTCAAGTGCAAGGTACCGGAGGTCTAGGACAAAATTTGGTTTCCCAATCAGCCCAACAACAACAACAGTTTTCCATTCATTGTGGTATTCAACAAGTTACGGATGGTGTTGAAAATGAAACAGTACACGTGCAAGATCTGCAATTTACTCCAAACTCTACATCAACTATTGCAGTACCTCATATTCAACAGCAGCAGCAGCAACCGCAAGAACTGCAGCAACAACAACAAGTACAACCTTTGCAATTGCAAGTTGTTAGTAAACCACAGCAAATGCAATTACAACAGCAGTTGTCATCACAGCAATCAAAAAAGCCAGCTTTTGTTGTGGTATCTACATCTTCACAATCCCCAGTTCCTGTGTATAAAATTACAATTCGTGAAGGTAAACAAATTCTTACAAAAGTGGAGACAGATGCTGCAAATATTAATAGTGTTTTAAATACGAATAGTACAAATATAGAAATTAATGGAGATGCTGTGAACGATGTATCTCCTGTGAAACATAATGTAGAGGAAGCAGAATCGAAGGAACTCAGTGATTGTGTAGTCAGTGGTCAAGATTGTAAAGCGGACGTTGCACAATCCGAAAAAGTAGACCAAGTATCCAGTGAAGTGAAACAGACTGTAATAGATTCCACGGACAGTACCGATGTGGATGTTGTTAAAAATAAAGAAAATAAAGACTCTAAAGACACTAAAGACAATGTTAGTAGTGAAAGTAGTAAATCTAGTAATAAAGAAAATAGGGACTCGTCTAAAAAAGATGAAAAAAAATCTAGTAGTTCGGATAAAAAAAGTCATCATAGTTCGTCTTCATCCTCCAAAAGTTCTTCTAAACATACCTCAAGTTCCACTTCGCATCGTTCTAGTTCCACATCTTATAAATCTAGTAGTCACCGCTCTAGTTCTAGTAGTAGTAGTTCAAAAAGCTCTAGTAACAGGGATAAGTCTTCCAAGGACAAGGACAAGCATCACTCATCCAATTCATCCAGTAAACATGGTTCTAGTAAACCAAAATCTGACAAAGAAAAGGAAAAAGAAAAGCAAAAAAAGGATCAAGCAGAAAAGGATAAAGCAACGCTAGAAAAAGTACAAGGACAGGCATTGAGTTCAAAGTTAGGAAAAATACCTAAGAAGAAGTTGGAAGAAGAGAAATCAGGAGATGCAGCTGTAAGGAAATCGTCAACAGACTCTAGGGATAGCTCCAAGGAAAATAAGACTGATGGAAAAAAAGTTGTTGCATTGCCAGAGAAGAAGAACATTTCCATTTCTATTGAGAGTAGGAAAAATTCTCAGGATTCAACAATGCGGCCAAAGACTGTGAAAACATTTAATTCTAAATTCAGGTCAACTGGGTTGGAGGAAGAAGTTAAGCCTCCACCACCTAGATCAGGAAAGAAACCAAATCCTATAATTGATAAAAAAGTCATACCTCAGAAATTGCCTGCCCTGAAGAGACCATCTCCACTTAGAGAAGCTATTCCATCAACAGATAAACGAGCTAAGTTATCATTGGATACACCAACTACACCTCCAGGTGAAGAGAAGAAAGGAGGCATCAAATTGATACCACCAAAACCCAAACGTAAGTATTATCCAGTATCTAAAATATTATGCTTAAAACTTTTCCTTTACAAATACATATACATATTTTCTTCTATAAGTTAACTTAATTTATTCAAAGAAGATACATATTATCTTAAATTCTTGCCTAACACTGATGTTCTAAGACTAAATATGTAGCATTCAAAAAATGTTAAACATTTTTCAAAGAATTATTAAAAAGCTTATCTATTATCAGGAACTTTCGTAGAATCCGCATAAATTTATGTGATTCATATTTGATACATTATGTTTAGTATAAACTCTATCTAATTACTTAGGGTATATATTTTTTATAGGAAGAGACTAAATGTTCAATTACAGTTGGTCCACTCTAAGGAAATTTATTATAATACACTAGCATGGTCTCAACTTTGTCGTTTTTTAAGACAAAGGAAAAACGTTCAAATAATATCAATCATTATTTGTATATTATATTTTGTATAATAATAGTATATTATCACTTTAAGAAAGATACCAATATTCTAGGAACAAAAAAACTGAGTAGTAAAAAAATGCTTACACAAGTCAAAGTATTTAATTAATTCTATGTAAAATAACCAGTCTTTGAGCATCAGTTTCTTTTATTATACATGCTACTACTAACTTCTTAATATTGAGTTTGCAGGTGGATGGCTCCAGGAGAAGCATGAGCAAACTAAATACTTATATATTTTATACATTACGCGAACATTGATTCGCATAGATTTCTTATTTTTCTAATTAATTCGCAATTTCTTCCAGGACAGGATTATTTTAGTTTATATCATATAATAGAACCCTGTACTACTTTTTTTTTAAACGATTAGAGTCTTATAGAAGGTAAAAGAAAACCTGTATCAATCGACCCACATGGAAGTGGATCGAAAATGGATCTCGTGCTTACCTCGATAATTAACATCGTATTTGAAGAACGAAGACATTAGGATCGTCTCTTTGAACGTCGATTTATTTCCTATATTAAGAAGATTCAGCAGGTAATCTTCGATAAAGTATTAATTAAATCGTATGTACGAACTTTTTAAAAGCTGGTGCCGTGCGGTTAAACTTCTAGAATCGGGTACGTCGATAAGCGATACGTAAAAAGTAATTGTGCAGTTTTTTTTTTTTAACAATTACTTGATTAAAACAGAAACGGTGTGTTTTCTTATTGATAGAATTTTCGGGGTGTGTGTTTTACCGTTCACCGATGAACGATATACCAATAGAAGACACCACCGGATATTACTAATCTACTTAGGTAAGGAGACAAACTAAACTCTTGTCTGTCCATACTTCTTCCCTTGTACATGTACACCCTATTAAGCATTTAAATAAATTGATCAGAAATCTGGAAATATTTAACTCTTGGGTTTCTGCTATACATTTTGCTCACTGAATGCTTGATAAAGCAAACACTCATACCGTGGGCCCATCCAGATTTCCATCCTCTCGGTGACTAATTGCACATGTTGAAGGTGCAAACTAAATCGGGGCTTTCAAAGTGGTGTCATTTATCAAGATTAAATACATTCAATTTTCAGACGATCGTAGTAGAACTATCGATGCTTAGAAGTTATAACAAATTATTAGCTTAATAATATAGTTAGCAATGAATTTTTATTGGATGCATGCTTTCCGAATATTTCAGTTCGGTCCCGTAAAATTACAACAAACGTAGGTTCTCTAAAGCTTACCCATAGGATGCATTTTGTTCCCTTCGTTTTATTTAGCGACCGTTTAAATACCAGTATTATATTCGAATAGTAACCGTAACTTCCATGTAAGAAATATAATAGAATGACGCCATTTCGAGTGTTACCGCACAAGGGAGACAAATTCTTGCAATCGATAAGCTATCATTACATCTGTATTATTCTTTAGTTCACAGTGGATTTGCAGAATCATTTGAATGCGTTCGTACGTTCATCAGAGAGAATAGAAATTTGTTTCGGGCGCATAGTCCCGAGATATCCTTGTGAAAGCGAGAAAGAATGATAAGAGGGAGAGAAAGAGAGGGATGAGAGAGCGTGCGTGCTCGTGTGAGAGAAAGAGAGAGTGAGAGGGAGATAGAAAGAGAGAGAGAGAAAGTAAATCGTATGTATGAGACAAGTAGATGAAAAAAAAAGAAAACAAAAAATATGTGGCACGACGTTCGATGGAAGATCATTTAAAAAAAAAAAAAAAAAACAGAACGGAATCTCGTGGATGAAAAGTACTTGAAATGCGACGCTGCGTTTCGACTCGTCCTCTTCGAGCAAGCCGCCCCGTAGGATCAGCGGGCCTCTTCTTACACGACACGTAACCGTCTATTACCAATGACGACGTCAACACGGCGAAGAAGTCACCTTCCTTGCCAGTAGTCGCGGATTAACAATCGGGTGAAAAAGAACGTTAATTGGATCGGGAGAAAGATATAGAAGAGAGCAGGGAAAATATTCGATATGGTGCCTTGCTTTAGCACGTGTATAATGATAATTAAGTGATATTTTCTCGAACCCATATATATATGTATATACATATACATGGGAATCGCATTTATTTACTCCCTCGAGGAAAATGATCGGAAACAAACGAGTAAAATAATCTCGAAGTCTCACTTGAAACGTATATTTAATCTTTTGTATTCGAAACTCCTTGAAGAAGATACATTGACTCTATTTGCAAGGATATTCTCAGTTGATCGTGAATGTTTTAACATAATGTCGAAAAAAATGTCATACGACGTAAGTTCGAGATAGACGCGATTGATTTTTCTTCTCAAAGTATTTAATTGAAATAAGCACGAAATCGATACGATATCGTGTAAATTGCTTTTGTGAAATTGAGGTATTCGGACAGCTTAGTGTCTCGGGAAAAAAAAATACTGAAACGAAATAATTTTGTATTTGAATTGGACGCGAAGAAGGAGGATGGAAGGCAGTTACGACGGAGTTGCGCAACGGCGCACTTCTCGGTTGTGGCTGTGGAGTACAGAGACGGATGTTTTTGCGACGGTCTTCGCGTAGGCAGTCGCATATAGGACAAGTCTGTTTTCTCGTAGCAGTTACATTATACTCCGCGTAGTTATTAACCATTCAACATATTTAGATCTGCGCCACAACGTGTACGTATTCCCGTCATGTGGGTAGTTTGAATTCGAAACGGGATTCGAGCGGAAAATCAAAACCAATAGCTCGTCTGATTATTAAAGCTACTTTTTATTTAGGAATTATTTTCGTTTATGTCCTTGTCCATTCGTTGGACGTACGTTTCTGAAACAATTTTTTACGTATTGTCTTACCATTTTGCGATAATCAAGACAATACTTCAAACATAAACAAACGTTCTTTTGTTTATGTTAATTTCAATGTTGCGCTTCGATTACATTATACAAGAGAACAGAGTAAAATACTTGTACATTAAATTCGATGTGTATTAATATAGTTTCATATACGTATTATACATAATTTGTCTATAAACGCTAATTCGTATATATATATATATATAAACTTCTAATAATTTTTCTGATTGCATTATTAATGATTTATACGTTAGATTTCATATTTAAAGAAGAAAAAAAAAGAAGAATTCTTTATTAACTGTTACTTTCAAATTAACATAAAAAGTGGAAAAAAAAGGAATATGCCTACAAATAATTACTGATAAATTGCCAAAAATTTCGATAATTATTTGCGATTACATTAGACAATAGAACAATAAGTGTATACATTACAATGAAGGTCTTGCAAAGATACAAAATGAGATTTTGAAATGGCAAGTGCTCATTGATAGTTATACAGGAGATGCACTATAAAAGTAAATTTGTGATTTGCAACATCTTTAGAGCGAAGTAAACGTAACATGACTTGAGCGTGAAAGCTTTATGGAAATAAAATTGGAGCCGTACAATAATTAAACCCGTATATTATTCCCCAGTTTACTATAATCACTTTTAATTGAATGCGTTCCATGAAATATTTATACAATTATCATGTAACTTATCAGATTGATATATCGTTTTTACACTATCTTCCTACATATAACAGTATTTTTGTTATCGTTGCGTTAATCGTATTGACGTACAACGTCAGCAGTTATACATGCTATACTCGAAGGAAAAAATTCATCAATTGAAACGAAATTATTTGATGTTCTTACGAAATTCACTTGACTTCAAATTTTTAAATCGTTGCAGCGGTTTAATTGTTGCATCCCTCGACACACACGATTATTAATATCGGAACGATAATTTAGTAAAGGAAAAAAAAAATGAAAAACTTTGAGAAATTATCCAATGATGTCGAGTAAATGCACAGAAAGCCTTTGTTTTTATTCATCATCAAAAATTATTCGTAAAGAAACTATTAAATGTCGTGCGATCGTTCGAAAACATGAGTTACTTTTAATATTGAAAGACTTAAAATATCAATATGAACAAGTGTTCCTTCGTTTTTCGCGTTGTTGAGAAATTCAAATAGCACGGTGCCGCTGTAATTGCGTATATATTATTTATATCTTTGTTTTGCATTCGGCATGGTACTTTGAACAATAGAACGATTCACTCGGCCAAATTTAAGAATAAAATTTATCGATTCGTTCACGATGGTTATTGTCTAATAATACTGTAGATTATAATTACGCAATAATTGAATTTAACTTTACCGCACGATATTGAATGTGGAATTGCGTGTAAATGTCTTTTCGATCGACTTTTTTTAAAACTTGTGTTTGTCAATGAATCATAATGGTACTTCGTTCTTCAAACTATTATAAAACAATGATTGATACTGTTTTTACTACAAATCTTCTTACAGGTGTTCCAGTTCATTTCCTGCTTCTTTGCTTTTTAAAATGAAAGTGTTATTTATTTTTAGCTTGGGTCAATTTATAGCGTCCACATTCCAGTCTCTGATTTTGGCAATTTATAAATTTGTTTTTCAAGTTGTTTTGCAGGTACGCGCGCGCTGATTATGAGAAATTAATTGTAAATATTTGAATAATTAACATTTCTTTTACAGGGGTCACTCGCGGCTACGGACATCTGCTGATTTATCACAACCGGATTCAATAGTGTCACAAGTGCAAAACTTTTTTCTAATAACAATTGATGCGCATAACGAAGCATTTAGTACCGTTAATTAGCAATTTCAGTCTTCGTGCTTATGAGTCTAGTGAAACCGGATGCGCGAAACTCCAAATTTGGACCATTTCGTGATACTAATTATTAAATCGATATCGATTAGAGTGAGATTGTTCCTCCTTCCCTTATTTTAACCGCAGACATTTATTTTTGTTTTTCCAGCAATGGTTCTGCAAGAAAGCGATATGTTCATGGATGCTCTTACTGCGTCGACCAAGAGTAAAGAACCGAGGAAGAGAAAACGGAGGACGTCCATCACGAAAGACGGTCCTACGGAAGCTAAAAAACAAGAAACTGCCAATAGCGATAATCGTGATGTTACACCTCCACCCACCTCACCACTAAGTGCCGATGAAAAATCACCTGTAGTTGTCAAGCCTAACTTTAAGGTGCGTATACTTATAAAATTGTGCGTCAACGCGTATAAATATAAAATTTAGCTCACTACGAACATTTCAAATTTTGTTAAACGTACATGCAACGATTCATAAATTGTCCTTCGTATTCGGTCTTTTTAACCATAGAATAGAATTTCTAATTTTTCATACTTTAATTTAAATTAAAGAATACTTTTTGAAGAACCTTTTTAAAAAATTTAATATTACATATAAATCATGTAATAAATTATCTAATAGCTGTGATGTGTATGCGGTATGTTTTTATTATAGTTTTATCAAGATACATTGGAAACGGATGAAGATAAAGAGCAGAAAGAAAAGGAGAATTCGGACGAGGACGTTAAAAAGGAGAAAGACGAAACCGGAGATGATCATAAAGAAAATAGGGTATTCAAATCAGATATCGATGAAGATACTGGAAGTAACAGTAAGATATTTTACTCTTATTCGCCGATTTGTTGTGTACGCCTTAATAGCTCATTTTTCTGCTATAACTAATGGTTCTTTTTTTACTTATTAGCACCAACGCCTGATGATGATATGGAAGAAAAAACTTCCGATTCTCCCGAAGACTCGTCCTCTGTATCCGATTCGACGAAAAAGGACGTTAGCTCATATCCAGAAATACGTTACGTTGACGGGCTAAGAAGCGTTTTATTACTTCAAAAACGTAAAGGACCGAAGAAAGTACTGAAATGGAAAACAGATCTGGAATCGGTACGTTACTTCGAGCTAGACGAAACAGAAAGGGTTAACGTAACGAAGACATTCACCGACATGAAACAAATGGAGAAGCAGAATGAGAGAGAAGCATTCCAAATGGCCAGAAAATTAAGTAAGTTATCAATATACAATATCTTATATTGTTTTTAGTATTAATTAATAAGACATTTAACTAATTCTTTATACAATTTAATCTTCCAGGTAATGAAGACTTGATGGAAGAGAGGACAAGATGGAAACCTTTAATTCCAATAGATCTCCCTCCAGCGTTAGTAGAATCTGGAAAAGATAGCAGAGAAAAAGATGTCCAATACGCTCGAGAGAAAGGCATTTTGCAAGCGTTGTACTTCAACCGCAGCATGTAAGAATGCATTATGTATTTATACGATTACAAATTTTTTTATTTTTAGTCTATATAGTCGTGTAAAAGTTAATATGCATGCTACATTAAAGAAGTAATAGCTCCGAACCATTGGACAGTTTAACATATAGACCGTACTCTCTGATACGAGTTCCACAACTTATATTTAATTAAACAAATGTTCCGTTCTCTGTATTTAAAATTTATATAATGCGTTTCAATTATAGGATTCCAGACTCTGCAGCGGAACCTGATGAGGAACGTCATCATGTATATAGCGATCCTAAAATCATTCCTTTGGATGATCTCACCGGAAATAAAGAAAGTGAGAAAGACTTTACTTCCATGGCGTGGCCAGAACCAAAACCCCAATTACAACCTCAAACACCACCAGTGACTAGCTTCCATTATCCATCGTTTCCTCATAATCAGCAGCCAGTAATGACTCCCATGGGTCCTCAGCCTACAATGGGTCCAATGCCTCAACTCTCTCAGCAAATGATGGGACCTACTCACATGGGTCCGTTAGGCCCGGAAATGAGCGCATCGATACCTGCCGGAGGAGGAGGATGGAGAACTGGAGATGGCAAAGTTGTTGTACCTGACGGAATAGGAATGAATCCAATGGGCAATATGCCAAATGCATTTCCACCAGGAATGGAGGGTGGTCCAATGGTGCCACCTGGAATGATGGGTCCACCACCTATGTATAATCAACAAGAAGGCTATGGTATGATGGGTCCAGAAGATATGGGATTTAATAATATGAATCCAAATAATTTTCAAGGCCCACCTGGTCCTATGTACGGACCTGGACCTAATTTTCAAGGCCCTAGAGGCGGTGGTCCAATGCATGGTAGAGGCAGAGGTGTCCCTGGACCTGGTTGGTACAGAGGTGGTGGGGGACCACCAGGAAGAGGTGGTTGGAGGGGCGGCGGCGGTGGTTGGAGGGGAAGTGGGAAGCAACCGCCAGTGTGCAGACAGTTTTCTAAAAATGGCTATTGCCGAGTCGGTGATAAGTGTCAGTATCTTCATCCTGGAGTGAACTGTCCACCATTTTAAAAGAAATTGTTGTAATCGAAAAATTCATCGGAATTTTTGTGATAACGTGATGATCTGAACATTTATTATATCTAAATGACTTTGAAAGAATGCACGATCGTACAGAAACAATCGTATTCGACTCAAGCACGCGTTAGATGCGATGATCAATAATAATGTGCAATTTTCTATCAACAATGTGAATAATCAAGCGCATAAGGGAATATCTATACAGTTATATTTTCACGGAATTTAAATGATATTGAATAATTCTCAATTTCTTTACATTGCATAGTACATAACAAAACAAATATTACGAAGAACGGCATAATAAGTTTTTTTTTTTTTTGTAAATGAAAACTGCAGAATTTCGTAGTTGGAAACAGCTTTAAGTTTAAAATGACAATGGGATGAAATTATTAGGTTTATCGGCTGCTGGACAGCGAGAGGACTGCAACATGCTTCACTCTTTATTATGATTTCGAAGGGATATTACACAACTTTAAAAATATGATTTTTATTTATCTATTTTAGAATATACTGAAAATTGGAGTATATCGCATAATACGAAATCTCGATTATCATGTCTTCCTTTTGCATTCATAATTTACAGACAGCACCCACACTTCAGTAATTAAATTAACAAGAGAGTCGCGAGTTTTAATCTTAGCATTACGACTAGCGATTTCGAAGTATATGACGCTAATGAGCTGGAAGTGCAAATTCCAATTTCATTTTATTTGTCTTTCAAGATTGCTGAGTGGGTGTCCAATTGCTTTTTATTAAAAAGTATACATAATTAAAATGCTGTTAAAACGAATTAAGTATGAACATACAACGGAACATTGTAACACCAAAAGTTCAAATAACGAGTTAAATAACTTTTTATTCGTTAAGATTTCTCACATTTAGTCGTTCATGTAGATTTATTGTAAATATCATAATTGTATCATTTTGTATAAAATATCGGTAGCTCTAATAACAAGAGACTGTTTTAGGTTTAACTAGAATGTAATAATATAAAAAGAGCAACAATTCTTAGTAAAAACATGTATGTATGATTTGAAGTAATTAATACGATACAGTGACATTTATAGAGTGCATTTTTAATAATAAATTGAATCTGTGCTCTATGAATCAGATTGTCAGTATATTATAATTGTATTACATATTTTTTACGAATTAAGGGTAGTGGTTATTTTTTTGTATATGATTGATCGTTACGTTTGTATATAATATTGATTGTTGTATAAGAGCTGCTTGATGGAATACATGAGTGATAACTATTTTCTAAAATATGTTGCATTATTATACCAATTAAAAGGTACCTATATCATTCTATTACTTTTAAGTACTTTTCTTTCTCTTTCAATTTTTCTATACGAATTGTCGTTTTATATATCGTAGCCCATCCTTCTCTCCCTCAGGGCTATACCCGAGCTATAGCAGATTCCTACACATATAAGAGATATTGCAAACAGTATCAAAACAATCTAAGAGTTACGTAAAACATAATAATATTTAAAAAAAAGAATGGAAATAATTGTATGCAAAGACTGATAAAGTACTTCGGTGTAGAAACTGAATACACTGTAATAAACCAAGCCAAGCCAAGCTAAGCCCATTCTTCTCTATATAGAAGTAAACCGTGTACACGTCAGAATTGTGTACTGCCATAATCAAAAGTTAATTTAGCATTCCACTGTTGAACTTTGCACTGTGATATGGAAAACGGCATATAGACATTTATTTACATCATTTTTAGGAGCAACTATATAACAAGGACGGGATTAACCATTGCTAACCATCAATTTACTCGCTTTCTCGTCTTGTTAGGGCATGTTCCAATATTAGTATAGTTTAGCGAGTATAGTACCAGTGGCGCCATCAGTGGGAAAATGTCCAAGTTTGTAGTGAAAATAGTTTCCATTGTTTCCTATTAGATGGCGTCACTAACTAAAGGCTCGATACTTATTGCTCTTGAACTTATTGAACTGTTTGAATAATATATTACAATTGTATATTGTAGTGTTATAAAGCAGAGAATCGTATTAATTATGCATTTATGAAAAATAAAGAATAATCGATTAAAAGATATATGTAGCGCCATCGTACAGAAATGGTGGCAATTATTTTCACTACAAACTTGGACATTTTCCCACTGATGGCACCACTGGTACTAATACCTACTGAACTATAGTTTTACAGTATCTTTTTTTTTATTAAGATCTGAACGAATTATGAAGATGCTACAAAAATTATGCTAACTACTTTATTCACTAGCCATTAAATATGAACGTTGAAATTTTCCGAATAGAAAAAGTGCAGCAGTGGGCGCTTATCTGCTACTAAAGTGCAATCCAAAGAATGACACCCGACGCACGAGCTATACTTATATCGGCGCCAAATGTGTCATACAAAACGTTCCATTATCCTCTCAGAGTATGAAGGAAGTTGTAATACATTCCACGAGAAACATTTTACACTACGTAAATACCCTGTATATATGATTCGTGGCTTCTTGAAATTGTTACTCGCTGGTAAACTCATCGAAGACGTTTGACACACGATAGGACAAATTAATATTCAACGACGCGTCCACGTAAGCATGGTAGACGTTTCACGATTTTTAAATGCGTAAACATCTCACAAGTATTTTTAGAACAAACTCGTTTCATTGTTGAATAACCTCCGGAAGATTGATATAATTATCTAAAAAAAAAAAAAAAATATTGCGACGCAATACGTTAATGTCTCATTTCAAACACCCATCAACAACGAGCAAACGGAGAACAGAGCGCAGGGTATAGTGATATATAGAAATCAATGACGTGCAATCGATCAAATAAGCAATAACTTTGCGTAGATTTGCCTATATATCCTATGCAAATTAAATATGCAATAATAGGCTATCCACATAAATAGGTAACGGATAAGGATTTAAAGCAATATGCTTCCTCCGCGATAAATTCCGTTTCCCTGGTAAATCAACTTTAGTCAATTGTTTGCTGAGTATTCTGAACACGAGAAAGTCAGGATACAGTTGAAAAGACTTGTATGTCAACCAATCAAATCAAGTTGGCTCGATATCATCGATAGCAGTGTGCACAGAGCAAACTAAATTGTGTCATATTTATTTATCTAGTACTAGGCGCCTCATTTTAGGCCTATTGACATAGGTATAGGGTATACATCTAGATATAACATGAGATGACGAACTATACGAAATATTTATGTAAATATTAACGTGTATATAGTCACTATGATAGTTATGCTATACGATACATATGCAGAACAAGTTACTGTAATAATTGTCATACTGTTTAACTTATATTGCACAGTATATGTATGTAGTTAGTCTGCAGGTTTTATTTTAATTGAAAATTATTGTTGCAGTGGTGGTGACCTCCCGTGGTAGATGGAATATTTCCAGTTGAACCCGGCATAGTTTTACGATTGCCGCTAATTACAACAAAGAAACAGTTGTTGGAGTTGGTCGGAGTCGTTGCTTGGCGGATATCGGTCTCGGCAGAACGCAAAGTGCAAAGTTACCCCGATGCTTCTGCGTGCTGGTCTGTTGTGTGACGTCGTATTGTCTTTTAATAGTCAGCCCTTGTGACCGGTTTTTCCGTCGTTAACGAGGCACCGTTGTACGTCGAGACGCGCCCTCGTCCGACCTTGAAACTTATAATCGTTCATAGCGTTCGATGTTCGAAACATCGTCTGAAAAATTGTTAATCGTGCTCCACAGGTTCGATTCTTTTTGTTTGACCTCGGCGCCTCGTTAACGCGGAGCAACAGTGAAATGGCGAAAAAGACGTACGATCTGTTGTTCAAGTTGCTGCTTATCGGTGACTCCGGGGTCGGCAAGACTTGTATACTGTTTAGATTTTCGGACGATGCCTTTTCATCAACGTTTATTTCCACCATAGGTAAGACGAAGCGTTACGTTTAAACGATTGTTGATTTTGTAACATGGTGCACTTCACGAACCGGATCGCTCGACACTGGGAATCCGTTTCGGCGGAGTAGGTTATGCTGCCCAAGATAAAATTCTTTACGTCGTCCGATGAAAATACGTGAAATCCTACCCGACGAATAACGGATAATTCGATGTCAAAAGTGTTGTTTCATTTTTTTTTCTTATCATAAATACGATAAGTCGTACACGGGACTACGTACAATTGTATCTCTAAACGGTTAACTTGACAATATTGTTACAATAGGGGGATGTTTACGTGATTAAACGTTAACGTATATCGTGAAGTGTCTGTTACATAAATAAATGTGGCGTTTTTTTTTTTGTCACTCAGGTATCGATTTTAAAATCAAGACAGTGGAATTAAGAGGAAAGAAAATCAAGTTACAGATATGGTAAGATATCGAATATACACTTGTTCTAAACAACCCTTAATCTATGCGCTTACAGGGATACTGCTGGTCAAGAAAGATTTCATACCATTACCACTTCGTACTACAGAGGTGCGATGGGTATTATGCTTGTTTACGACATCACTACTGAGAAGACATTTGAAAATATTGTCAAATGGTTAAGAAATATCGATGAAGTAAGTTTGATTTGTGCATATTTCATTATCGGATGTGAATAGAAAAAGTGAAAGTTGTTTATCTTATTCAGGTTTTCATTGTTTTAGCATGCAAATGAAGATGTGGAAAAGGTGATATTGGGAAACAAATGTGACATAGAAGATAAACGTGTTGTTAGTACAGAAAGAGGAGAAGCGGTAAAGTGACAAAAACAGCAATTTTATGAAACTTGTAAATGTTACAGATCGATAAGCCTATATTCACTTTTAGATAGCAAGAGAGCATGGAATCAGATTTATGGAAACATCTGCGAAAGCAAATATCAACATTGATCGCGCATTTAGTGAATTAGTTGAAGCAATATTGGAGAAATCACATGGGAAAGAACCTCAAGATGCTCCTGATAGAGTAACAGTTGATAGAAGGGTGGAAAGAAGTTCTAATCGGTGCTGCTAATTTTATATTATTTATTTCAATGGCGCATAATAAACTATATATCAGCTCGTGCCACTCAAAATAGATTTGTGGATAGATGTAGAGCATAATTTAAAGCATAATAGTATAATTAAACTCTTCACGACACTGCCTAATCAAATTCAATTGAACTCATTTGATGACAGTTCTGATAAGTTGATACTTACGTTTAATTTAAGAGAAACACGTTTGGTTAAAAAGTGAAGTTTCCTAATTATACCTGAATTTCGAATGGTGGGGCTATAAGTGCTGTTTGTCGCATATATCATTGTATTTATAAATGTGTCTATTGCATGTATACAAACATTAGAGTTCCATCAGAGTTTTTATAAATAATATAAGGAATTCAATAATAAGTACTGCTGATGGAGCTTCGTTTTCCATATGAAACTTCATACATTGTTGTACGAACAAAGTCAACTAGGAACAATGTATTTGTTACGAGGCTGCAATTTGTTACCATAATAAGAAGAGTGAGAATGAATGTGGGCTTTTAATCTTTAAAATCTATGTGAACATTGAATGCTTTTTCATACGGATATTGCACTATATATGCTTATTTACACTTTAAGTTGAAATCTAAAGGCTTAAGACCGAGAGCTTTTATCCTATTTGTGTAAGACTAATTTACTACAAATATAAACATTCACGATTTCGAAATGATCATCTTTTATTTTCCTTCACAATAAATACAAAGTACAATAAATAAGTATACGATTAAAAGTACTGTGTATGTAATATTGTCATGTACAATATTAGATTTAATCAAATACTTTCATCCTTATAGTGCACTAACGACACGTGAAAAGCTAGATTGTGCTGCGAGAAATCGCAATGTAAAAATTGAAGTACAGTCTTACATATTTATGTCAAAAAACAAACATATCGCTTAATACTTTAGAATTTTTTTTATTACGCAAATATGATCATTGATAACATAACATTTGTTTTCTAAGCACACAACGAGATATACATATATAATGCACTTTTAGGATAATCTGGAAGTGTAATAATGTTTAAACATTATAATGCTACATCTAATATGAATATTAATACTATTAAAACATATTTTTTTATTATATATACTAATGATTAGATCAATTATTTTTCACATATATATAATTTCTTTGTGTTATGACAAAATACAAAAATTAAATATTTGTTTACAAAATGAATACTTTTTCAACCAAATGGACATAAATATATAGTATTTTTTTTTTAAATTATCGAACATAAATAGGGGTAAATTATGCATCTACACATATTATACACTTGTATGTTCTTAAATACAAGACAATTAGCTCAGTTTTCTTAGCATAGGAATTATTTGTTTGACTTACAAGACTAAAAGTCCAACTTTAGAACAATATCTTCATATTGACTATATTTTGAAAAACGTGAAAAAACTATTGATTCACAGAAATTAATGCTCGAATTGCTACCAATATCGCTCGATCGTATCTTTATACTTATCTTTAATAAACTCTCTGTACACAAAGTAAAGAAAGTCAAAGTAGAATAAGGATAAGTAAAAGCAGTTTGCGTTAACAATTATTCTAATAACTGACAAAAAATATGTATTTTATAATACTTAGTCTCGTGAAGTGCCAATAATAGTCAAAATATAAAGGAAAATGTTGATAACATCTATGTAAAGATTCAACGCAGCGAAGATGTATTCTTCCGGGGAAATTGCAATCTTGTGGTTACCGCCGATCATAAGTTGTGTATCATAGATCAAATAAATGGAGAAAAGCAGAGCTCCAATTGATGCGTACACTATAGTCATAGTTTTCCCATGCCAGATCATTGCAATTATTCCAAAGAGTAGAAAAATAATCATTGCGACAAACAAAATACTGTTGAGGCCAGTAAAATCAAATTTTGTTTGAAATGCAAATAACGTCAGTGAAAGACAAACAACTGCTGTAATTCCAGCAGCCAAGAGTACCTGCAAATATTCCACAGAAACGTGTTATTTCTTATATAATTGTAGATATAACGCATAATTCAGCATATATAGAATATATAGATGGTCCAAAACACTTCTTGGGAGGAACATAAAAGGAAAGCTAACTTAGTACCTTACCTCTGTAGATTTGTATGTTGAGGCAGCAGTAGCTAACAGGAAACTTTCTGCTATTGTGAATAGAAACAGAAAAATAAAATTCATAGGGGCTTTTCGCCTCACACTGGTACAACAAGCCATGCATATAATCAGAACTATAGTGACTGCAAAACAAATCCAAAACATCTCCGGATGCCGCATCGACCATTTTTGAGTAGGTTCATGATAAAGGAATAACGCGATCAGTCCCACCGTAATCAAAAGCTGGCACATCAGTATACTATAAACTTTCCTGAAAGAAAGAATATAAAGTTGCAATTAAACTTAATAGAACATTATTTATCGCGATACGAACCTGATGAATCCATTTCTGATCGATTTGTCATTGAATTCAAATCCCTTGACTTCATCTTGCATAGGATCTTCTGCATAATTTGTCCCATACATGCCTGGATGTGGTCCTGCAACAAACGCTGCACCAGGTGGTGGTGCTTGCTCGTAAGGAGGAGCAGCTGGAGGAGGAATAAAACCAGGTCCTGTAAAGCGATAAAATATTATAAATGTATTAATAAATCATAGATCATAGCCATCTATCAAGTTGCTATAACTTGTAATTATATACTCAGGAGCTGTAGCATGTGTCTACGCGGCTAGAGTGCGGATTTAGCGATCCCGAGCTACCCGATATATAGAGAAGCCAGAAGTGCCCAACGAACATGTAAATTGAATAATATTATGTACACTAACCTGGGGGGACTGGTGCACCGTAAGGAGGTGGATATCCTGGATTATACCCGTCGTGAGGTGGATACCCAGGATTTTGTTGTGGATAACCTGCACAATCGAATTTCAGTCACATAAAACATTATGCTGCAATAGAGCCTGCATTCAAACTTAAGCATCGATGTTCATAAAATTTTGTGCTCTAATAACAGCCACTAAATGTTGGTGCATAGCCTTTTTCATATATTAATGATGTTATATTTCTCTTTAAATTGTTATTTTACATATAGATTGATCGTTTGATAACGATATATATATATATATATATAATACTGGCACTGCATTAACTCCTTTTTACAAATGTGCAACTACTAATGCTTTTTTTTGTTAATTACATATTATACATCTTCTCTGAAATGTTGACACATTTGCAGATGGTTTAGAGCAGTGGTTTCCAAACTTTTTGGAAGGCGTCCTAAACGAAAAAATAAGAAAGAAAAGGATAACTGCAACCAGATGAATGGCATTTAAAATGATAAAAGAAAATATATATAATCCTACAATTGTTAAATTCTAATGATTAGAGATGTATCAATAGAAAAGAATATCTAAATTGTTGCATTCGAGTACATTAAAAATTTTCATTCGCACCCCCCTGGATCATAAAACGCCTCCTACTTTGGAATACACTGGTTTAGAGTGATGATTGCCGCTTGAAACAAGCATCATGGTGTTTGCAGTTTGCTAAACATTCTGTTGCATGTTAAAGACACGGATAATGTACAAAAATCGAGAATATTTAAAACATAGAAAAAGATCAGAACCTTGTTGTCCTGGATAATATCCTGCACCAGGTGTGTTCTGCCAAGTTGTCATCTTTGGTTTTTGTTTTAGCTGAAAAAGAATCCACTATTATCATGAGACATTGTTGCAAATGCATCAATGGAACGCCAGCGCACGAATGTATCAGCAACCTTGAAAGTGTGATATAAAATTTTATTTTTACATAGTCGACTACAATCATAATCATACAATGATTACCACGCGCACGAATAAGGAAAAAAAAACAAAATAATTTATTTGTGTATAACCTTTTATAAATACACACGCGTTTAATCTTTCAATGGCTGTGTGAATTTTGATGACGTTATAGTTATGGCCGCGTAGGGCACGCTACCGCCCTAAACGGCTTTCTCAAGTTTAGACAAAGTAAAATTGAAAAACTTGTTATCAGAGCGAACGACTGACGCCATAATAATGTTCACGATGAAAACCTGATTTGGTTAATAATAAAATAAGACGCAATGTTAAATGTTAATGTATGTTTGATAAGATCTCTTTATTTGCTCTTTAACAATTAAATTTCAAATATTTTACACTTCATTTATTGGACAATGAACTATCTGTAATGATTGCTATGCATTAGATAATTTTAGATAATTTCTTGGAAAGTAAACACATTTATTATTAAGGAAAAATAACGAAAGTTAGCATACAATAGCAACAAAGTTACACTAACTTTCCCATCTTAAAATAATGCTAAAGTAAGAATATTATATAATTGCAGATTGTGAAAGCAATTTCTAAGAATTGTACATTCATTTGTTTAATACAAAAAAAAACGTGTAGAATAAATACATATTAAAAGTGCCGTTCCTGTTATCTTATCTCAAAAATATTACACTCATACATCTGATGTAAGATAGTACACATATCTGAAATTATTAATTTTAAGCATTAAATGGTGTAAAATGCTCATACTTACAGACATTCTTTAAATAACACACTGACTAATGTAGTTAATTTCTATTAACAGTGCAAATCTAACAAGATAAAGCAATTGTGCAATTTCAAAGAGTTAAATATGTACTAAAACATATACACGTGTGTATTTAAATACCGTAGATATGAGCATAATTGATGTTCGTTGTTTTTTCAGAGAATTAATTTCAGCTGAAAAAGAACACTAGAAACACCAGTTAATAATTATCGCTAGACGAACATCCTACGTATGATTTTAACCTCATATCGGTGTCGGTTGTATCGATGTTGCTGTTTAAAAAAAGGTGATTTTTCATTAAAGATAAGTATGTATACAATACACCTCTTTCGATTGACAGTACAAACAAAAAAAAGATGCGACGATAGCTTCAAACGTTACGTCATTTAAACAATTTTACTCGTCCCACTTAATAAGTAATTTTCTTCGTTCCGTTAGATACGCAGTTTTTTCATCCTGTTTAATGTACAATTATCACAAATTTTTGTACTTTGACAGAAACTAAAATATTACGGATAATAAGCGGTTTCGCTATAAAGGCAAGTAAGCCATAATATTGCGAAATCACACGACGATACTTCAACGTTTTCCCGTAACAACTGCAGGATAGATTAAAGCAGGTATTTCCGTGAGGTTGTGTAAATTTTAGAATCAATTTCTGTGACAGCCTTGCGACATTTTGTTAAGAATGTGTAGAATATTAATAAAAAAAAAAACAGACTTGTTTGTACGTCAGTTTGATGCGTCATGCGCACTTTCTGGAAATTGTTACAATCGATAATCACATTCGTGCGCCGAATGTAAGTTAAACGTATTTACCTCTTTGACACAGTGTTTAAGATCCGTAAACGGTGAAACACTTGAGATCTGCTTGAAATGATAATTACTCGGACTGAATTAAATCGTCAACTTCGTTCACGTATGGAGTACAATCGAGTATAATTACAAGAGCTTGTCGTATTCGACTGCCGCAAAGATGTCACTCCCCACTTATCAACCTTCGACTGAATCTCACGCGAGTACTGATACGAAGTACGTTGAATATTGGGAAGTGTTGGTTCAACACTGCGCCTGCGTAATACACTTTTCTCGGAATTGTTTACTGTTAGAATTATATGTACACCTAATGCCGAATAAAAGATTCGCATAGTTCGTTGTTAAACTAACGCTGATTGTAACACTTACATTATGTTATTTACTAGAAACAAAATATTTTCAACTGCTATAATCATTATATGTATATTTCACTCGATCTAGACATATTGAACCCGTTCCAAAACATTTTCCTCCCTTTTCACTGTTTTTCTTGGTCCTAACAATTTCTCTTCTTCTCTTATTTCAATTTAGAATTTTCGTGCATGTATTATAGTTGATGTATACTACGTATGTATAACTACGTAATATGTATGCAATATCTATGTACATCGAAGGACAAAAATTGAAGTTTATTTAACTTGGTCAATACTTTTATTCGAACTTAGATACAAAGGACGATAAGTCTTTTTATTATTTACTTTAGATAACACGTTAATACTACTCGAGAAATAAGATGTAATATGTAATATGTAATATGTAATCTGTTTCCTGGAAAAAAAATTGTTATAAAACAAAAGTATTACTAAACGTAGTAATATTAGTAATATTATTGTATTATCGATATCTATGCTTTTATTGATAATTTCAAGTGTTTACTAGAAACGGTTACCAATGTAGAAACATGAAAGACTCGTATGCAGAGTCCACGTGCGTGACAGTTGTGGTTATGTTTTCTAGTGTGTAGTGTAGTTTGTATAACTAAATTAACAACGTTGTTGTAAATAATTTCAAGAAATCAAGTAAATCATGTCGACTTGTAAGATACATAACGTTAGGTTTTATAATCTGGAACCTCGATCGGTTACTTGTTTATCATACGAGTCGAAAACGAGAAAATTGGCGCTTGCGAGGTTAGTTTCACAGTAAACACTTTCAATTAAAATATGAAATGCGTTGTAATAATTTGTATGATAACCTATTTGCAGAAACGATAATTCGATTGAAGTTTGGAACGTTGGAAATGCACCGTTTGTGGAGTGTACGATAGCTGGTCATCCAGAAAACTCCATTGAAAGCATTCTTTGGATCGGTTCAAGATTATTCTCGACTGGACTTCACGGTATGATAGCAGAATACGATTTAACGACACTGGCCATTAAAAACGAGGTTGCAGTCACTGGAGGTGCAGCTTGGTGTATGGATGTTAACCACAAGAAAACCTGCTTAGCAGTTGGTACAGAAGATGGATACATCAATACATTCAATGTTACTTCCGATACACTGATATATGAAAGGATCTTTGATAAACAAAAAGGCAGAATTTTATGTATAAAATGGGACAATACCGGAGAAATGATTTATACAGGATCTGCTGATACGATTAGGGTTTGGAATGCTATATCTGGTCATGCAGTTCATAAGATGACAACTTCTAGAAAAGAAGCAAAAAAGGAAACTATTATTTGGTGTTTAGATGTCACAGATGATAATGTTATAATTTCTGGAGATTCTCGTGGTTGTTTGTCATTTTGGGATCCTCACATGGGAACTTTAATCGAATCTCATGAAAGTCATACCGCAGATGTATTAGCTGTTACTGTATCCCATGACACAAATGTTGTATATTGCGCAGGTGTTGATCCTGTAGTAAGAAGTTTTTGTAAAATAATTATGAAATCTACTGGCAAACCCCAATGGGTGAAAGGAATTGAAAGGAGGTTGCATGCTCACGACGTAAGAGCTTTAGTGGATGCAGATGGAAAATTATATTCAGCAGGTGTAGATGGATATTTAGCACAGTCGAGTTATCCACCTAAAATGCTTGTTAAATACCCACCGTTACTTCAACCACCATGCGTTACCGTTTGTAAAAAATCTAGATGTATTTTATTGAGATATACAAATTTTCTTGAATTATGGAGACTTGGCTCTCCAACTAAGGTATTTCCAGAATCCGTACATCCCGGTATGTTTCATCAGTTGGAAGAAGAGCCTATAAAGTTGTTAGAATTAAAAACAAAAGGAGATGAGACTATTATTTCTTGTGCTATTAGCAAAGACTCTAAGATAATTGTATATTCAACCGATAGTCATGTTAGGGTTTTTAATTTTGACGTAGTTGAGGGAGATGTACAGTTATCAAAGAATGACAGTGATATTTCTGCAACCAGAATACAGAAAATGTTGTTCAGTCCGAATGGAAAGTTATTTGCAGCAGTTAACAATGATGGAAAAAAGAATACTGTGACTTTATATAAAGTGAAAAAGAAACACCTATGGGATCTTGGTTCTTTTTACACAAATATGGAATCTATCATGAACATTGGACTTGTATGCTTTTCCGCTGACAGTAAATATTTTGTATGTGCCGATCGTCAAGGTAGCATTGCTGTATATAACGTTAGCGAAACTGAGAGTACGGATACACCTATGGCGTGGTTATTGCCCAAGTATAGCTGTCCACCAACAGCTATGGCTGTACAGAAAGATACTCTTAATTTAGTTGTCGTATATTCCGATCACAAGGTGAGCAATTCGAACATGCGTACATTTATTTGTTATATCGTGTAGCAAATATCTGTTTCAATTGCTGAGCATTAAACGTTCGGTTATTCAAGACAATATACCATCGTAAAACGATCACTTATCATTAATTATGGTAGTCATAAAAAAAACCATAAACCATTTATGGTCCTGCACTTTCTACCTGCTATAGAATTTGCGCTAAACTACTGCTATAATCTTCACCTAGTACGATACCACGAGCGAAATTAAAAAGTATAAAACTTTACATTTTATCGGTAGTTATTTTTTGTACTTAGTCGTCGCGTTTCATTTCAGATCGTCGAATACAATATCTTGCAAAGACAGTACACGAAATTTTCAAATAATTTACAAAGTCGACTGCCAAAGCAATGGCTGGCACGGTCGTTTCCGATAACGAATATAATTTTTGATCCACGTAACGAGAATATCATAATAATGCACGACGACTCGACAGTCTACGTAATCAACAAATCGAACGAGCTACCGGAAAAGGAAGCTAAAATTCCAAGACGCGAGAACGGCGATTTCACGGAGGACAGTAGCTCTGTCCTGAGTTCGCAGTCCCAACAAGCCTTTCAAGTTCTCAAGAAGTACAAGGTAATGTCGACTTCGCATCGCGTAATTCGTTTACGGAAATTAATTTTCATCGATCCTGTTTGCAGCACCTCGTCTACTTGGACTGGTTGAGCGATGAAGAACTGGTCGCGGTCGAAGTGAATCCTATATCTTTAACGGAGAAACTACCACCGACTCTTAAACAAAAATGGTTCGGAATGTAAATATTCAACGAAAGAGAAGTAAAGTATACCTGATACTTGAATCATATATTTCGAAAAACACTCTGTCACGAATATTCACGATACACTGTTTATAATTACACGAGATGACGATACTTATTTTTCAATACAATCGTTACAATGTATGATGCATTGTATACAAAAAAGATACGTATATGTGTATAACAGGAAGCTCGTTGTGAAAATAGCGTGAGTACATCTTTGAAATGAAGTATGAAGATTATTTGAAGCGTACAACGAACCAATTATACTCGTTCTACTTTCACAACGTTCGGCTCATGTATACATTACTTTGTACTAGTCCCATAAATCTTGTTCAACCTAGAAAGATGAACCTTTGCTGCGTGACGCGAAATTCACCGGGTTCTATGGGTGGTTCGATCGTCCATTTCGGTGATATGTACCAACGGCCCGTAAACTCAAGATTGTATTCCGGATGAGATGATCGAAAGCCCACCATCCCGGATGTCGTTCTGGGAATGGACGGTGACGGTTTCAGAGGAATCGGTGAACGCTTAATCGCATCTTCCGGTGGCTTACGTTCGAAGCTGTCCGCCGGAAGTCCCTTCTTTCTGCATTCCTCGGCTAGCACCTACGGTCAGTGACATCGGGCCACATTAAAATTCGTACGGTGCATGCACCGCTCACACTGCACTGTACATTCCCCCTGAATAACTTTTGGGTACTTTCGGACCAAACGCGTTTACTAGATGTTGGACTAACAAAGAAGAAACGCGATCAAGTAAAGAAAGTAGAATGGAATTATTATGTTATTTGTAGTACCCGTTTGAAAAATTCATTGGTCAGGTGTCCATACTTTCTGGGCCAATCGCGTCGAAATTTCTTGTCTCGTAGGATGACTTCTTTGCTGAAATACACACACCGAGAATTATCAGTTAAAAGAAGTAGATTGTTTCTCCTGCTGCGTGCGTCTACCAAATTCTGTCAGAAATCACAGGATTCTTCGAGTGGTCCCCGCGTTTCGTGGATCCCTTCTCGATTTGTCTACCTTCCGTCTTATCCTGCGTATCGTCCGCCATTTACAGTCACTCGCGGCAAGAAAGATCCTACTCGAGTATAAGAAAAGCAACTAGGAAACTAAGAGTATTCACAGGTGAAGCCCAAAAATCCTTGCGCGGTTTATTCGATATCTCGTTGCCATAGCTAATCTTACCCCCATTTTCGGGGAGATACGAGGGTTGTTTGAAGAGAGTCGAACATTACGCGAGGCACCACCGTGTAGCATCCATGTCTATGATCGTTCGTCGAAATGTTTTCATCGCGAGTAGCGCGTCTCCATCAGCTTGGAACTCGATATTCTTGAGGATAAGGGTAGCTAGCACCCGACGCGATCGACGAACTATCGATTTCCGGTAGCAGCTGCATAAAAGGGAAGCAAGTTTACCGGCGGCGAAATCTCATCGAGCCACGTAAACCGAGACTAAAGACCCAGCGTGGCTATAAACTGAGAAGCGTTTAATCTCCCGGCGCGGTTGTAACTCGCAAGCTGCGAAGGCGTAGACGTCTAACGGGGGCTGCCCAAGCCTCCAGGAAATAATCAAAGCAGCGATACGGTGGCAAGTAAGTACAGTCTGTCGCGGTGGCAGGGCGATTCACGGGTGTACGTGAATTTAGGTGCGACCGACACGTTCGTCTTGGTTCGGCGAGAAGGTAACGGTTCGGAAACCTTTGTAGTTGTGGGGTCGGGAAGGATTGGAGGAAGGGCGGGGGTGGAAACGGCTGCAGAGTGCAATGCGCCGAGATTACGACTAATCTGCGCCCGAGACCGGTCGGAAGCGTAGTTTCTGTAACTTACATCGCTTAAAGCGTCAGCTCGTTCAACCCTCAAACTCCGTCGCCACCACCACTAGCGCGCTACCACCCCCTGTGCTCTATTCTGTCCTTCTTCGTCTCTCTTGGTTCCTTTATCTCGTCTCGTTCTATCCCTCTCAGTCTCGTCTACCATAACCGCTCTTGCATTAGCAGGAGACTGATTCTCCTGGGAAAATTGCGTTCTCCAAACTCGAAAGTTTCACGCGGCACGCACCTCGCGGTGTTTCATCAGAAAGAGGCTGGCCAACTTTATTCTTTCCCAAACTTGGGACAGCCTCGGAAGTGGACAGTTCCTTTTCCCTTGCCGGCACGATAAGGCGATTCGACCGGGATTTATTATTCACTCGTAATTCACCGCGGAAGCATCGACGTCGAGGAAACGCGAGAGATTCGAGTGGCCGGAGGCGTACCCTGTCTGGGTTTGCAGCTAGGGATTCTAGTAAAATCGATCCCTTTCAGGTGAAAATTCTTAACCCACATGTAAGTCTCTTCTCTGTCTACCCTGTAAATGACATGGAATTTTCTACAGCGTGATCGATTCACTTTTCAGGCACCAAAATATCCGACCTAAACGCTCAAACACCGAGGACAGAGCAGAGCCAGTACGTTTGGACATCCCCTTTTGTCTCCGACAGTTTGCCGACACAAACTCCGTGTGGACCTGTTTAGGACCAACATCTACCTCCTGGTACCAACAGCTGGAATTAATCATCGAAAGATCGCTGATACGTACGATTGAGCAGATAACGCTCGCAAGGCAACGGGGCGCCCTCGCACTTTTCGGACACGCGAGGGTTGTTTCGGTCGTTATCGCGATACCAATATTCGCACTCTCTTCACGTGCACCCCCGGTGTATACCAATTGGCGCCTGCTTCCCTTTTCGCACGGCCTATCCAGAGGTTTCCCCTCGATCGCTCGTACGCCGGGTGATATCTGAAGTGGCGCGTCCCGGCACGCGAGCGTCATCGACATCGGACGCGAAGCGTGCCTCGCGGGAATTCCCCGACGTCGATTCCCGTCCGTGCTTACCCTTACCAGAGATGGACAACGTTCCCGACCACATAGAGAGTTTCGAGGTAAAGATTGAATTTCACAAAACGATAACTCGACAGCGATACGTTGGCTCAAGACGGAGCAGAATTAAAGATTATCTCAGTAGTTTAGACCGATAATCTTTAAGGTAATTCTAAAGCGAACCGTCCAAGTTGCGTTGTATGTTCCGAAAGTGTAGACGAATCATTCTCAAAGAAATTCTATTTTAGACTCTGGGTGGTCCCATTTTGAGGTCAAAGGGCGCAACAGCGAGGGGTATGACTACTCGAGAGGCAGAAATCGTGACGTGTGGGATGGCGGTGCACGTGTTCGTGCACGGAGGTCAACGGGAGTGTCACGGAAAGGGCCAGGTGAAAAGGGGTTTGGTGGAAGGAAAGGCTAGGGTGGAACGGGGACAAGGCTGGCGGAGAGAAATTTGTGGGATCGTAGATGTAGAGACACGGCGGGGCACGCTGTAAATTACAAGCGGAGCGCCAAACCGCTATGGTCTTCTCTCGGTGGCGCAGGGGTGTCTAGACGTATAGATAATGCCGAGTTTGTGCGGGGCAGACGCAAGCTAGACGGTCCCTGGTTCATCCAGCCACCCGAACCAGCCAGCCAGCCAACCAGCCAACCGGGCTAGGCTAGACACATCGACCATGCTCTGTTTCTCTCCGTATCTTCCCTCTTTCTCTTTTTCTCACTCCCTCTCCGTTTCACCACGGATCTTCCGTCGCGCTCTGGTCGTCGCTATCGTTCCAGCTATATCCTCGCGATCCTTGTCGCACCCTACCATTCGCGGAGCATACCTATACGGTGTATACCAGCCGGATTTCCCATCGTTTTCGTCGCACCACTGGGACAGATTTCTCAAAATGTCACAAAAATTGATCTATCAATGTTTCTCGCCTCGCGATTTAAAATGGAACGTATCAGATTCGAGTTTCGCACGTTCTAGATTAGGAAACGCTCTTTATCGGCCTTTTTATAACACTTCTGATAACACAGGAAGAGGAAGGAAGTTCTAACGAGCCCTCTCGCCGGCAGCCGCGACGAGAGGCCCAAGAAAACGCCACCCTACCGGTGAATCATTCGAAATCATTGAATCGGGATCATTAAAACGTCCCCTTGTAAACGTCACTCGCGCCCCACACTCTCGTGCTTATCCGGCCAGCCGGCAACGAAACGTTAAATAATCCCGATGAAATTTCATATTTATAGCGAGCTGCCGGTCACTAATTACGATTCGCGCCGCGTAAAAACGATTCTACTCATTACCCTTGCGAAACAATTAATTACGGCCACGGACAGCTCGAGGGGAGCGAGAAGGTGAGGGTGGAAAAAAGGAGGATGGGGCTGGAATGGAAATTTGTACCTTCGTCGGGCGCCGTTTCCCACCCGACACCGACGTTGAATCGCTAGGTTTTCTTTTTTCTTTTTTTCTTTTCGGTTTTTTTTTTTTTTTTTTTAAATCCATGGCGCCGCGCGTATTTGCTGGCCAGTCGAAAACGTTGGTGGGAAACGAATGCGGAACAATATTTCTCGGCGGCGCGTCGGCTGCCGATAAATACGGACTTCACGAGCGCGCAGTTGGAAGCGTTCTGGCCAGGTTTTGCGGTATCTCGAACGGCTTTAATGGCACTGTTAACTGCCGTATTATTTAACGGGGATTTATGCATCGCAGTCCGCCGATTAAAACACTACGGCGGTTGCCCCGAGGCTGGTGGCCCCGGGGGCAGGTGCACTGGCGAGGGAGGGTGGGAACAATATACCGCCCGCCTGTCGGGGGATGGCCAGGCAAGGAGGTTTTGTCCTCGTTGAGATTATAACGAATGCGTACTGTATAACCGCGAATCGGACTTTGGCGGAGTATAATTCGCTTTCTAATTTTTTATAACGGTCTTCGATCGCCTGAGGCTCTCTGAATTATACGAAAATTTAGATTTGGATGGTGGACGTGGAACTTTAACTCGAGTATGATTTTGAAACGCATCGTTAGTTTCGGAAAAATCCATACAATGTGCTCAGGTTGACTATTGGTGGAAATACAGGGGGTGTCTGGTCGGTGAAGTAGAGTACTCTATAGGTGACCATTATAAACAGTATTGACCTTAGCGATCCAGTGGTCTGTATTAATGAAAGCTCCAAATAAAAGTTCCTCCAGCCTCACCCAGTGCAGCGAGAAAAACGCAGAGACGTGCTAATGCGAAAGAGATATCGTCGAGTCGAAGGAAACGGAAGAGAACACAAATCTGCCGCGGTCTCGCATAATTCAAAGGGATGAAATTGAGGGTGACCCCGTTACTCGACAAACACGCCCATCCCTTCGGCCTGTCAGAGTCACAGGGACCAAAGAAACTGGTAACGAGCAATAGTAGATACAGATAACAAGCAGCATCCATCATCGTTTACGAATCGCATCGCGCGCATTGTTCGTGCGGGTTATTTTTCTCCTGGTGTCACGAATCGGTCGATGATCGGGCTCGGTTGTTGTTGGACCGTGCAGGGCAACGAGACCGGTTGAAAATGCTTTGGAACAGAGGGTGGATCTCCGTCACGATCCTTATCCGTGGCGGACGTATCGAAGAAAGCACGGGACAAATATATTGCCAGCGTCCATTTTCGATCTATCGATACCATCTCGTTTGACAAATGGATGTTCTCTGTATTCTTCCTCTCTGGCCACGTATTGTCCCGTATCAACGACGCTTATAGAGATATTTGTACGCTTTTAAAATTGGTCGAGATTTACAATTTAAACAGCTTTCGCATTCCGGTGTAGGGTTTGAGAGACTAGGTGTTTTTTGGAATACATTTCAGTATTCTTGATGTTTGGTTGGTTGGATGCCGGTAACGCGGAGTAGTTGGTCGACGAGACAGGTCGTTCATACGATGGTAGAGCACTTGGACTAAATAGGGTTCCACAACAAAAAACACTCCCAAATTTTTGACCGATTTGAATTCCCACGCTGTTAGCTATTAACGGATGTTGCACGTGTGACGGACAAGATCGTGAAACGTGCGAGACGTTGTAGAAAATTTGATCGTTCGTTTGCTCGATTTTCTTGCGCGATGGGTACGAATTAACTTTCCGTTTCCCCTGTCGCAACATTGGCCACCCTTTCGGCAACCCTTTGATTTCAAGCAACCCTCGAGGGTGACTCGCCACGTTCCCGATTACAATTTTATTTCCTCCCGCTGTCTTCGTTCGATTACTCTCTCCAATCGACCGT